CAATTAGCATCTAGCTTCGCTATTCCCTTGGTGAAATTCACGTTCCATTTCCGCACCAAAAATCTCAAAGTGTATTGCAGGAAAATCCCTGTCCGTCAAACTTGAATCAAAGAGATACTGGCAGGCAAGTCCCACAATTCGAAGTGTCTATACCATAGTATAGTCCATCAACCCCTCGGATATCTCTTTTACTCAGATTTCTCGTCTTGTTGTAACTCACATTCTTGCGGTTTGAGCTTTGACGATAACTGATTAGGTCTTCTTTTTGGCAGAGAATAATTTATATCTGGGTCATTTCTCTCGTAATGTTTCAAATCTCATCCATCCGTGTATAGAGGTGCGCTACAGCAGGTGCTCTTGGCGATGCTAATGACCTCATACGCGACGGGAAATATGTTTCTCCTCCTTGTTCCCCCAATCCCAGCTCACGCCCTTGCCCGCGCCAGACAGCATGGAATCAGCCAGTCTTGTTTATGCGTCTAGCTGATTTCGATCTTGTATCGGATATCTATACCATCGGATATCCATACTCATCAGATCACGGGCTTTATCATGGTGGGTACTTGTCACAAAGGCCTAAAGACGAATGTTCAGTAGTTCCGCACTAAATTGCTAATACATCTCAGCTGAAATTTGGCTGGATTAATCGCAGATATGCCTCTGTGAGAAGGCACAAACATGTACGCAAGAATTTCAAAGAACATTCAGCACATAAAACCCAGCCGTCCTCCTATTTCCCTCAGAATCATCTGATCCTATCACATCAGTCACAAACAATGCGTTTCTTCTCTGCAATTGTCCTTGTTGTCGTCGCTACTTTAGTATTATCAAGCTCTGCCATGCCCCTTGACGAAAGCGATTGTCCCAGTGGCAAACATTGCCAGACCGACTCAGATTGCATCTGCCCTTGGATTAATTGCGTGAGTATCAGTAGTCTTCCTAGATATAACCATGGCTGACCTGCATGGCAGTTAGACAATAAATGCCAAGTGTAAGAATATTCGTGCCAACCACGACAGGCACAACTTGTCCTCGTGTTTCATCGATGCGAAGGGCTTTACTCTTCGTATCCAAAACATGCGGATATCTAAATCACTCTTTTTCCTTTATACTTATAGTTCAATATCTCTTATCATGAGAACATACGAGATACTCAAGCCACTCGTTACTGACTTACGATAGTTAAGGAGTGCTGTAACAGTTTCTATGTGGTCGTGCTCCTTAACGTTTCAACAGTCCATTATCTCACTCCGAAGTCTCATTCTCAAATATATCTGTCTTATTTTCATCATTGCCCTCGGACTTGCATATTGCGTCAAGTTCTTATTCTGCAGTCGCAACTAGACTTACAGAAGTGAGTCGTGTTTCTGCTTTCATATCGGTGCGGTATGACCGTTGGCATTGATGTGTTGGTTACTATTGCAGTGAAGAATGTTACTAGAACTCTTTCGAAAGCGCTGTAATTTCCTGCAGTCGTTTGACACTGCTGGATTCTGCCGTGAATTATGTCCATGTGCAGTTGCTGCCATCGTAATGAGAAAAAGTGGGATTCGATTTTCGCATTAGCTTGTATCAGATTGATTCAGAAACAATGATTGGTTGACAGAATACCTGCGCAGCATCGAAACATTAACGAAGAACAGGTTCTAGGGTCAATTGGGCAAGGCAGTCAGCGCGTTTCTTGCTGACCTTGTGCAAAATCGTCCGATCCTTGATATGATATCGATGTATCAACATGCGTATTACACGTTCCCTGGATACAACTCTTATTTCATCAATTCAACAATGCCTCCCGGACATACACCCGCCCCTCATACTCCCTTAGAGTAACCTTCTCCTCAAGTCCGATCGCCTCATTCTCGTAATTGCCCAATACTAACGTGTACCCCGTTACTCCTCCGATGGCCTCCCCTAGGTCAACCTCAACCTTCCCTTCCTTGAAATTAAGTAACACCAACGCAGACGTAGACCCATAGTTCCTCGTGTACGCGAACACCTGTTCATGTGCTTCAAGAAGCATCACGAAGGCGCCGTAGATCTTGGCGTGGGCATGTGTCAGTATAAGAGGAATGGAAGGGGTAGACGCGGATATACAGATGGAAATGAAAGGCGGGAGTGTAAGTTGAGTTAAAACGAAATGCGTGCAGGGAACATAGCTAGAACGACTTACGAGAACATCGTGCGCCTTCCGCACCTTCAGCGCGCGCTTCCAGAATGCGTGCACGCTGGTGCCATCGCCGATCTGTTGTTCAGCGTTCCACTCTCGGTAATCGTCATTCACGCGCATCCACGGTGTTCCTGTCGTGAAGCCTGCATGTGGACTCGCATTCCACTATAACATTAAATGAGATGATGGAAGGAAGTGATGTATTTGTCCTTACCTGCATCGGTGTCCTTGCGTGATCACGCGCCTTTTGTGCGAAACTGTCGAGAAGATCAGACATTTCAACATCTTCCTTCCCTTGTGCTTTCTGTCTTTGTTCTTTAATCCTATTTTGTCCTTAGCACTTACGCACACCGCGTGAACAAAGAATAAAAATACAACGCACAGATTCCAGTAATTCTGAGTTGCGACGTCATTGTATTCCTCGATCCCCCATGTCCGCGGGAAGTTCTTGAGGCCAAGTTCCTGTCCCTGGTACACGTATAGTGTCCCTGTCTGCGTGATCTGTAAGATAGCGAGCATCTTGGCGGAGGCTGCGCGCCACTGCGCCGAGTCATTCCCAAAGCGCGACACCGACCGCGCATGGTCATGATTCTCAATGAACACCCTTTGATCGCGCCAACAAGATGAAAAATCAGTATTCCCCCTTCAGCTTGATACTAGGCTGAACTCACGCATTCCAGAACCCATCATCACGCATGAACCGCTGCCAGCGACCAACGATTGCCTTGAGCTCCCTGAGCGTCCAAGGTTTCCTGAGGAGCGGGGATTCGGAGGGAGAGTCGATGTCCATGAGCTCGAAGTGGAAGACCATGTTGAGCTCACGGTTCTGCGGAAGGACATACGCGGCGAGCTCGGATGACTCATGTGTGAAGGGCGTTTCGCCGACCGTGATGAGGTCGTGGTCTGTGGGAGTTCCGTTAGTTAATCAGAGAAGACGGGGAAAAGGAAGGGGCGCACGGGAGAGGACCTCGGCGTGCATTTGTTTGATGTATTTGTGGACCTGCGGACTGGGAAGGTCAGGTGATTCTCGAGTAAAGATGAATGAACTCACCCGTTCGCAAAGTACATGCTGGCCGGCTGGTAATACTGCGTGTGGTCTACCAGAGGCGCATCGGGGAGACCATCCGTCTTCGAGATGCAATTGATCACGTCCATCTATGGTAATGCCCATTGTTTTGTTAAAAAAAAAATAGGGAGGGAGAGATATACGTACGCGGAACCCATCACACCCTCTGCGCACCCAGAATCGCATGACGTCCCAGACAGCAGACCGTACAACAGGGTTGTCCCAGTTCAAGTCTGGCTGCTTAGGTACGTACAGGTGAAGATAGTACTCCCCACTTGCAGAGTCGCGTTCCCATGCGGAGCCTGTCGCACAGTTAGAAGTACGAAGCGACAAGAGAGATGGTACGACGGCTGTCACCATGCAAGGAAGCCAAGGAAAACAAGTGCACATACCCTGGAACACGCTCTTCCAGTTGTTTGGCGGAAGTTCTTCCCCGGAGACAACTTTACCAGGACGCCAGATGTACCAATCGCGCTTTGGGTCGTTTTTGCTTGATTTTGAAGCAGTGAACCAGGCGTGCTGGTGATATGTATGTGACCAGTGCACGGAAGTGGTAAGTAATTGATGGAAACAGGAACCATAAGGTAAGCCAGAAAGATAGAAGACTTGCCTCGTCGGATGTATGATTCACCACCAGATCCATCCTGTCAAAAAGACCCGGGTTGACACTGGAAAAAAGTTTCGAATCCGGATGATACATACATGAGCTTCATCCCCCGTGCGTGCGCGCCCTCGAGAAGGCGGTCCCAGTCTTCAAGCGTGCCATAGCGCGAGTCAATGTCCTCATAATCAGAGCTGTGGTGGTTAGAGCATCAAGTACCAGAACCGAAAAGCGACGATTGGCGCTCACATGTCATAGCCCATATCAGCCAATGGGCTACGATAGATCGGGCTAAGCCATATAACGTCCACACCAAGATCCTTTAGATAGTCGAGTTTGGCGATGATGCCTGCGAGATCGCCAGTCCCATCGCCATTCGCGTCAAGGAATGATGCTGGATAGATCTGATAGACGGTTGCAGATTTCCACCAGGGATGTGGTGGTTTGGACATCGCGAACAAGAATTAGTGAAAATGTAATGGGCTGGAGCATGGTATAAGAAGGATGCGTGATATGAGATATGAGATATAATACATAAGCGTGACCCGAACACGAGGCTATGCATCTGCCAGGGTGAATCAAATTATGAGCTTCGGCGGGCCCAGCCGTGCATGAATATGTAAACCCCACACACGGTGGCATTTATCAGCTTCTGATAATCACTCCACCAGTGCCTGTCTAGGAACAACTTCGGGGTGCGAGAAGATACACTGGGTGAAGTGATAGATTGCACTGACGCATCAAAATAGCCAATAGATAGTAACTGTAAGCACACCGTATCGATCGTTTAGTCATGAAATTGGAAGTGGACTAGTCGTACTTACAATATGAATCTTCGTCACATGCGTTCGACGTGAGTAATCTTTTACTGCCCATCCTCGACACCTTTAGCCGTATGGACCTAACCTCCCATTGTCAGACCTTGTAAAAAAAAGTCGTCCCTTCTTGCCATCTGTCCTTGCGATCGTCAAATGTCGCATGGTAAGGTACACCATTTGATTCAATGGCCAGTGGACTGGACCAAATCGGAGGCTCCTTGCAACTGGAAGGTGGGGCGAAATGAATTCTGCGTTCTACATAACAAACTAATCAATCTGTATACATCAGATGTGTGAGCCGATGAAATCGCGAGTGATGTAGCAGCTCGTATAATCATCATACAGCTGATGCAGCATATCTGAGACGTCAAGATCTAGGGGCCATTCGACCTGCGGAACAAGGCTGGCAGCGGCAAGAAATACCTCGGGATCCGTAGAGGTCTCGAGCAGCCACTTGACACTAGGTGCTTCCAGCTTGCTGGTAGGCATGTTAGGGAGGGCGAGGATGTGGTCATTGCCCGACGAAACATCTAAATTCGGTTCAAGCAATTGTGCTTCCGAGTCCACGACCTTTGTGGAAAAGCGCAGGACAAAATGCAGCCAATGATGAAGACTAGTGATTAACTGCTGAAGAGATCACTCTGCGAATGCGCCAATCGCATGTACTGGGCCTGAGGAGTGAAATGAGCCCCCAGTATTTTTGTGATAGTAGATAAGATTGTCACCTCTAAATACTGCAGTGACAATGCCAAGCAATCGTTTCAGCACGCCTGACATGGAACGGTCAAAACCTCTGCACATGGAACAAGACATAACTAACTCACCGTGCAGCGACTTCGTGAGCTGCTGTGAATAACTGGAGGCTCGTTTAAACATCAGGCGTAGAACCCCTGCCATGTTGATTCAGACGGAGTACGACCACTAGAATTTAGCAGAATGATCTTACTGTTGATGCGCAACATGCGTAACATCGTCAATGTTGGTGTCTGAAATGGACAAGCAGGAGATATCAAACATGGCATCACCGTCAGGGAATCGAACAGAAATCCGAAGACCGTCGTTGCGATGATGACCCAGGCAATGCTCAGCTGGTCGTACCACATATCGGCGCCGAGAGCGATTCCAAAGAGAAGAAGTGAGATCTGAAGTATGACAGGAAAAGATTGCACGACAGCATCAAAATACCATGTGACGATGCCGTCGAACTTCTCTTGCCTGCGCTTCCCTCGTTCCTCCTCCGAGCCGCGGCCATATCTGTTAGACTTGTAGTACCCGAGCCACTGCTTGCCCAGTACGGCCCCAAATGCAGCGAGTAAGCTCATCAACAAGCTTGCGTATGCGACCAATTGGATCCTCACAGCCGACGCAGATGGCGACCACGTAGATGCTGGGTCTGCGGGAGCGGTACCCACCTTAGCGAGGTTGCCGAGTCCGATCTGCACGAGTTGCTTCAAAAGGACATTCGTCGTGTCACTGGGGTCGGAATTGAGATTAGACTCCATCGCGACGATGAAACCCGTGCTGACAGCCGATAAAAGACCAGACTGATCAAATATCACCCCAATGTGCCGAAGATAAGAACGCTAAACTTACAAAGATCAAGACAATGTCCATGTCAGTGGTGTATCGCTCAAGGGACTCGCCATCATGTTCCTCTGCGACTCGTTTGTACACCCCCCAGAAACGAGACCGTTTGTCCTTTCCAATCTTCAACGCAATCGTGGAGTCTTGAGGAATGTCCAATACTTGCTTCATGACATTTGCTCTGAGTGTACGGTATCTTCAGTTGCGATCGCTTGACCTATTTTTCGCTTACAATTCGCTTAGAGTTGGCTGGTCCTTCTCGGACACGACCTTTCCCCCCTCGCTGAGACAATTCAGGAGCATGTTTGACGTCATTATCGACAATAACTCACGGAGCTGAGTCGCCAACTGGTGGAACATTAGGTGCGCTTCCTTGTATGTGAGGTCCTGACGGCTGTGAAGGCCCAACATTCGAGCTGCAGTTCTGGTAAGGAGTGGCGCAGAGTCGCAGACGCCCATCAGGGAAGAGAGACACTTACATCCCTGGTGGCAGCTCCGCCAAAGGTTCAATATTTAACTTCTCCCTGTCTTGCTATTAGACGGGTGACAGATCCCAGGAAGCTGCAACTTACTCTTCGATGGGTCCTACGGCGTCAATTTGCGGGGGAGGTTGCTCAGCGTTGTGAGTGAGCTGATCCTCGGCGGCGTCGGTGCCTGATGCTTGTGACATGAAGAGGCTATATCTATATTAGATCCCAAGTAAAGCTAGCGAAGTTGGGAAGGGTCTGAGGTGAGCCGACAGAGCAGAGTGGTGGTACACAGCAAATCGGTTAGGCAGCTACGAACATGATGTTGAACTTTAATTAACACGTGCTTACGAGCGTTGACGCCGAGAGTGTTCACTGTGACTTGTGAGCGCTCCCGAACTGCGACTAGTCTCCCTTACCATGATGGTCACATAGATCGCGCTAAGATATAATGTTTGTTGCGTTGATCAAGCTGTGCCCACGTGCAACTTGTTTATGATATAAGTAACTGCAGATACTTGATGGTGTGTTGTAGGGCCCAAATATTGCTAATTGAGCGCTGAGCATCCGATTCCTAAAATATGGTTATAGGCAGAGTATTTTAGAAAAGGCAAGTTCGGAGTACGAAGTTGCATTTTCAGAATGTGTCCCACTTTACTTCCGCTGAGCCGCTCCATTACAAATTTACAACATTAATGTTTTGTAAACCTAATGGTCGACGGTCCTCTGCGCAGCACGACCAATCCAATGGGTCATCGAGAACGACATGAAGATCTACCTTAATTTTCAGGTGGAGTCAAGCGTCTTGGAACACGCGCGTCCACTACTAGCTTATCACCCGGGTGGTCATCCGAGGTTCTTAACTTCTTATACTATAGGAAGACCTCAATACGGGTCTGATTGATCCGTGCCGCAAGGTGTTTAACTTGTATAACTCAGTGTAATTACACACTGTAATCTCAGCGCACCCGTTGCTCATCACGGCAAGTCACTACCCTCTGTTCTGGAGTATTTAACGTGTTGCAAAGTAGCGGGGTGTCTGAATCTTGACTATCAGCAAGCCGGACCATTTCAATGGCGATTATCATTGCATGCACCCTTATCATTATCTTCGCCAGCGTCTGGATAGTGAAACAACGATATCAGGCCATGAGGCGGTTGCCATTACCGCCTGGACCACCTGGACGTTGGCTATTGGGAAATACAATGCCAAAGTCGTAGTAAGTCTCTGTCGATGGACACCAACATGATCTCTATCTAACCCCTCACGCAGTGTACCGTTCCAATTCGCGAGATGGACAGAACAATACGGACCTGTGTTCTCGCTCAAACAAGGCCGTAGGATTTTCGTGATTATAGGACGTCATCAGGTCAGCTTAAAATAATTCATTGTCTAGCCAGGCATGAATTAGATTACGTCGTAGGCTGCAGTGGATATCATGGAAAAAGAGGGAGCAAATCTGGCCGACCGCCCGCGTTCTATTTCGGTGCACGAGACGTTGTCTGGCGGGTTGAGAATGGTCCTTGAGGGCAGTGGTGAGAGATTGCGCCGACTGCGCAGGTATGCATCTTGTCTCTATCATGTGCGATCAGTCAGACTAAATGTAAAGCAGGGTGCTGCACGCAGGCTTGCAACCCAAGGTTGCCGAGACCTACGAGCCCATCCAGACCAGGCATGCAAAGAATTTAGTTCTAGATATCTTAAATGATCCAAAGAACCACCAGAGTCATGCCATGCGGTACGAACATTAGCTCTTGCTTGCGCGGTACAAGTGGTAATCCGCGCATATTAGTTATGCAGCTTCTGTGGTCATGTCCTTCACCTATGGAAAAATCACTCCGACTTCATATACAGATCCTGAAGTCGTTGCCGTCAATAAGGCTCTTGCGCGTTTTGGTCAGGCTTTGAAACCGGGAGCATACCTTGTGGATACGTATCCAATCCTGCGGTTCGTCCCAGGCTACCTGAGTCAGCTGAAGGCGTGGCACAAAGAAGAACATGCTCTTTATGAAGGGCAGTTGGATGCGGTGCGAAGACAGATGGTTCGTGATTTTCTTGTGATGACATGTCCTCGCTCACCACTGTGAAGCGTGAGGGGACTGCAAGGCCATCCTTTGCCAGATTCATTTTAGAGCACCAGAAACAGTACCAGCTCGAAGACAAGGAACTGGGATTCATTGCGGGAGGGATGTTTGCAGCCGGTTCTGATACAGTAAGCTCTTGCATTACATCGCGTCTTCACTTGACAACTGTTGTAGACTTCGTCCGCAATCACAATTATGACGATGGCTGCTGCCACTCACACAGATGCGCAGGCTCGCGTACAAGAAGAACTCGATAACGTCGTGGGGCGTACGCGGCGTAGGTTATGCCTTTTCTTTGTCCAGCTACTGACTCAAATAGCTCCTGATTAGTGCCGACTTTTGATGATCAGGAAATGCTGCCGCAGGTTACCGCGTTCATGCTCGAGAGTCTGAGGTGGAGACCTGTCAGTCTTGGAGGTACGTCTTATTTGAGTTGTGATGACGCGATAAAGAACGACCACCTTTCACTACAGGCTTTGCGCATCGCGCGACTAAGGACATCATTTGGAAGAACTACCTCATTCCGGCAGGTACGACTGTTATTGGCAATCATTGGTCAGTAAGCAATCATTTTCGTCCTCTGACCTTTGGGTCTGATGCTCGTGTTTCAGGGCTATCGCAAACGATCCTGAGGTCTTCCCGGAACCACACACGTTTAACCCTCAGCGTTGGATTGACGATGCAGGTCGTGTGCGCGGTGATCTCCGATTTTTCACTTTTGGCTTTGGCCGCCGGTGAGTGATATCGTTCATCTCTCGACCATTTCTTATGCTTGACTTGAAAATGTCAGAGTGTGTCCTGGTCAACATGTCGCGAATCGGTCGGTGTTCATCAACACGGCTCTTATTCTCTGGGCTTTCCGCCTTTCGGAGAATCCTGCAGCAAAGATTAATACGCTTGCATTCTCGGACACTGCAAACATACATGCTGCTCCGTTTGAGATATGTTTGGAGAAGAGGATCGATGAGAATGTGGTCAGAGAACTATGCGCACCGGGGAAGTAAACTTCTCTGTGAACTTGAAAGTCCTGATGCAGGGTGACGTAGCGACTGAATTCTTGTGTCTTTTGTTCTTTTTTCCACGTCCCAGATTCGCAGGGGTTTATTTTTTGAAGCAGTGACGATCCATCGACTATCTTAGGAGAAGGCGAGCGTCGTCGCTGTTTTCGTGTGTACTTGTATCATGTGTGTTGGGGCCGGCGTCTCTCGCCTTCTCACCATAAGAAATACTTCTTTTACCACATCACGATGATCATGCAATCCTGACGTCACTGAACATTGAACAGAGACCGTCAATAGTGTATTATTATGATACTGTTTATTCCATCTATCTTGCTTTGCCTCTCCCAAAAAGCTTTTGTCCTTGGCTGGCACGAGTTCTTGTTGAACATAGCTGTATTTATGGTTCGTGCAACACGCCATTTGTGGGATGCGTCTCGTTCGATAGCGACTGTGACCCATTACCAAGTGTCGGTGGATCTCTAATTCGCACAATTGAAACCTCCGTTTATGCCCACCGTGCTGTGTTGTGTCGATAAACCAACCAAATTCTCCTTTTGGGAGTCGAGGATTGTAACAACCGATGAAGTGAACAAAGTTCCTTGAAAAATCGCAAGACTACAAGGTCACAAAGGGTGGAAACAGACTGAACAGAGCGGTAGCGCTACGATCATTATCTATGATACACAGGAACATGCCCTACATCGCTTTTCACTTTACTACAATCGTACAGTCATGATCCGAGTTGTATTGAATTATCATGCATCTTGTGCTTCCCACTGCAAGTTGCGTAGCCTGGCAGTACTTCCAAATTCGACGAGGGCTTCGAGAGTGGTTTGGGATGGTACTTCCTTCTGCCGAGAGTCAAGCTCACGCAGCTCACGCGCCACACCGGGATGTTCGCTTAAGAATGGAAATGTGGTTTCGCTTATTCCAGAAGCGTAGATCCGCAGACATCGGTTCATTTCAACGTGGTTTGGCTCATTCTCCGAGAATGTAACGTTAAGCTTTGGTTCCACATCGAGGTCGAGGAGAAGAGCGATGTAGGGGAGATTCGATAGGCACTGGATCGAATCATGCGTGCGAGTGACCAACCCTAAGTCATGCTCATGGCAATTCTCCCCGCTTTGTCGGAAATAAACATCTGTGAGACGCGATTGAGATCTTCGGAGTCGAGGTCAGGATCGTCGAAATAGATGGGAATCATCTTGTCGACGAGCGGCTGCAGATGACAGCGTTGGACCGCGCTTGTGCGATGCCAGTGGCGCAAAGTCCACTCTTCGGCGCTACATCTAGCACTATACAGAGATGATAATCTTAAATATAATATCGCAATGCCTGGAGGCTTACTTACCTCAAAGAATCAGCCTCAGTTTGATCGGGAACTAGCGGTGAGATGAACTCTGTCATAGACACCCAATGTAAGAAATTGATGTAAGCATGCTGAAAAGCTGCCTTGGCTTCCTCGATTGTCCTCGACCAGAATGTCTGGCCAAATAGGTATCGATGACGGAGACCTTCCGGCAGTCGATCAGTTCCGCATCCCCACTTCCCCCATAGAGTAAACCCCGGATCACGCCATTGGGGGGGTCCTTGCGGACAAAGAGATCCTTAGCGAGAAGCAGCAAAAGCCTGCTGGCCAACTCCCCGCTCTGTCCTATCTCGACCATCCCACCATCAATCTTTTTTTTCAAGATCCCCAAAACAAAATCCACATTGCTAGGCGTCTTATGGAGTATAATTGCTGCAACGCAAGACAGGATGGGCTCCGATGGATAACCGGTGAAGGACCACATCCTATCTTCGGTCGTTGAGAAGAGTATGCGCAGATGACTAGCCACTGCTTTTGAGAGATGAGACGCAGCATCGGGGTGACCAAGGCAAAAGTTGAGATCGAATCTCTGGGACAGGACAGCAAGAGCCTGTTTCGCGTCATTCGCATCAAATGTTATCGATTTGCAGAGTTTCTGGGCAGCCAATATCAAAATATCAGCGACAGAACGTCTTTCTGCGAGGGACTTCCATCTATTCATGGTGGTCAACGAAATTGGAAACAAAGATAGAAACGTAGGGACAAACAGCGGACGACCGAATCCAACGATGTGATTGAACCTTGCGACATCATTCGCCGATATATAAGGCATAGGAACGCATCCTGGTCCCAACCAAGACATGTGTAGGGCAGGTAGACAGGTCCACCGTATACTATTAGGCCTGTAGAATCTTCTGGCAGATTATGTGAAGGCTGGAAACAGGCGACGTAGAGCATGTACTTACGGGTTTCCTGAGGGGCTGAAAAGTCTACTTGCAAAGTCGTAGATACAAAAACGACCCAGACCGATGCGTTGCTCTGCCGGGAGTAGCAGTTGATCGTCCTGCCAATGATATCTGATGGACGAAAACCCCTTCCACTCATGTTGCTCAAAGTGTAAGCCTCGTCAAATGCTATTACGAGTTTTGGATCATCGTTCGAAACCTTGCCTTCCTCAGTAAATAAATGTTGCAGAACCCGTAACATATTGTTATAAGATGTCGTGACGAATGATTTGCCTCTCGATTTTGCCGACCTGATCTTATCTGTTTACGCACAGTGTGAGCTTAGGTGGTCGCATTGTGCGAAATACAACAAGTGACATACTCCCTGGCTTTGCGGCGGTCTCCACATCGGTTTGCTCTTCGAGCTTCGGCATTTTGATATTGTCCAGTGTCTGTTGCAAACTTCATCAGTCCATCTGTCAAGAAACTATATTTCCCTGCTCACATCCTGATATCGAGATTGAACTTTCTGAAAGAAATCGGTACGAGCTTTCGAGCGCATGTCACACATTTCGTTATTCCATGATTTTATTACGAGATCAGGACTTCCAGAGTGCAGCTCAAGTAGCTTACTGCTCAGAACCTGCTGAAGCGTCTGGAATATGGCCGTGAAGAAGGCGCAACAATGAGCGGTATACTCGGCTGCAGTGCAGCCTGTATTTTCCGTCAATATACGCGCGGGCACTAGGTCTCGCACAGGGTAGCCCAGATCACTTGGCTCGCGGAGGTTCATGTACAAGACAATAACACCTTTTTTCCGGAGCTCATTCGATGCTTTAGCTACCTAATACGAACACGGACTATAAAACACTGACCTCGATCATTAGTCTTGATTTTCCCGTACCAGAACTTTGGACGATTGAACAGAACTTAGCATAGTATGGCCCACGCGGACCCCTGAACTCCATGTTATTATTTTTCAGGTACTCGTAGAAACCGTCCACAGCCTTGCCAACGTAAGGTCTGACGAATAAATCGTAAATAAAGTCTGACCGGTCCTCAACTAGGATACAACTGACCTCAGATGCGACTGTAGGTGTTGCAAGATAAAAGTCTCTCACCTTGGGGCGACCGCACGGGATCGCTAGCTTGGGGTATTTGAAATATTGCTGCGTTTCCAGCGACTGTCAACAGAGGAACATTCATGTCGCTTACACGAACACTCACTGAGGTCAGCGATGTGGGAGAACGAGCGCGTCTGACAGGCGTGGCGAATAATTTCCCGTAGTTGAGGGTGTTTCTGCAGTGTTTCCTCCTGTGCCATGTCCAGGTCAAGTGTTTCCTTCAAGTGTGTTCACGTTTGAGCAATCTACTGGCTGCCAAAAGAGTTCGTAACATGATCGAGACAAGCATGTAGTCCAAGAGATCCGATGTGGCGTCCTCTTCATTGAGGATCTTCAGGAAGGAACCATTGGCCTTAAGAAAGTCTCGATCGAGCTCATCACGTTGTTGCGATGTGAGCGGCAGGAGTGTTATGGGAAGATCCTGTGATGTTGATGTTGAACCTGACATGGCGAAGCGTGTCGATGCAAAGTGATTAAAACGCTGAAGTTGTCCTGGATTGAAAAAACGATTCAAGCGGCGCGTCTGAGACCACTGCCTACATCAATATTAATGGTCCGCGCTTCTGTGCCACATCCTAGGAGTATCATTCGAAGGGAGAGCACAAGCCGAGTCGGACGCGATTGCCACAAGGTTACATAATGGCAATTACTAAGCGCCCACCGGTTCAACGAATCACAGCATACATGAGCTTCAACACGAGCTTTGCATACAACATATAACCATAGCAACGAAGACAAGCCCGACCGGCGACAGCACTAGCTTTCAAGTCAAGTCTCATCAGTGCATGCGGCGGCGTGCGCCCTCCACCACACCAAACTCTACTTGTCCATCGCTGCCTTTGTCTTTCTTCGGTGATTGAGGGCGCACTTTTAGCGCCAACGCTCTCATATGGCCAGCATTGTTCTCTGCGAAAGCCTGCTTTACCTTCACCAAACTCATCCATGCTGCCGACACACTGTCACCGAGTTATTCAACATCGATGTTTCCGGCCTCAACCACATCTTCCCCAGGTATGGAGCATTGTACTGCTCGTATTGGCATCATTTTCGCCAGGTGCTCCAAAACACGAACCTGCGCCGGTACACCAACCCTATCAGCCACCATTATCCTAACACTCGCTGTCCGTTTCGAAATCCTTCGTTGAAGTTGGATGAGCTTTAAAAACATAGGGACGTGTCTCCTTGTCTTGTGTGTTGTCTTTCTTAGTTAGGGAGTGTTCGCTAAATCACATTCCGTCCAGTGCTACCCATCAAGTAAATTCAGGCCACATAAGCACTCCGTCATTTCCCTCGTGCGACTGGCTAAAGCAGGAAGTGGCAGGAGGGCTTCGGGAGGTCACGTTCTGGTACGGGGATCGGAGTCAGCGTGAGTCCTCGAAGCTTCGATGCAGCGCCGGGTTTCATGAAGTTGGGTTGGAGGTTAGGTGTGGCTGCCTGGTAGGCAGCGAGAGACCGTGACTGCAGGCCAGGCGTGGTGGGCAGTAATAGACGCGCGACTCCTGGGCGCGATGAAAAGGTATTTGACCTTATACACGAGCAGAAAATACCTTACTGAGCGATGCTAGAGGCCTTGACCTCTGATTAAAGTGAGGTAACGCACGGGAGCTTTGGGCTGAAGTACTTCGAAGTTCGAAAGGGTAACAGGGAACGTAGTACGACTCCAAAGCTGTCGTTGAGTTGGCCTAGTCAAATAACGAGATAGGTATGGTACGGATAAAGTATGCTTTGAAGTGTTGATGTAGACTAATTTCAAATATGGCTGATGCTTGGCTTCATGCACATGCGCTGGCAGCTACCTCGTGGTACACAGCTATGATATCAATAGCCACTGTCCACTGATTCTAGATAGGCTTCGGGTTGGGCATTTGCCGGGTTCACACACTGCAATCGATTATAAGCTACACCAACGCTTCTCCGTGAGTCATATTCAAGTTCACCTTCCTCCATGGATACTTCAGAGATAAGAGAGAAAATCGGTCGCTTCCGTATCCTCGTTGTAGGAAGAGCGAATGCAGGAAAAACTACCATCCTGCAGAGAGTCTGCAACACACGGGACAACCCAGAGATATACAACGGCGCCGGGAAAAAGGTGGGCCATCACATTGCTACTAGGCAGGAAGATGGTACTGACACATCCACATCAGATCGATCTTGCAGTCATAGCGGCATCCAGAGAGGTGAGTTGTGCTCTTAGTCGACGACAGGAACTGACGTGTTCTCAGCGCGGACTGCACGACATCGAAAATGAAATGGTGTTTCGAAGCAACCCGGGCTTCATTTTTCACGATTCACGCGGGTTTGAGTCAGGCGGCGAATCGGAATTTATCAAGGTAAAGACATTTATTGCTGACCGTTCCAAGGAAGGCAAAATAACAAATCGACTCCACGCTATATGGTAATTGTAACCGATCAGTCACAACATGCGCTATCTCACGGTTTCAATATAGGTATTGCATTCCAATGGACGAAGCACACAGGTCGTTCACTGCAGGTGAACAGAAATTCTTTTCTCAGTGTGACACAGGAAGCGGTAAGCTTTTGCATCCCACCCTCGTCAACGTTCGACTGATGCGCAGAGTCACAATCCTCAGTTCCAGTAATCGTAGTATTCACCAAGTTTGATGCCCTGTACGATGTCGCATACTCACAACTGAGAAGGGAAGGAAAATCTCTTAAAGACACTCGAGAACTGGCTCAGAAACGCGCCGAAGAAACATTTCCTGATGGACCACAATTGAAGTTTCTCAAGGGCGTTCGATGGCCTCCAAAAGGTCATGTATGCCTTCCTAGTAAGTCGGTTTATGGTTCAATCGCGATACATGATGACTGTTTATCCATCAGATATGAACGAGGATAACGCAGATTGTGGGGCGCTGATCGAACGCACGGCTGGAACTTTGAACGATGAAATGCTGGAGCAATTATTCGTCTCAACCCAGCAGACCAACTTGGAGATCTGCATGAGATATGCAATTGAGAGGTAACTATTCATGGTCTCATTCGCCTGCCGCAGATGTTAGCGACTGATATTGTGCAGAACGCTCCCAAAATATCTTGACTCTGCAAAGAAAACAACGATTGAAGGCCACAAGATAGTAGGGATCTTAGGCTGTTGGTTTCCTCATATTCGGGTAAGATTATTGGAAAGTTCAAAGGTTGCTCTCATTTACGTCGAGTGTTTACTTGCAGGTAGTACGTCTGTTAATCCTCGTTGGAGCTGGAGCCATGCTGATCCAAGTCGTTGCCCACCGTTCGCAGGATGTGAGTCTGTCGATCCTCGTTGGAGCTGGAGCCATGCTGATCCAAGTCGCTGCCCACCGTTCGCAGTTCGTGAGTCTGTCGATCCTCGTTGGAGCTGGAGCCATGCTGATCCAAGTCGCTGCCCACCGTTCACAGGAAGTGAGTCTGTCGATCCTCGTTGGAGCTGGAGCCATGCTGATCCAAGTCGCTGCCCACCGTTCGCAGAGAGTGAGTCTGTCGATCCTCGTTGGAGCTGGAGCCATGCTGATCCAAGTCGCTGCCCACCGTTCGCAGGAAGTGAGTCTGTCGATCCTCGTTGGAGCTGGAGCCATGCTGATCCAAGTCGCTGCCCACCGTTCGCAGTTCGTGAGTCTGTCGATCCTCGTTGGAGCTGGAGCCATGCTGATCCAAGTCGCTGCCCACCGTTCGCAGTTCGTGAGTCTGTCGATCCTCGTTGGAGCTGGAGCCATGCTGATCCAAGTCGCTGCCCACCGTTCGCAGAGAGTGAGTCTGTCGATCCTCGTTGGAGCTGGAGCCATGCTGATCCAAGTCGCTTCCCACCGTTCGCAGGTCGTGAGTCTGTCGATCCTCGTTGGAGCTGGAGCCATGCTGATCCAAGTCGCTGCCCACCGTTCGCAGAGAGTGAGTCTGTCGATCCTCGTTGGAACTGGAGCCATGCTGATCCAAGTCGCTTCCCACCGTTCGCAGGATGTGAGTCTGTCGATCCTCGTTGGAGCTGGAGCCATGCTGATCCAAGTCGCTGCCCACCGTTCGCAGGTCGTGAGTCTGTCGATCCTCGTTGGAGCTGGAGCCATGCTGATCCAAGTCGCTGCCCACCGTTCGCAGAGAGTGAGTCTGTCGATCCTCGTTGGAGCTGGAGCCATGCTGATCCAAGTCGCTGCCCACCGTTCGCAGGTCGTGAGTCTGTCGATCCTCGTTGTAGCTGGAGCCATGCTGATCCAAGTCGCTGCCCACCGTTCGCAGAGAGTGAGTCTGTCGATCCTCGTTGGAGCTGGAGCCATGCTGATCCAAGTCGCTGCCCACCGTTCGCAGTTGGTGAGTCTGTCGATCCTCGTTGGAGCTGGAGCCATGCTGATCCAAGTCGCTGCCCACCGTTCGCAGGTCGTGAGTCTGTCGATCCTCGTTGTAGCTGGAGCCATGCTGATCCAAGTCGCTGCCCACCGTTCGCAGGATGTGAGTCTGTCGATCCTCGTTGGAGCTGGAGCCATGCTGATCCAAGTCGCTTCCCACCGTTCGCAGGGAGTGAGTCTGTCGATCTTCGTTGGAGCTGGAGCCATGCTGATCCAAGTCGCTGCCCACCGTTCGCAGAGAGTGAGTCTGTCGATCCTCGTTGGAGCTGGAGCCATGCTGATCCAAGTCGCTGCCCACCGTTCGCAGGATGTGAGTCTGTCGATCCTCGTTGGAGCTGGAGCCATGCTGATCCAAGTCGCTGCCCACCGTTCGCAGTTGGTGAGTCTGTCGATCCTCGTTGGAGCTGGAGCCATGCTGATCCAAGTCGTTGCCCACCGTTCGCAGGATGTGAGTCTGTCGATCCTCGTTGGAGCTGGAGCCATGCTGATCCAAGTCGCTGCCCACCGTTCGCAGTTCGTGAGTCTGTCGATCCTCGTTGTAGCTGGAGCCATGCTGATCCAAGTCGCTGCCCACCGTTCGCAGGATGTGAGTCTGTCGATCCTCGTTGGAGCTGGAGCCATGCTGATCCAAGTCGCTTCCCACCGTTCGCAGGGAGTGAGTCTGTCGATCTTCGTTGGAGCTGGAGCCATGCTGATCCAAGTCGCTGCCCACCGTTCGCAGAGAGTGAGTCTGTCGATCCTCGTTGGAGCTGGAGCCATGCTGATCCAAGTCGCTGCCCACCGTTCGCAGGATGTGAGTCTGTCGATCCTCGTTGGAGCTGGAGCCATGCTGATCCAAGTCGCTGCCCACCGTTCGCAGTTCGTGAGTCTGTCGATCCTCGTTGGAGCTGGAGCCATGCTGATCCAAGTCGCTGCCCACCGTTCGCAGAGAGTGAGTCTGTCGATCCTCGTTGGAGCTGGAGCCATGCTGATCCAAGTCGCTTCCCACCGTTCGCAGGTCGTGAGTCTGTCGATCCTCGTTGGAGCTGGAGCCATGCTGATCCAAGTCGCTGCCCACCGTTCGCAGAGAGTGAGTCTGTCGATCCTCGTTGGAACTGGAGCCATGCTGATCCAAGTCGCTTCCCACCGTTCGCAGGATGTGAGTCTGTCGATCCTCGTTGGAGCTGGAGCCATGCTGATCCAAGTCGCTGCCCACCGTTCGCAGGTCGTGAGTCTGTCGATCCTCGTTGGAGCTGGAGCCATGCTGATCCAAGTCGCTGCCCACCGTTCGCAGAGAGTGAGTCTGTCGATCCTCGTTGGAGCTGGAGCCATGCTGATCCAAGTCGCTGCCCACCGTTCGCAGGTCGTGAGTCTGTCGATCCTCGTTGTAGCTGGAGCCATGCTGATCCAAGTCGCTGCCCACCGTTCGCAGAGAGTGAGTCTGTCGATCCTCGTTGGAGCTGGAGCCATGCTGATCCAAGTCGCTGCCCACCGTTCGCAGTTGGTGAGTCTGTCGATCCTCGTTGGAGCTGGAGCCATGCTGATCCAAGTCGCTGCCCACCGTTCGCAGGTCGTGAGTCTGTCGATCCTCGTTGTAGCTGGAGCCATGCTGATCCAAGTCGCTGCCCACCGTTCGCAGGATGTGAGTCTGTCGATCCTCGTTGGAGCTGGAGCCATGCTGATCCAAGTCGCTTCCCACCGTTCGCAGGGAGTGAGTCTGTCGATCTTCGTTGGAGCTGGAGCCATGCTGATCCAAGTCGCTGCCCACCGTTCGCAGAGAGTGAGTCTGTCGATCCTCGTTGGAGCTGGAGCCATGCTGATCCAAGTCGCTGCCCACCGTTCGCAGGATGTGAGTCTGTCGATCCTCGTTGGAGCTGGAGCCATGCTGATCCAAGTCGCTGCCCACCGTTCGCAGTTGGTGAGTCTGTCGATCCTCGTTGGAGCTGGAGCCATGCTGATCCAAGTCGTTGCCCACCGTTCGCAGGATGTGAGTCTGTCGATCCTCGTTGGAGCTGGAGCCATGCTGATCCAAGTCGCTGCCCACCGTTCGCAGTTCGTGAGTCTGTCGATCCTCGTTGTAGCTGGAGCCATGCTGATCCAAGTCGCTGCCCACCGTTCGCAGGATGTGAGTCTGTCGATCCTCGTTGGAGCTGGAGCCATGCTGATCCAAGTCGCTTCCCACCGTTCGCAGGGAGTGAGTCTGTCGATCTTCGTTGGAGCTGGAGCCATGCTGATCCAAGTCGCTGCCCACCGTTCGCAGAGAGTGAGTCTGTCGATCCTCGTTGGAGCTGGAGCCATGCTGATCCAAGTCGCTGCCCACCGTTCGCAGGATGTGAGTCTGTCGATCCTCGTTGGAGCTGGAGCCATGCTGATCCAAGTCGCTGCCCACCGTTCGCAGGGTGTGAGTCTGTCGATCCTCGTTGGAGCTGGAGCCATGCTGATCCAAGTCGCTGCCCACCGTTCGTAGCTCGTGAGTCTGTCGATCCTCATTGGAGCAAGAGCCATGCTGACCCATCAATAGGACAAGCTTGACAACGACCACTGTGTAGTGATACAGTCCAGGTTACTTTCTGTCGTATGTCCAATCGGTGGCAGATTGTACACATTTCTCATGTTGCGAATCTGCCAGACCTCTGGCTCATCACCATTGGAGAATATTGTTCAACTCATTTCTGGTGAATTTTGAGGCCATGTTGTGATGAATCTGCTTACTGGTGACTGTTTAGCTGCTGTCATTATCTTCGAACACTCTTTCTATATTTGCAACAAGCGGCGCTATCTTCAGGACAAGCAGAAGTCTGATCCCTCTTTCTATGTCGCTCTAGAGCAGTACATGCCATCTCCGCAAGCAGCTGCTATCAGGGAGGGTGTGAGCGTCGTTGTCCACACATTCCAAGGACGCCTGTCTACTTGGAAAGTGAAGCCATTGTTTGGACGCTTCCAGATAGGAAAACAATCGATCCGTGACTCCCCAAAGACGGAGTTGGTCAAGACGATTGTTAATATCGCTTTAGAGCATCGCCTGCGTATGTTTAGATGTCATTTTATGACAGCAATTCCGCTGATCCGTCGTCTTCAGCAAGACCTCAATATCAAGCAGTGGAACACAACACAGATGGTGTTCCGACGGGGAGCTAACGTGTCTTAGTAGTGATGTACGTTTCTTGAGTGGTCTGCTGAGGTAGTTTCAGGAGGTGGAAATGTACAAAGTGGTTGCATGATCACGAAATATAGCGCTTTCTCTGGTATGGTGTACGGGTATTTGAAGCATGTGAGTCGCCCTCAGCTGGGACGCTTGATAATTTTCTTGATTCGATTCAAGTGCATTGAGGTCGGGTATGCTCTACGTACCATTCTGCTCCAGTCTGTCTCAACTTGCGTCGTTCTTTGTTAACAAAAGATCCAATTCATTGTCATTTCAGCATTATATGATATAAAAACGCATGGAACATCCCTGTTAGCGTCAGTGACCCCAGTTGGTAGCTAAGACTGGATATTGTACAGACAATAGCCTTCGAAATAAAGCAGCAGACGCACGTTGAAAGTTTTCATTCTTTGAAAGACAGTGTGCAGGTTACTATGGCTCTGAATTATAAGCCAAGGGTGGATATCGTGATCTATCATCCGTGCGGTTAGAACTGCATCATTCTCATTTTCACTAAACAATACGTTCATCGACCGCATGCATTATCCTCTGGAATCTAAATGCATCTTTTCGAGGGACTGAGATGACGCCATTGTGGAACAAAGGAGAAATCGACTTACAAGATGTCTGTATTAGGTCCAAGGAGAAATCTGCAGCATTGGATGTCGCTTATGCCATGGTCTTCAGTGTAACCTGTAGCCTTTTTATACGTATCTTATCAACGTACGAGAGAGAGTCTAAAGAGGACCATGAGAAAACGCTCGTATTTCTGATCAGTCTAACGAGCTGAATCCCGTGTGAGATCTGAGCTTGCTGCGACCGACGGACATTATGATAGTAACGTCCGACGTAGCCAAATGTCAGCATCCCCGTGTACAAATCAAGACATGAACAAAATTCCTGATCTTTCCATGGGGTCGAGTTATGATACTGACACAAGAACTTGAAGTAGAACAGCTGTTGGCGATCAGCGTATCGATTTGCAGTCGGGCTACGCTGAAATATCCTGTGACTGCCTTCATAAGCCGGAAGAAGGGACGGTTGAGTCCACCTTACCAGATGAATATAGGAAAAGGTGCGTGGCAAAAGACATATCGGCTGTGGGCACCATCCGAAATGATACTCCCCGGAATCCACGCTATATTCTTTCCCTCTGCTGCTCTCTTCTGCGTATCATGCTATAACAGCGGATGCAGCAGATAAGTATAACCCTCCCCTCTGCCTGGCATGCGAGACTCTCAGCCACGGGGGCTGGCACATCTGCTGAGGAAGACAAACTTGAAAACGAAGATGCCAGTCGTCGAGCTGATGGCGACTGGTGTTGGCTGGTGACACGAACTTTACAGGCCCCATGTTTACTAACTCTTGCTATGAAGTTGGGTCCGTTCCACGCGGATGCAGGCATTAGCGCGGACCGCTCGTGGTGAAGTCCTGTGGGTGGATGCTGGGAAGGCAAATATAGGGTGCTTGTACCCTCCTGGCCATGGATGCGGAGGTTTATGTGGACTGTTGCTGCCGTGGGTAGGCTTGTTCCTTGGAGGAGCTGAGATACGATTTGTTCAAAGGGGCCAGAGGCAAGGGCCTTGGGACTGGGATTGCGTGGCCAAATGGTCGATAGTTGCTTACCCCGGAATTCGGGTTATTGATGGATAAACTGAATTGATTGGATAGGTATGTAGCGTGCGGATGATGAATAGGATTATAAATTTGTGAGTGGAGGCAAACGATGATGGTGCGGGAGATAATTCAAAGTTGGGCGCCGCCCCTTCGCTGATATGATATCCCTAGATTATCAAATAACGAGTCATATATCGCTGCTACTTACTACTATGTATTGAACCTTGCGCCAAACAGTACTACAAACGGTGTCGTGAGTTCTCCGACTCGAGTCAAGTCAGGCTGTAGCTATTAGTAAACATGTTAAAGGTATTGAGAAATCACCACGAGTTTCGAAATAGGCGTACGCGTCTGCTATTCGAGCGCGCAGGGACCTTATGCTGTATGAGAAGTCTCTGGGATGCTCCCCAACTAGATCATTCCATCTAAAAAATAAGAGGCGCACACACACGGTGTGACACACCATTAGTAATCTGTGAGCCAATGAGTTTGCGTTGCGCTGTTACGATTACATAAGCTACTAGAGAGTTACAAACTCACCAAGTGCTTCATCGCTACTCCCAAATGTCTTCCATATATTAGGCCCACAAATTTCTGCACACCTTCCTTCCAACTGTTGCGTTATCAGGAAATTCTGACGAAGACGAGGATTACACATCGGCTTTGCCACCTGACCTTACTGCCTCCCGCGCAGCTAGGCCTTCGTTGCCCTCAAAGAGCGAATCGAATACACCACTCCCAAAACGACACTATGTAGGACCGTCATTGCCTCACTCACAAGCTCTTTACGATGATGGCTCGTATTTAGATGTTGGGCCTCAACCACTTCCTACAGCTTATGCTTCACAAATAGAAGAAAAGTCAGGCGTGGAAGAGTTCTTGGAGAGGGATGAAAGGAGACGGCAACTTCAGGAAGAGACGAGCAAGATGAAAAAGCTTCAGCGGGAAGAGTGGATGCTTGTGCCTCCACAAAGTGGCGACTTATTGGCATGTACGTTCCATTCAACACGCAGTTCTCTAACTTGTGTACTTATCAGAGTCATAGCACTTGACCCGACGAAAGCCAGGCCTCGTCAGTTCGCACGTAGCGCTGCGAGTGTCGTTGCTGTTTTCGTGTGTACTCGTATCATGTGTGTCGGGGCCGGCGTCCCTCGCCTTCTCACCATAAGAAACGCTTCTTTTACCAAACCGCGATGCAATCCTGACATCACTGAATAGGGAGATGGACGGTCAATAGCGTACCACTATGATGCTGCTCATTACCCGCAATTTTATCTATCCTGCTTTGCCTCTCCCCAAAAGCTTTTGTCCTTGGCTACCACGAATTCTTGTCGAACATGGCTGTATTTATGGTTCGTGCCAAAAAAATTCCGCCATTTGTGGGATGCGTCTCGTTCGATACCGACTCAGTTGTAATGACCCAACACCAAGTTTTGGTGGATGTCTAATTAGCACAATTGAAGCCTCCATTTATGCCCACCGTAGAAGTGAAAATGTGAAATCAAAACAATGGCCGACAAAGTTCCTTGAAAAATCGTAAAACTACAAGGTTACAAAGGGTGAAAACAGATCGAACAGAGCGGTAGCGCTACGATCATTATCTATCATACACAGGAACATGCACTACATCGCTTTTCACTCTACTACAATCGTACAGTCATGATCCGAGTTGTATTGAATTATCATGCATCTTGTAATTCCCACTGCAAGTTGCGTAGCCTAGCCGTACTCCCAAATTTGACCAGGGCTTCGAGAATGGTTTGGGATGGTGCCTCCTTCTGCCGAGAGACAAGCCCACGCAGCTGGCTCGCAACACCGGAATGTTTGCTCAAGAATGGGAATGTGGTCTCGCTTATTCCAGAAGCGTAGATCCGCAGACATCGGTCTGTTTCAGTGTGTTTTGGCTCCTTCTCCGGGAACGTAACGTTAAGCTTTGGTTCCACATTCAGGTCGAGGAGAAGAGCGATGTAGGGGAGATTCGATAGGCACTGGATTGAATCATGCGTGCGAGTGACCCACCCTAAGTCATACTCATGGCGATTCTTCCCCGCTTTGTCGGAAATAAATATCTGTGAGACGCGATTGAGATCTTCGGGGCCGAGGTCAGGATCGTCGAAATAGATGGGAATCATCTTGTCGACGAGCGGCTGCAGATGACAGCATTGGACCGCGCTTGTGCGATGCCAGTGGCGCAAAGTCCACTCTTCGGAGCTGCATCTAGCACTATACAGAGGTGATAATCTCAGATATAATATCGCAATGCCTCGAAGCTTGCTTACCTCAACGAATCAGCGTCAGTTTGATCGGGAACTGGCGGTGAGATGAACTCTGTCATGGACACCCAGTGCGAGAAATTGATGTAAGCATGCTGAAAAGCTGCCTTGGCCTCCACAACTGTCCTCGACCAGAATGTCTCGCCAAATAGGTACTCCAGGAAATCGATGACGGAGACCTTCCGGCAGTCGATCAGTTCCGCATCCCCACTTCCGTAATAGAGTAAATCCTGGATCACGCCATTGGGGGGGTCCTTGCGGACAAAGAGATCCTTAGCGAGAAGTAGCAAAAGCCTGCTGGCCAACTCCCCGCTCTGTCCTATCTCGACCATCCCACCATCAATCTTTTTTTTCAAGATCGACAAAACATCATCCACATCGCCAGGCGTCCTATGGAGTATCATTGCTGCAACGCAAGACAGAATGGGCTCCGATGGATAACCGGTGAAGGACCACATCCTATCTTCGGTCGTCGAAAAGCATATGCGCAGGTAACTAGCTACTGCCTTTTCGAGATAAGACACAGCATCGGGGTGACCCAAGCAAATGTCGAGACCGAATCTCTGGGACAGGATAGCAAGAGCCTGGTTCGCATCATTCGCATTAAATGTGATCGATTTGCAGAGTTTCTGGGCAGCCAGTTCCAAAACTTCAGAGATAGGACGTTTCCCTACGAGTGACTTCCATCTATTCATGGTGGTCAACGAGATTGAAAACGAGAATAAAAACATAGGGACAAACAGTGGACGACCGAATCCAACGATGTGATCAAAGCTCGCAACATTATTCGCCGATGTACTAGACAAAGAATCTGCATTCTGGTCCCAACCAAGACGTGTATAGGGCGGATAGAGGAGTTGGCCTGCTACCGCTACGCGCAGAGAATCATCTGCTAGATTGTTCAAGATTGGAAACAGGCAGCGTATAGCAGGTACTTACGGATCGACTTCGGCGCTGAAAAATGTGCCACTTGCGAGGTCGTGGATGCAAAGACGACCCAGACCGGTGCATTGTTGTTCCTGGAGTAGCAGTTGATCGTCCTGCCAATGATATGTGATGGACGAAAACCCTTTGCACTCATGTTGCTCAGAGGATGGGCCTCGTCAAATGCTATCACGAGTTTGGGATCATGATTCGAGACCTGGTCCTTGTTCTCGGTCAATATACCCAGAGCCATCAGCATGTTGTTATAAGATGTCGTGACGAATGATTCGCCTTCCAATTTCGGCGCCCTGATCTTTTCGTCTGTTTACGCAGTGTGAGCTCGGATGGCTGCATTGCGCAAATTACAACAATTACCTGTGAGAGACATACTCCCTAACTTTGCGGTGGTCTCCTCTGCTGTTGGCGCAGCGGGGTTCACGTCGGTTTTCTCTCCGGGGTTTGGTATTTTAATCTTGGTAAGGGTCTGTTGCAAACTTATTTAGCCCATCTGTCAAGAGACTACGACTTTCCCTGCTCACCTCCTCATATCGAGAATGAACCTTCTGAAAGAACTCGTCACGAGCGTTCGAACGCATGTTGCACATCTGGTCATTCCATGATTTGATTACAGGATTAGGATTGCCGGAGCGTAGCCGAGGTAATATGCCGCTCAGATCCTCCTGAAGCGTCTGAAATATGGCAGTAAAGAACGCGCAGCAACGAGCGGTATACTCGGCTGCAGTGCAGTCCGTATCTTCCGTCAATATACGCGCGGGCACTAGGTCTCGCATAGGGAAGCCCGGATCATTTCGATCACGAAGGTTCATGTACAAGACAATAACACCTTTGTTCCGGAGCTAAATTCGATGCTTTAGCCACCTGATACGAACATGGACTGTAGAACGCTGACCTCGATCATTAGTCTTGATTTTCCCGTACCAGAACTTTGGACGATCGAACAGAACTTAGCATAGTATGGCCCACGCGGGCCCCTGAACTCCATGTTGTTATTTTTCAGGTACTCATAGAAACCGTCCACCGCCTTGCCAACGTAAGGTCTGACGAATGAATCGTAAAGAAAGTCTGACCGGTCCTCATCTAGGATACAACTGACCTGAGATGTGACTGTAGATGTTACAAGATAGAAGTCTCTCACCTTGAGACGACCGCACGGGATCGCTAGCTTGGGGTATTTGAAATATTGCTGCATTTCCAGCGACTGTCAACAGAGGGGCATTCATGTCGCTGACACGAACACTCACTGAGGTCAGCGATGTGGGAGAACGAGCGCGTCCGACAGGCGTGGCGGACGATTTCCCGTAGTTGAGGGTGTTTCTGCAGTGTTTCCTCTTGTGCCATGTCCGGGTCAAGTTTTTCCTTCAAGTGTTCGCGTTTGAGCAATCTATTGGCTGCCAAAAGAGTTCGTTCCATGATCGAGACAAACGCGTAGTCCAAGAGATCCGAGTCCGATGTGGCGTCTTCTTTATCTTCACTGATACTCTTCAGGATGCGGCCACTGGCCTTCAGTAAGACTCGATCGATCTCATCACGTTGTTGTAATGTGAGCGGCAGGGGTGTTATGGAAAGATCCTGCGATGTTGATGTTGAACCTGACATGGCGGAGCGTGTCGATGCAAAGTGATCGAAACGCTGAAGTTGTCCTGTTCGGAGAGATTGAAAACCGATTCAAGCGGCGCGTCTGAGACCTACATCAATATTACTAATAGTCCGCGCTTCTGTGCCACATCCTAGGAGTATCATTCGAAGGGAGAGCCCAATGGCATCGGTAAACGATTAAACTGACGCGATTGCTAGACTCGTGACCAGTCTGACGTGCGTCACATGTCAAGAGTGGGGAATTTTTATATAAGCCAGGCTAGTCCCGAGCGTACGCGATTGCCACAAGGTTACATAATGGAAATTACTAAGCGCCCACACGATTCAGACACAGGCCGCGTTCCTATGTCTGTTAGACTCGTTCAAAAAATCCTACATCTTCCCTGTCTTTGAAAACATCTGTTTCTTAAGCCAGTACAGTATTCGTGACTAGATCTCCTAGTACGTATTATTTTGGGCGGCTACTCAAGTTTGGAGTACATTTTTAGAATGGTGACCCACTTTGGCGCTTGCGCTTCCGGGTTGACCTTCATTGCAATGTTTATAAACCTAATGGTTGACGGTCCTGTGGCACAACCAATCCAATGGGTCATCAAGAACGGCATGAAGGTCTACCGCAATCTTCAGATGGAGTCGAAATGTCTTGGCACTCGCCCTACTACCAATCACCAGGGTAGTCATCAGGTTCCCATACTATCATAGCAAGGCCGCAGGACATGACACCCGTGCAGGTGTTGAACGTGTCTTTGTATTAGTTAGTGCGACTATGCACGGTAATCTCACCGTATCTGTCTCCCATCACGGCAACTAACCACTGTTTTGGAGTTTTAACTTATTGCGAAGTGGTGGGGTATCGTGATTCGTGACTATCAACCAATTCGATGGTGATTATCATTGCATGTACCCCCCTTATCGCCCTAGCTAGCCTCTGGATTGTGAAACAACGATGCAAGGCGGTTACCATTACCGCCTGGACGTTGGCTATTTCATCTTCTGACTTTTCTGCCTGATGCTCGTGTTCCAGGGCTGTTGCAAACAACCCCGCTCGTCTTCCCAGAACCATACATATTTAATCCTCAGCGTTGGATTGACGATGCATGCCGTGTGCACGGTGATCTCCGATTTCTCACTTTTGGCTTTGGCCGCCCGTGAGTGGTGTCGTTCATCTCTCGACCATTTCTCATGCTTTACTTGAAAACGTCAGAGCGTCATGGTCAACATGTCGCAAATCAGTCGGTCTTCATCAACACGGCTCTTGTTCTGTGGGCTTTCTGCCTTTTGGAGAATCCTGCAGCAAAGATTGATGCGCTTGCATTCTAAACATATATGCTGCACCGTTTGAGATATGTTTGGAGAGGAGGATCGATGAGAATGCGGTCAGGGAACTATGCACACCGGGGGAGTAAATTTCTCTAGAAACTTGAAAGTTCTAATGCGGGGCGACGTAGCAACTGAATTCATACAGGTTGTGTCTTTTGCTCTTTTTCGACTGTCTTAGAAGAACACGAGAGTCGTTGCTGTTTTCGTGCGTACTCGTATCATGTGTGTTTACATATGCAATCACTCTTCGTTACATGTCTCATACACGTTCTCCTTTGATTCTCCGTCTCAATCAGCGTATTAAGACTTCTCCCCGGCGAATTTCCTCCTCAGTCTTTTGACCCAATTAGAAGTCCCGTTCCTATTCCTAGTCCCAGCGTCTCGATTCGTCACACGATCCTCATCTCGTGTCAATGTAAAGTGATTAAAACTTTGAAATTCTCCTGTCTGAAGGGATTGAAGCGGCCCGTCTGCGACTGGCACTGCCTACATAAATATCAGTAGTCCGCTCTTCTGTGCCACAAGAGCATTTCCTACCATGACCTCCGGACCTTGAGTGAGTGGTAGCAAGCGCTCTTCATGGACCCAGTGAGGAGGGACCCACCAGTACTTGTCACTGTGAACCGTTGGATTGACACACTACCAAACGAGCATCAATGAACTACGAGTCAGCTACTAGAGTATGAGGGGGAACTTACCAGTAGGTATGCCTTCCTATCATTGATACCGCCCTTCTTGAACTTTACAGGAAGAGGTTTTCCGCACCCAGGCTTCGGACAATGACTATTGGAAGGTGGTAGGTAGGATGCTGGGTCCATGCCAGATGTGCGTGCCCTGTATGTGCTGATAAGATTAGCAGTGCAGCACGTACCGAGGTGATTCGAAGGTCAGCCAAAGTCCACCGTGGCCTGGTCGTCTTTATGCCGCCAGACTGTGGATATATCCGCCGTAGTGCTGTACTACGCACCACCCTGTTTTGCGCCGGAAGGGCGGTGATGAGTGATCTGCTATCACTCGGAAATTGTTTAGCTCTCACAGACTGTCAGTAAGGTACGAGCAAAAACGGTGATAAGTGACCTGTAACTTATCAGTCGGAAATTGTTCGGCAAGGCACGAGCAAAAACTCAGTACTCAGTGATGAACGATGTGAAGGTCACCGCATGGACCTGTAATAATGACCGGTCACCGCTTCGGGCAATTTTCTGGTGATAAAAGCATAGTTTTATCCTCGTAAGGTCTCAGCCAATTAAATTCATTTGTCGTTTATTCGAAGAACGCAGAGCGATATCTGAGTTGAGTATTTTCCAGAGGTACTACTTCAGTACTAATTATCAGAGCTGACAAGGTTTCTTCGAGGTCTTTACGTTACACTGCTGGTACCTTCTTGGCAGCCGTTCGGTGGCGGAGTGGTGACAGCATCTCCGTCTCTAGTCAGCGACTCAGTAGGACAGGTCTGAGATGTTTCTATCTCGACGACTCTTTTTATAAGTAAGCGTTCACAAATGAATATCATACGATCAATCTCATTCTGAATCGAGTCTGCGTTCGTACCTTGGGCCTTGCGTCTCGGCGCCTATCTCAACACCGAGGTGATTCAAAAGTCAGCCAAAGTCCGCCACCTGGTCGTCTTTGTGCCGCTGGACTGCGGATATTATATCCGCCGTCCGTACTACGCGCCACACTGTTTTGCGCCGGGAGAGCGGAACCCGAGTCTGGCGCCGCTGTTACGATTACATAAGCTAAGAGTTACGAATTCACCAAGTGCTTCAAGCTACTCCCAAATGTCTTCCATAGGCCCACAAATTCCTGCACACCTCCTTGCAACCGTTGCGTCGGCCGGGGATTCTGACGAAGATGACGATTACACACCAGCTCTGCCACCCGACCTTAGTGCCTCCCGCGCAGCTGGGCCTTCGTTGCCTTCAAAGAGCGTATCGAATACACCACTTCCACAACGACACTATGTAGGACCATCAGTACCTCACTCACAAACTCCTTACGATGATGACTCGGATTCAGATGTTGGACCTCAACCACTTCCTGCAGCTTATGCTTCACAAATAGAAGAAAAGTCAGGCGTGGAAGAGTTCATGGAGAGGGAGGAAAGGAGAAGGAAACTACAGGAAGAGGCGAGCAAGCCGAAAAAGCTTCAGCGGGAAGAGTGGATGCTTGTGCCTCCTAAAAGTGGCGACTTATTGGCATGTACGTTTCCTTCAACACGCGGTTTTCTGACTTGTGTGCTTATCGAAGTCATATAGCACTTGACCCGACGAAAGCCAGGCCTCGTCAGTTCGCACGTAGCGCTGCACCATCGCGTGACAACTCTGGATCTTCCCTTTGGACCGAGACACCCGCAGAAAGACAGCAACGTCTTGCTGACGAAGTTGCTGGACGGAAACGACGTGCAGCAAATGCACCGCCGGAGGAGGACTCGCATGACACGGCAAAGCGACGGAGACGGGATGAAGAGATTCGAAGAGGAGTTGACGAGCACACAGTACGTGTCCTTTGATCATTCGTCCATTCAAATGGAATCTGATTTATTATTTAACAGCGCAAGGCTCGTGGATCAGCCCTTGTAGAGTCACATCTAGAGCGAGAAAAAGAGGAAGAGAAGCACATTCAGAGTGAACCCTCGGTTATCTGGGATCATGAACGTGATATGTCTCTAGGTGGACGGCTTATGGATGATAAACAGAGGCAGAAGATGCTTCGGGATGCTAAAGGACTAGGAGAACGTTTCGGTAGTGGGCGCAACGGAAGTTTTCTGTAAGTCCCTGACTCTGCCAAAGACGCTGGAACCCGTTGCATCAACATCATTCACCCGAGTTTCGGAGCAATGCACTGTGGGGTTGCAGGCGAAGATTCGGGAAGCTGAGCTCAGACGCATGATGCCACTATCATTCGAACATCTTACATTTCTTCTCCATTGCAGACCTTGTCTTGTAGTCGGATTATTTATGTAAGTATATCTATCTATCTTTCCCTTCACCGTTTTGTCTGTCTGTCTATCTTCTGTGATTCTTTGTTCGCAAAATTCATCAGAACCAAATCTCCGCACCAGCGCATCGCACTGCCTGTAACGAAATATTTCATGCACTCTGGATCTGTTCGGCTTTCTCGTTGAATTATGATGTTCGCATCGATTATCTCTTCTGGCGATGTTCCATGGGCTGTGTGGCATAAGTGACGTTCGGTCTTAGCTGGTAAGTCCTTGGACACCAAACATCACCGCGGTGTTCCAGCCGGTGCGCGCGTTGGATCGTGAATCACGGGAGTGTCAAGTAAACCCTGATGTGCAGTGCGTACCAAAAATATTGACAGATGTGCTTTCACTGTAGCTGATTGTGTTCCCATCTCAAACATGCTGCCAGCCAGTATGACGCAGCGGATCTCAGAGAACCTCTAAGTCGGCTAAATTATAGCTATTCGTTGTGCCGCCATGCTGTTCGCGAAGTCTGGCAGAAGGTCGAAGCTAGAATGAACGTCGAACTCACCAGCCAGGAGCAAATCGAGTGTCCAGCGAAAAACAAGACAATGCCCGTGAGTGAGACGAGCAGTGCTACATCCATGCTATGCACCCGGGCTACAGGATGTGTCTGACAGAGTGATAAGTGAGAGTTTGGATTTGCTGGTGGCTCCTGCCGATCCTGTGTGTCCCGGTCAGTGCGTCTGACCGCGGGGTCCCTCGCCTGATTGATCTGAAACGACTACCACAATACTGGAAGTGTGGCGTGTGACATATGATACTCCAAATCCTCAGATGGCATCTGAAACGTCCAAGATTACGGCCGACGCGCCCACTGTTGAGTTGGCTGAAACACAAGAATAACCTGGTGACTGCGTTCACTAAAAGGCAATCTATTTCGAAATGTAGATGGCCTATTGCAGGGAACGACAAGTATGATTCAGTCGTGGCGTATGGTCCACTGCATACAACTTGCAGTTGACTTGCATGCTAATGAGGGACATGAGAAAGCGCATCGGTAACGTATAGAGGCAATCAACCACTCACAGTAAAAGGACCCATAATTGAGAAAGGAGGAAGGAATGAGCGCCTGATTTTGCCGGATGATGTACCGGAGCTGTATTGATGCTGTAGCTATCAGATGAAACGAGCATTGCGTGATTCGATAGGAGTTGATGAGCGTGCATATGCTATGCCCTGCTTCTTATCATGACGTCTTCGTGTTCCCCGAATACGAGCACAGCCTTGATGCCGTCGCCGTGGACATAGGACATAAGGATGCCAAATGTAGATGATACGTACTGCAGTTAGACTGTGCATCCCCCACATGCCATAAGATGAGGGGGTTTTACACACCGGCATACCAAGACCATAGAGATTCGTGATCGCAGCGATAAAAGTATGAAAGAAGTCCTTCTGGAGGAGGTGAGGCTAACCTCGCGGTGAGCCCAGGGCAATAGAGCGGCGAAAAGAGGATTAGGCAGTGTCAACTGAAAATATCCTTGCTATTTGAACGATGGAGTAATAGGATCATGATGTGCTAAAGACCAGTCAAAAGATTATTGAGCAAGTCCCTACGTCATCGACAATCAGTACTGGGTTTAAGCGCTGGTCAGGCCCTGGGATTGAAAACATGGTCCGAGTGGTGGCCGTGAAGCTCGCTGATAGCACTGGATCAATGTGTTCAACATCCAGGTGACAGTGTGATAAGGACCTGTCTGGGCTCGGCAATCGGATAAAACCGGACGAAAATGAAATGTGAAGGGTCTAGCTTGGGTCTAGCAACTGGTTCTCGAATATTGTGACTGGCGGTATAAAACTCGAGCAGTAGACGGCGAGCTTGCATTAAGCCACACGCGAGTTCATCTTATACGAATTCGTTACGAATTACATTCCTCTCAAGCAGCAATGCCATCACTCAATGTATCCCACAAGCTCTCTTCCCCACGCAAAAACAAAACCCATACGGCTGCTTCCCCATACAAGAGCTCGGGCCCCTCCCGCCCACGCAGGCTTCCACTAAGTTCACTACGCCTGCGCCCAATACCTAACTCATACTGGGCAACTCCACTGCTACTCGCATGCGAGTACCCCTGGTCTCCATTTGAAACATCCACCCAGAAACTTGACAAGCTTCTCGCCGCTGGCGTTCGCACCTTCATCGACCTCACTGAGCCTGAAGAACTCATACCCTACAAGCCCCACCTCTCAAGGCACATAAGTGCCGCTGGCCTCGATGCGACTACCATCCACTACCACCAGTTCCCTATCCCTGATCGTTCGCTACCTCACAAGCCAACATATTTCATGCGTCTAGTGCTGGATGTTCTCAGGGAAAATGCAGAGCAAGGGCGCGTGTGTGCCGTGCATTGCCGCGGTGGGATTGGGAGGACCGGCCTAGTTATTGGGTGCTGGCTCGTGGAGGCAGGAATCGCAAGGGACGGCGAAGAAGCACTGAAGATAATAGAACGGGAGTGGCGGACCGTCGAGAAGTGCAAGCGCTTCCCGCACTCGCCAGAGACTGGCCCGCAGTTTGAGTTTGTGAGGAATTTCACGAGTCCGGCGATGGTGCGTGTATAGAGAACCGTGACAGTGCGCGTGTTTTGCTTGCCTGCTGGTATGCCTGTTCTTCTTTCTTACTCGCGCCTTGCTAATGAACGCGTTTTCAGCATACCTTTGTATTCATCCTCTCACGTCACACCTCACTGTAGCTATTATATCCCTATTCATATTTCCCTAATCATGGCCCTGGTTCCTAGTCTCATACTAGCACGTGGCTGGCCACATTTCTTCCCTCTGTCACAGTGCCGGTGATGTGTATGATCACAGATAATGAAGGGTGCCACTGAGTGTACTCCATCATGCCACACCGTGACTTAGTACATACATCTAAGATCTTCGGACTGCGCTTCAAGTAGAAGTTTGATCACACAGGATGTATACCGTCATGAATGAATTAGTATTGAAAGAGTCTGCTCATGTATGGAAGCTGTTGATATGAATGAAGACCAAATTACACCAGTGAGCAGCAAGTAGACGGCAATCGCACGTGCTATGAATGAATCGAGCAGTTCTCGGTGTTCGCCGAGAACGACTGCGGCGCCAAAAATCTCGTGTAGGTGATACTTCGACGTTTCATTTGACGATATGCGAATTTCCATCCAGGTATAAGTAGGCGAGAGAGAGCAAGTGTTTTACCTTTCCTGAACTGATAAGCAGTACGAACAGATCATTGCAGGGCAGCAGAGATATGACGAAGGGGCCTTGTCGAGTTTTGATCGGCACAGCAAGCGGAGTAATATCTGAAGAACACGAGTCACTGTACGTGCCATGGCTTCAACGCATGTTTGAATCTGACCGCCCATATGCTACAGCTGCCTGAATTTGCGCCTTTCTGATAACACGCAGCTCGTGTTTGCTGCTGCAATCGCTCTTGGGATGGTAAGATCGAGTGCTCGGGCGTCCTTTTTAAATTAGATAGTGCCTAACCGCTCTCAGGTCCCTATCATCCCACGTGGAGGGTTGTGGGGCACTTCCTACTCTATCGCAAGTAGATTTTCATGTTCGACTGGCCGTCTTTTACGTGATGCTGACCATGTGGCATGTGTGTTGAATTAGGGCCTGACATTATTCGCAGGCTTTGCCCACCTCCAATTACAGTCCTGTGAAGATTGCTCTAAACTTCTCGAACGAAGGCGCAACCTAATTGTAGCGTCTGGTTATAACCCTTGCAAGGGTGTATTCTTGTCGCGCGCTTCACGAATTGTTAACACATGTCAGCTAGCATCAGTGTGGTCAATAATTTGCATTCACTCTCAGAATACATAATTGACACAGTGCATCAGAAAAGGCCGTGGTATAGGTGAGTATGATCATTCTCGTTCCATGACTTCTAATCACTGGGGTCTTCTTAGCCTGGTTCCTCTTCGATGGCACAAGTTGGCGATGACTTCGAATTGATTTTCACTTACGCACGTTGCAACCTCGTTCATCGTCCATCTCAGTCTGTGTCCATATTTGGCTTCATGCACCGGTGCTTGTGCATTTTTTCTCAGATCCATTCAACTGAATAAGGTCACAGGACTAATTTGGCTACCATGTCCGCGAGCTTGCAAATTGGTGTTTCCTTGTCAATGCAACACATTCCCATGTGAAAGTGGTCGGCAGTTTTACGTTGGCTACTGCGATGCACAACAATATATCCCAATCCCAGGTTTACTGATGCGCCACTCGCCCTTGCACCTCATCCAACAATCACTCGATGAAGAGAATCACTCCTGAGCTCCCTACGCTACTCGACCTCGAACTTAGCTTAGTGGGCCATGAGAAAAACTAGGCACGATCGATCATTTTCAGATACATTCAAACATCCATATTGCTCGAGCAGTGCGAAAATTTGTCCAAAAGTAACTGTATCGATTGGCTCCGAACTAGGTATTGCACCATCAACCATGATACCATAGCGAAAACAGAAACATGAATCACCGTCACGACGTGGCGCTCGGGCTGCTGGCTCAATTTCCAACCGACTACTACGCGCAGAACAAGCCTTGACTCTAAGGCGCGCAGGTGAGTCACACGGTTGAATCCCAGTTGTACAGCGACCTGCTCATACTCACGAGACAAACGAGACTGCAGCAATCCCCATCATTGAGGCAGTCTATATCCGGGCCTCCACATGCACTGACAGACATAGATGCTGTCAAAGCAATAACAACGGCGAGGAAGGGTAAGCGCATTTTCTTTGCGAGGTGATATAAAATCCTCTGAGGGCGTTCTCGAATGATATTTCTGAGGATGGGGTGACACTGTAGGACAACCACCAGCTTTTATATCCTCGTGGGCACGGTTCTGGTCGATTTGGGAGAATGGTTATTTGCTGTCAGATGGCCCAAACTTCGGCAAAACTCGCAGGTGGAGCGTATTCAATTGATTACGACCATTGTATCATAACCTGCCAGCAAGCATGGCCAATTCTCTTCTTCGCGAATCGCAAAACGCTCGCTCGAACCACTGGTCTCTCATCCCAGTCTCTCACTCATCGCTTCATCATTTGAACCGGCAGTGACGCTGCCAGCGTAGCGTGGTGACAAAGTTGAGAAGTCGTTGCTTATTCTCGTCGACACTTTTAATATGTACTCGGTTGATATCTCATGTTTTCTCTCACTTACTCGTTGCTCCCTTATATGCAGTACCTGCGATTCGCCTGTGCCATTATTGAGCCCGTGAGCCTGCGACTGCTGGAGAGATGATGAGGTATCTTTTGGAAATTGACACTCGTTTTCATTCTTGGCATGCGCTTGGTTGAAGATTTTTGGTACAATAGTCATGCTCACAGCCACCACAGCTTCCTCTGCAGTTTTGGACAAGCAAGACGATATCAAGTTGTTTCATGGCATACCCCGATGACCCTATACCTCCTCGGAGACAAGGAACGGCGTTAGCAGAACTAGTGACTATCAATTAGCGCTCTTCCAAGTTCCTGTACCCCATTCGCACTCGATCGATGAAGGGAACCGCTCCCGCACTACTCTCTATTGTGTGTATTGCAGGGCGTTCACGCGAGGCTAGACAGGTAAGATCTCAGTATTCGGATTACGAATCTCTTTATTGACGAATGTTTTTACCTAGACAGGTAAGCTACGTTATACGTTAGTACTCGTACTCAAACGTTACATTAGAAGACTCACATCTCAGTATTCGGATTACGAATCTGAGATGTTTCGATGGCGGATGGCTGCTTTTATATGGTGAGTGCGCCAGCTGGCCTTTTTGATGAAAACATATACTAAACGAATGAAAAAGATAGCCGACGTTGACACGTCGTCTGGAATCTCCGTTTGGTGGCGCTCGCACCTCGAGCTGCCTTACTCTTCGGCCGTAGTCCCATTTCCTCCTTTCTCGGCCTTTCTGTCCTCGGGTTCATCGGCTCTCAACACTCTCCGACGGCAAGTACCGCGCAGGCAGTGAATATTAATTCTCTTCATCATTACCCCCTTTTGTCACTTTCATCATGACGCGTACTCCTGTATGGCAATGGGTTTTGACTATCCCCGACTCCCACACGTTAAGGGGGAGGGCTTTCAAGTCGAACGCAAACACTTTTCCCATCTCCATCATTTTTCACTAGGGGCCGACGTTGCCGCCATGGACCCTTCTCAGTGCGAATACACCTTCAAGTGCGACCAAATCAACAGGGATGGTACTTATGTAAATGTAAACCTTATGATACACTTTGGAATCGTCGCATGGCATATGTATTTGGATCCTGTCGGCTGCATTCTCCCGAATGCTTCAACGTGTTTGTATTTCGTTTATCATGGTATCTCGCTCAGTAGTCTACGGTTCTGGTTCTGAGTATTCGTGTTAACACTCATTTACCGTTGGCTGCGACCACCTCAAGTTATCGAACAGATTTCTTGTAATGCAGTTATCTTCATTCTGCCACTATCCCTCTCTCAGTAAATATTGTCACTATTGTTTCTTGTGTCGTACAGCTACTTTCATATCGATGGACCGGATTTAATTGTTGTTCCCTTCACCACTTTTGGAGCTTGACAAACAGTTTAGAGGGTCCCGCTTGAAGTTATTGCTATATAACAGAAATTTCGGCAGAATCTGCAGGAGTGTGTTGTATTACTTGTGTTAGGGGTATGGTTCAGTTACTCCTGACGAATTACTGATTTGAACCGGAGCTCCAACTCTGAAATTCAGATTTCTTCATCACTTTGCAATTACCTTGCGAAGCAAGGTCAGGTTCACATGGATCATTTTATGTGATTTCCAAATAATAGTAAATACAGTGACGCCATACAACGTGATACGATGATGCGAACTTATCACCTACCTCCGATTTCCTTCCAATACTTGTCGTTTTCTGAATAACAAAGTAATAACTTAGACCGTGCAACTCCCTCGCGCCCAGAGCTCCGCCCACAGGGCGAAGCTAGCGCGCTTCCCTTCCAATATTCGTCGTTTTCGGACAACTCCCTTTTTTGTTAATATGTTGGTAATAATGTGATGAATAAATAAAAATTAATCCTATAATTTTACGCCGCGCCCCTAAACATCGTATTTACTATCTATCTATCGAAACACCATGCAACCTAGCGTATTTGAACTGCTAAGTACCTCAGACAATCAATGTGCTTTCATTTTCAGTGAGTATAGACTGAGAATTACTGATATCGTTCTGGATCCCAGAGAGCCAAAGATTGGGAGCAACGCTGTGGAAGCAAAGCGAGCATTCTTGCGTTATCCCCCTGCATTTGTTATCATTCACCTCGACTTCTGCGATTTACCGCCATTGCACGGACTTCTGCCTCAGCACATACCAGTGTTACCTTGCGAAATTAAATTTTCCATGGGCACAGGTCCTTCTACAAGAATCACGCGGCGTCAACTCCCTGTAACACCAGCTTACGCATTTACCGACTTTAAAGCACAAGGACAGACGATTGATCACGTTTTAGTGGACATTGGAAGAACGACATGTTTTCGCCTATCTCCCTTCAATGCATACGTCACACTATCCAGAAGTCACGGCCGAGAATGCATACGTCTTCTCAGAGACTTCGACAATGATCTATTCCTTCAACATCCAAACGAAGACCTTCGGATAGAAGATAACAGGATTGAGCGACTCGCGGAGGAAACGAAAAAGTGTTTCTCGAGGACAGACAGTCTGACAGAAAACAAGGTACCATAGTGCAGTACACTGAAAGAAACAATGTAGTAGTAGCTATATAGTGATGTCAGAAGAAATCCTGGGACGAAGCCAGACTAAACGAGCACGATAGAGCTAGAAAAAGACGGAATGTGAGCAAGGTCCACGTCGGCAACGCCGACCCCTAGTTACTTTATATAAATCATATTCTGCTTGACAAAATATCATTGTACACTTGTGATACACTATTGCCAAGTTAAGTCTTTGAAATTAGTCAAGAAATGATTGAGATCCTTGTCGAGGTGTGACGGAGCTGGTTCGGTGTTTCATTTCTGCCGAACCACTCACTACTGGCAAATATGCCGCAAATCCGCGACGACAGATGGGCGCGCTCGGGGCAGGGATGCCCATTCCCCAAATCCGAGCAGAGAGTTCCAGCGCGAGTCGCAGATTCAAGAAGCCCTTGCTGGAGTTCAAGGAAGAGCTATAGGGCAGCAGCAAAAGCTCATCAACATCAGGTGAGATCCACCATAATCCGTGCTTCATTGATTTTCTCACTATCGCAGACTCGCCGTCGAAAAAAAGGACACAATCGCTTCACTGACCAACAAAATCAAGACGTACCTCGACAAGCACCATGCACTGGTGGACAATGCACGCTTTTCTGCGTTGTTTGGAGCTGGAAGGCGTCGCGCACATTCGAGGCATGCCCCACACAGCCAGGACTCCGCACCTAACACCCGCGCGACTAGTAGCAGTCATCCATAGACGTCGGCGTCACTCCCCACACCACCCTTTGGCCTTAGCTCATCACTGCCAGTCTCGCAGCCACCCGCAGCACTCGGAGGTCCGTGAGGAGAAACGTCTATGGTTTTCGGGTGCGCGATGGTACGTTTCTGAGGGTGGGAGGAAGGGGCATCTAGCCACGGATGTGGGGGATGGGTCTTGAGCTTGGAGGTCGAGTGGTGTTCGAGTGAGTGTAATGCGTAGATATAGTAGAGAGGGAGAAAGAGACGTGCGTTTATCCTTTGTCCCGGCCCTGCTTCTCCTGCCATGGATGACGAAGACATTTGAGGGCTATGTTGAACACAGCAGCAACTCGTCTTGTATGCCATTCATCAAGTCTAGGAGTGGTTACTAATGAGTTTTTGTGAACGTCTTCGTTCGCAAGGAATGACTCGCTCCCAATGTGGAGAGGCCTTGAGGCAGTTGATTTAGCGGGGGTGTGGTTGTGTTAGCTCAAGTGTTGATGGCAATGAGCGTGGCCGACCGTGGGAACGGGAGGTAAGTGCGTGCTGGCCTGAGGTGCATCTATCATATCGTCGACAACAGTCTGTCATTGAGGCAGTGATGGGCAGCTCGGACAACTTGAAGTCACCCCATAATATAGAAGGAACGACTGTCTTCCGTCTCCTTTGGTCTGACTAGCCCTAGGAGAGACTAGGTTTCGGCCATGACAACTTCAACTATGCTCACTATCGACCTCTGGACTATCACAACATTTCTTGTACTCTTTTACCTGGGTCTTGCTCGTGTTATTGCTGTTCAACTGAGAACAGTTACTGCCGGACTCGAATTCTCAAGGACTAACAGCGCATTTTTGATAGGCTGGCATGATGTGAGTCTCATTCCAGGTGTTTCCTTCCTTGACTCACGTCATTACCATATGGTGATTCGCAGTCTCAAGGCGCTGATACTGATATATGGGCCATCAAATCATCACAGATGCAGTAAAATTTTACTGTACGACTTCCAAGACTTTGACGGCAATCTTTTGCCAAATTGATTATCTGGTCTGAGAACACGAGCGGTTTACAGCGAAAGATCTCAAGGCTTGTAAGTTGTAAAACTTTTGTGCACCGCCAAACAACAGTGGCTATGACTGAATCAATCGCAAGGACCAACATGACAACAAATTTGTTGTCAGTTGATTGATTCCAGTTATGAATCACGATCGAGGATCCGTGCACCATGTGTAGCATACAGGTATGTAGCCAATAGAACGGGCTTCTGGATTTAACATCGGACAACGATCTTCCATAACAGATCTATAACGTTTCAAATTTCAGTAGGATCTCCTTCAATTGCAAGTCCAGATTCGTTCAATTTCCCGAAATTAAAGTTGCCAACATCTTATAGGCCCTATATTTGCTTGCGGTTGGAGTATATGATTCTGGACCCATGGTAGCAGCTGGCTGGAATTGATGCATTGATGCGGCCAAACTTGATGTTGGCATGTCCCGTGTAGCAGAAACAGGTAAAACTTGATCCTGGAGTCACATGACATGGTATCGACCGTCGGAAATTTACACGCAGTGTACAGTGTACACTATCTCCGATGAATATCAGATGAAGATCTGCCTTAGGCTGTACATGTATGCGCGGGCGGCAGTATCGGTTATTAAATAAATCCCAATGGCTCAGCGAACACCATACTTAAGTACTAGTGCTCGCGGGCGTATCGCTCGGAGGTTCCATTCAGTGATCAGGACTTGCGGGCAGGTCACCACAAGGCGCATACTGTATATCGATTTATCCTCATATGTCTTCCTTATCTGTCTCAGACCTGATGAAGTTGCAGACAGTCAAGGTGAGTAAAGGGCGGCTTTCCTCTTATAAACTCGATGTTGACATTATGTCTGATTTAGTACGCCAATTGTGAGTGTCCGCCGATCGTCTGAAAACTGGACGATGGCACTGACCATTGTTTTCAGTGGGCAGTATTGCAATCCTCGTGAGTACCAATCACATTTCCTGTATTTCTACATCAAATCTAAATCGATGTTGCAGGTATTTGATTTTTGCATTACGTTTCCCGAAGAGGTCGAGGAAATATCTGTTTTGACGAGTATTGTTTTGACCACTCTCAACAGGTGCGATGGACCTGGTTCAGACCATGGGATGTAACTCGTGTCATTTTTGTCATTTCTCGATATTTGCCTTTCGCGGGTGTTGGATTGACTGCATATGGCGAGTGACTCACTCTGATTTTCTTTATTTTTTGTATTGCTGATGGGAATATATTAGATGCACTGCGTGTCAAACATCAGGTAAGCTTGGATGACGAATAGTTTCTACGTTAAGCTGATTGCATGGAGAAAGTGTACTTCTTCTCCGCAAGGAAAAAGTAAGTCGACCTGTCAAACGGTTCATTTTTCATACGACTTAAACATTGTGGTGTCAGTCATTCACATAATAAGTATCGTTGCTGCGGAATGTGCGCGTTCCCCATACATTGAGAGCGCAATGGATCTCACATTCTTGGCAGCCTTGCTGATCATTCGGACCTGGGCATTCTGGCAGAGGAGTAAAAGACTGCTGATCGGATTATTGGTTTATAGTGCGGTGTGTGTTTCGCAGAGGAGGAATGACCGCATAGATTCTTATCATTGCATAGTTGATGATTGCCGCCGCCCTTGCTGTAGACCTCAGCCCTACGATGCTGCTTCCAGGAGGTGAGCTCATTAGTGGTTACGAACGAAAGTGGTTCTAATTTGACTATCAGAAGAGCCTCCCCTAGGAACTTGTTACTTCGAGGACACACGCAATGAGGCGGTCGTATACATATTCTTGGCGATGTTCGAAAGCGGTCAGTGATTATCCAAAGCTATCTATTGGCCTTCTTACCCATTTCAACATGATAGTGATACTGATCCTTACTGTGTATAAGAGGGTTCACAATTACAAAAACTCTCAGAGCGGAATTGTGGTAACCCTGTATCACGATGGCATGTTTTACATGTTGTGCATTCTTGGTGCGTGGAAATGGTTTTCTCTCAAGATATCATCGAGTAACGCGTTTGAAAAAGGCATCACACTCGCCAATGTTATCATCGGAGCTGCACTTCCAGTACGCATCTGGGCTATCAAACCCTACTATTCACTCACTTTCTGTTTTTTTTCTGCAGAGTGCCTATAGCGATATGCTTGATGCGTACGTCACCGCCGGTTGCACTCTGACCGCTAGTTGATCTGGAACCCATTGCACTAGGCTACAGCTGGTCAGTCACAGCGTCCTGGCATCACGGATTCTATTCCGCATTCGAGATAGCAACGAACGTATACACGAACCGTCTGTGTCGGTAACGACCATGGAATTAGACTGTTTACGACCTCCGTCGATGTCGATGAGTTGGACGGGTACTACTAGTCAAGCTTGAAGGAATGTGGGTATATGCGGAATCATCGCCCTCTGTTCAAATGAGAAGCTTCTTGCCAAGCTTCAGTGCCCCCCGATGACTGTATCGACTGGACTTTAGCTTGTTCCTAGGGGAAACATGCAGCTGTCATTAGCACCGTGCATATTGCAGCAGCAGCCTGACAATTTATATATATCTCAGTTACATATCTTCATCAGCGGGTTGGATTGTGCTACAGAATTGTAAGCACGGTTTACCTGAATTCCCATAATCAGTATATATACCGTCACTGATGCCGAATTCAGTATTTCACCTTTTGGTGTAACGGTTATGCGCGGGCGGCGGTCTGACCATGTTACAAGAATGCTACAGAGCGTTCTGTAGCACTCTGTAGTGAATTACGTTGGTACCTCGCCCAATCAGATTCAGCTCCGAACAAGGCGCCAAGAAAATGCCGTTTCGCCGATGATCCGAATATGCTGACTTTGGAAATAGAAGCGGTGCTATATCTAGTGAGAACACCATCGTTATAGGCATCACCAACATTCCCCAATCATTCGCGCCCATCCCTCGAATGACCGTAGTCTTAAATAATCCCAGTTGGTGGCCGCTGATCGATTTGAATGTGTTTCTCAGCTATTGGACAGGTTTGTCGCATCCAGATATCTCGCTCTAACATTGACTTCCGATTTCGCAGTTGCCGCTGGCGTCGTGGTGGTATACGATTGGGGTGAGCAGAACCGTGTTCGAAAACTGCTGATGTTCTTATGATATCTGCAGTACTAACACTAGGACAAGAGGTAGGTTAGTGTTATGGCTGAGGCGGAAAACTCGCTAAGAATGCTGTCATAGATTGAACTGATCTGGGTGAGTGACAAGAATCCTGTATCAGAAGAAAAAACGGGGAAAATACAATGACATCGCAACAGAGGCAACGCTGGTCTCTCATGACTTTGTTGTATTTGGTCGTTCGTACTTCTATTATCTATAGCGTGAGGTTAGCAAGTGCTGACTCCACAATGTTCTAGATACGCTATGTTGGAATACCGTTTTCTGTGTATGTGGCGAAGCCAACAACTTGGCACCATGCTAATAGTTTGTCTCTGACAATTAGCGCCTATGTTTTGTGTATGTCTGATATGCACCATGTTCGATTTTTCTGACCGGCAGCACGCAGCAAGCATACCATTTATCTCGCTGACAGATGCAGTGAGTGTTCTACAACCATCTTATTCATATCTAATCATTCTAATGAATACACTCATTTGTAGGGGTAAGTGAGATTCTGACCATTAAGCTTAGCTCAATATAACGACTTAATAGGTGTAAGTTGGAGCGTTTGATACTAGCACGAGGATGATCACTAATCGAGTGTTTCAGGCAATATTACGAACTACATAATGAATGTGACAAACGTGGTCATAGCTGCTACGTTGGGCAGTGAGTTACCCAGCTGCAATACCTCTGGGATGTTGACTCGACCGAAACATGATGCTAGTTGTGATGATTGCTCGCTTATATGCCATGTATCAGGGATCTAGAATGATGCTTATTTTCCTTGTGATTATCTTCCTGGCTGTAAACATCGCCTGCGGAGTAATCGCGGGAATAGTACTGAAGCATTTTGTAGGGGGTAAGCTTCACTTGTTGACATAAAGAACACGACTCATTGAATAAACACTAGATGAGTGGATAATGTCCGGTACATATATGTGCAATGCCGAATATGAGGGGGACGGCGTGCTTCTTATTTCAATGGTTTGGGTGCTCAACACTGTTTGGGAGGTCCTCGCACTGTGTCTTTCAGTCTGGATTGCTGTAAAACACTTCCGTAGCCTGCGACGGCTCGGCCCATCGACAGGATCGACAATTGGGGACTATTTCAGAGTCATGATACAATCTCACGTGCTTTATTTTGCGAGGTGAGCTTCTCATGTGACTGGGACTATCTCTTTCTCAAGTTCCGCACGTACTAGCTTCGTTTGTGTCTCTTGCCTCCAGATTGCTTTTTTCTTTCCAGAGCTCCAGGTGCGCCGACCTGTCGCTGACATCTGCGTGTGACCACTTCTCATCATTTGTGTAGAATTCACATTCGACGATAACTAATATACTCGAAGGTGCTCTTCAGATTCTATTGGTCGTGCAGATGTTTGTGCTGGGACCACGCCTCATCCTTAGCGTTCGACAATGTCACGCTAAACTCGTGGCCGGATCCGATATAGAAAATAGCATGGATTCGATTGTCTTCCAGGATCGTGTACATGTATCAACTAGCGTTACCGTGTAGGGAAATGCTTGGCGAGTGGCCTGCAGGGAGGTGGGCGATGATCGATGATCCGTCGTGGTATTTATTTAACATATGGTGTTTCGAGGTATATTTGAGAAGTCCGGGCAAACCTATTTCACTGAAACAAAGTACCCGCGCTTGAACTAAGTGGTAAGCTAAAATTATCCGGAAGGACTAGCAACTGAAGTGCCTTAGCAGCTGATTCTGCGCGTTTGTGGAGTTCCACTGTCTTGACGCATAGATGAAGAAGTGACTGGCTGATAACTCATTGGTGATTAGATGCGATTTCCTCCGTCCGGTGGGCCACGGAGAATGAAAGGAGTTGATCGCGTAGACTCATGGCTCGACTATACGTCTCTCTCGCGAATGAGCATGGCAAGGATATGGAGTCTGCTGAGTGGGGAGTAGAGAATCGGAAAGTCGAAGGTTCAAGTCAGAAGGCCTCAAGCGTACCTATTGATCAAACTACTGGGGATGCGTGTTCGATTATGGACAAGCCGCGTGATGGATAACGATGAAGACCAGCACTAAATGGAAGCACAATGGATGTTGAAGAAGGATAGTCTAGGATAGATACTGGCACATTTGTACAAGGGATGATGACATCAATGATGGCGGAGTCCAAGCACAAAGAAGGATGGACAAGGGTGGCCATCAGAGCGGCAGTATGATGTTCCTGAGCGCGAGGAAGACTGTGTCTGGAGGATCTGTCACAGCCTCCGAGTACCCACACAAGACAAGACAAGACTGACAATACAATACCATGCTGCGCACGAAAGAGTGCCGGGTCCCAGTCAACCACGTGAATTCGAAATTCAAATCAGAGGTCCTGGACCCCTGAATGGCGCCTTAGTCACGTGCGGGTAGTTGATGTTTGGAATCACATGATGATGCGCCAGTATCGATTGGTAGACAAACATCTATCATACCACCGCATGCCGTCGACATGATGAAATACCCTATAAAATGCGACATCTAGCAGCATGCAACTCTATGTAATCTAGATTCTATGCATATGATTCTACAATCGTGCATTAAACCAGCCAATTTTATAATAAACGTACTCCACGTCTTCATCAAGACCTTGTCCGTGCGTATAATCGCCATATGCATCACATGTAATATATTCCTTCGATAGTATGACGAGATCAGCATCACCGGTCGGATCAACATCGCATGCCTTGAGGAACACGGACTCAACCGTGTTTGACTCGAATCTGTGCGTTGAACGAAGTGGTATCACAAGATGAAAAGCGGCGGGAGGTACGGTGCTATCAGAAGGACGCCGCACAAGCCCTTTCAGACAGTCCCTGATCCAAACCGCATGTTGGGCTTCGTAAATTATGTCCGCACCAAGGACCACATCAAATGGGTACGACAGACAATCCGGTCGAGGAGTAGTAGAGAATGATGACCAGTCAAGAGAATGAGTGGTAATGGAATGGGTTGAAGTAATTTGATTGTGCGTGGAGGAGACATTCGCGTCAATGTTTGACCTGAGGTTGGCTAACACAGAAGGATGGAAATCGGTCGCAACCACATGAACCTCGCGATGGTTGAAAGATGGCAATGCATCCAGTAGTTTCATAACCACCAAGCTAACCAACCCTGTTCCTGCTCCGAGCTCAAGGACGTTGAGCCTGCGTGATTCAGGGCTGTGAGAGGAAGAATCCAGTCCAAACCGCTCAGGATCTTCCACAATCATTTCTGCCAGGATACATGCCCCGCCCCATGTCTGCGCTCCCACACTCCCGTAGTCATTGTTGTCCAGCGGAATATCTGTGATTTGAGCTTCCACTCGCCTCTGCCCGTCTGTAGAACCAAAAACGAAGTTACGGGTGATGATTCCAGCAGCAGCGACCCCGGCACAAATCGCGAGTAGCGACGCGGCTTGTTGGACGATTATCTCTGTGTAAGCCAAGGTAGGCTCTGGCATTCCAATATCATCCAATGAGACTTCTTCGGAGTGCGATAAGCCTTGCCAGACCTCGAGCTGTGTGATTAGAGTGGTAAGCCACCGAATGGAATATGAGCGCTCGAATGTGTCAGATCGGATAGCTTGGAGTTCGCTATCATCTTCATGGCGAAGGGGTAGATTTTGCTCTCCATTAGATACAGGCGCCTGCACACGTTTGCGACGCGAGCCACGGACTTCTGGATGGTAGAGTGACTGTAAATAAGTCAAGGCATCGAGAAGCTGGGTGACGGAGAAACTCGCGATCTTGGCGATCGGCGGAAGATACGTGGTTGGTGGGCAGAGAACAGACATTTAGAGGCGTTAAAATCGAGGAGGCAGGAAGACAATCAATGCTAGCATAAAATCATACTGGTTGAATATTTGAGAATTATGGTTTCGAGTTAACATGGTTATTTGCGGGTGTGTACTATGATAGCGTGAATAACAAGTCTAAACAACAATTAGCACTTGTTGAACCCACCGCTGGTAAATATTGTGGTAATTGATCACTGGCAGAATCATCAAGTAGCAAAATGAATAATTCCAGTCAATCGTCCACTCTGTCCATATCATCTATCCCGCCATCTAACTTTCAGAATGCTTCTGTATATATGTCACAATCGTCGCTGCACGATTCCATCCATACTGATCCAAATTCGCCAGAAGTGCTAAAGCAGAACGTGCAGATAGCGCTCGACCATGTCGCAAGGATTCAATCACTGGCACGTAATTGCTTGCACGGCATGTGAGTCTCTCTACTCCCTTCATACTTATACCATGTTTAATTATTTGTCAGACAAAGCGCATACCAAGCAGGAAATAGTAATAGTCCTGCACATACAACAGGCAAGTACGTTCATGTTTTTTATAACTGTGGCTTTACGCTTTCTATTTTCAGCCGAGCTGGCTGCACTCATGCAGGCACTTCGCACAATTGCTGAATTCCTTCGACAAACCGGTGTAGGCGCATACCCCATGCCACCCGCCCCCGAATCTCAGAGTGCATCATCGGTACCTCCCACAGAGCAGCAACTGATTGACACCACGGCCCGAGAGGTACAAGTGCTTTATGAGCGCCTGAAACGTATTCAAGAGAGCAATACCGTTGCTGTAAATCTACTTGGGGCCGCTGATACTGTCTCTCGTGCACGCTAATCAACATCGGTACCAATTCTATTGTGTATCTTTGTAACATCAGCCCAGTTGATATGCGACGATGCGCAGATTAACCGGATTGAGGTGACAGCGTGTTTGAATTGGCTTATACTGGTAGTTAATCTCTCGAGGATGACAGTCAATTACGTCCAGACGGTCAGTCCTTCCACGCAGTTATATTTGATTCCGTTGACAGTCTAGTACTCAACAGCTCTGAGGTAACGTGTCCTCAATTCAACTGCCTAGCGTCTGGATACATAGATCGTGCCGAGAACACGACGGCCTGAAATTTATCAAGAGCCAACCTTACCGAGGTTTGACGTCATCAAACACCACTCAATTCGCCACCCTTAAGGAGCTGAACTTCAATCCCAACCCCTCTTGAACGGTTAGCCGGGGAGTGCTAATGAACGACCTCATTCCACGATCGATGGAAGCGGTGAATTTGAAAGCGTTATACATTCTCATATGACGATCCAATTTGCATACATACAGTTTTACTTACACATCTGACCTGCGATTATGCTGATATGATCTGAACTTTTTCACTTCATTACACAACGTTTTCTGTTGTTGGATCTGGAGGCTACTTAAGGTTTCGTTCGTCATTTGATCTCTTTACTAACTTTGATTAGTCGATGAGCTATAGTTTGACCTACCTCGAGTCGTTTAACTCGGTGCTGGGTATATCTATAATTCTGGACATCGACTTGGGATGCCTATGGGTGGTTACGAATGCGCATCCGAGTCATCGACCGACAATAGCAAGGCGGTCCAAGGGGACGGATACGCGATTTTCGTTACGATGTGGCGGGCCTATGGCTTTATCGTCCGTGACACATCGATGATGTTGATATTATCTAAAACGTTGGAGTACAACCCGTGTAGCTTAGTCTGTGAGTACTCTCGTTCTCAAAGTAATATCCTTTCGCACACGATTTTGTTCAGTGCTCTGCTGTATACATGCTTGAGCTATGTTTTTGATTACTTATAGTGGATCTTGCTCGTATTCTTATACACTTTTCTTCCAAATTCTGATATTTGATGTCGTCCCAGAGGATTCGGCATCATACAGTATGATGGTGTCTACAGGTCACAATTAGTACCGAACAAATGGGCAGATACATACGCCATGGGGGCAGCAAGAGTAGTTCACAGGCAACACCACTTGAATCATGTACTACAGCCGCGCTTAATGACTTGATAGAACTGTGACGATGCAGGAGTAAATCAGATTTATTCAACGGGACGCAGAGTGTAGCACCAGTACAGTACAGAATAAGACAGTATCATGAAGAAATAAGTAAACAACAAGAGAGCGAGGGATTGAAAACAACTGGAAATACAGCAAATGTAATAATATAATATAGCGAATCGAGTCTCTAACTACACACCTATGTGGACAAATACAATCTGCTGTTCTAACGGAATCTTCTTGCGCAACGATCTCACAGCCTTGTGCAGCGCGACCGCAGCGCCTGTGCGGTCCAATCTTTTTGAATCACCAATCAAATTGCGGTAAAAAGCAGACACGACCTGGCGTGCAACATCGTCGTCAACAGACCACATGGGACCGATCACACTGCGAAATCCGCAGAATTGCATGGCCGCAGCAAGATGGATCGACTCATCCGGGCTCTCTTCGTCGCCAACGGTAGTGTGGCAGGCCGATAAGAATGCAAACTGCGGGTTCTGCGAGTTGGATCGGATGATATCCTTAATCATCAAGGGCCCGTCGCGCATGGCGAAGGAAGACTCGAACGGCTGCGTCCGATTCGGCATTCCATGGCAGGCAAGATGGAGCCATTGATTACGGTCGAGTGCATCGAGTGCACCCTCGACTGTTGCGTTGCCATCCTCGAGGGATGTGAAGGAGATGACGGGAGTAACGTGCTGAGCGACGACGGCTAGCTCAGGAGCGACACATTTGAGCTCCTTCCCTTCAACCGGGTTGCCTTGGCCGATGGCAACAAAATGTTGCGAGGACGCATCTCGAGAAACCTGCTGTCTTGCACGAACGAGAGTCGCCAAAGTGGGGGTGTAAGAGGAGATGTAAATGTCGGATAAATTGTCTCTCCCCTTCTCGTATGGTCCCGCTGCATGGAGGGGAAGCAGCGTGAACTCAGCAGTGGGACACCACCAGATACGCGAACTAGGGCGAACTTCAGACTCTATAAGAGCTTGGACTACGGGGTCAACGACATCATTCCAAAGCTTGCGAAGGATGCCGACAAGCGTGAGTTGATAATCAGAAGAACCAAACTTCTCTGCGAGTGATTGGAACTCTGAGGAGAATTCGTACACTTGGGCTTGTGTAATGTCAAGCGGAACATGGACAGGATCTCCCGCACTATGGACGATCAACGCGTCGCAGCTGTGCTGACTAGCATTGACGATGATCACTGGGCCATCTTCGGCCGCCCTCTGGAGGTCGGGAAACAGTGGAGGTAGGAGAAAACGCGAAAAGTCGGGGAGCATGCGAATGCGCGAGACAACTTCATCCCATTGCATTGCCAGTTGTCGGATTTGCGGAGACTGGTCTTCAAACCGATCGAACGCGTTACGAAGGCGAAAACTCAACTGTTTGAACTCTTTTGCCAAGGCCGTGCCGGTGTCACCTGAAATGGAAAGTTCATCGAGTGGTATGTTGAACCGTGCCAACTGGGTCCAGAAAACTGCACGACCTTGCTCCATCAACTCCACCGCAGTGGTGAGTGCACCACGACGAACACTGCATGAAAAAGCATCCGTGGCGAGAGAAGAAACGACCTCCCTGATGACGTCAAAGTGATGCGAAGAAGACGACAGGAGAGCAACTTGCTGATCTAAGGATTTCAGTGCAACCTTATAAGCAAGCAATGCAGATGGGTGATTGAAAATGTCGGCGGAGGCTGCCCATGACTTGGCAGCACTAAGATATGCGCGAGATACCGCATGTGATAGGTAGAGGAGTTCAGAGTACAAGCTGAATGCTTCTGCAAGGTCAGACTGGATGTCCCGTTGCTGGAATCTGTCTTGAAGGCTGAGTGCAAGATGGTCCAGATACGAGGGTCGATCTAAATGACCGGGGGGACAGAGGAGTAATGCAGCTCGATGGAGTTCGATGGCCTCATCAAGGTCAGACATCGTACCCCGCTGCTCGAATCTGCATCGAAGGCTGATTGCAAGATTGCCCAGAGACGAAAATGGATGTGAATGACCAGGGGGATGGTGGAGCAATGCAGCCCGATGGAGATTGATGGACTCATCAAGGTCAGACATCATGCCCCGCCGCCGGAGGCAGGTTGCAAGATTGTTCCGACACATGGATCGACCCGAAAGACCGGGAGGACAGAGGAGTAATGCAGCCCGAAGGAGCTCGATGGACTCATCAAGGTCAGACATCATGCTCCACTGCCCGAATCTATCTCGAAGGCTGAGAGCAAGATTGTTCAGAGAGATAAATCGATGTGAATGACCGGGGGGACGGAGGAGTAATGCAGCCCGATGGAGCTCGATGCTCTCATCCAGGTCAGACATCTCGCCGCGCTGCTGGAATCTGTCTCGAAGGCTTTCTGCAAGATTGTTCAGAGACGATAATCGTTCTGAATGACCGGGGCGATAAAGGAGCAATGCAGCCCGAAGGAGCTCGATGGCCTCATCAAGGTCAGACATCATGCCCCGCTGCTCGAATCTGTTTCGAAGGCTGAGTGCAAGATTGTTCAGAGACGATGATCGATCTGAATGACCGGGAGGACGGAGGAGTAATGCATCCCGATGGAGCTCGATGGACTCATCAATGTCAGACATCATGCCCCGCTGCAGGAATCTGTCTTGAAGGCAGATTGCAAGATTGTTCAGAGACATCGATCGATCTGCATGACCAGGGGGACGGATGAGTAATGCAGCCCGAAGGAGCTCGATGGACTCATCAAGGTCAGATGTCATGCCCCGCTGCCTGAATCTGTCTAGAAGGCTGGCAGCAAGATTGTTCAGAGACATCGATCGATCTGAATGACCAGGGGGACGGAGGAGTAATGCAGCCCGATGGAGCCCGATGGCCTCATCCAAGTCAGACATCATACCCCGCCGCTGAAATCTGCCTTGAAGGCTGACAGCAAGATTGTTGAGAAGCGAAGATCGGAAGATGATGGCCCAGAGGACAAAGCTTCAATGCAACCCGATACCCTAAGCTAGTGAATGCAAGATAACCACTGCCCATCTCGCTGTGAAAGCTGTCGCATGAGCGCAAAATGGAGTGAGATCGCAGTCAATACACACTTAGGGAGTTGAAACTGCAGTACTTATACACCGAAGGTCCGCCAGTGCGAGGGAAATGATATGGTAAGTGCTCAGCGACCACTAGAATTCACAGGAGAGCTGCAGGGCCAAGGTGAGGTCGAGGCTCTGTTAGAGAACTACACAAGGCTGTGGCATTGCAGCCTGTAAAATATATATGCAAGGTGCCAGTTGGATAGATGAAACCGCACTACAACCGCGCATCGGGTCAAAATTTCATCCAAAACAATAGAGGGTGACATGATGAGTTCACTGGCCTTCAGTCACATAGTACATACTACTGACTTCGGAAATATCGCAGGCGTGTTTTACTATTAGTTTACTTCAAGCACGAGTCCTTGCCAGCCAACAATATGCGAGGTGTGATAGAAAGCACTAGTACTTATAGGCCTTCAAGTTTCGACACCGTGACCACTCTATTGGCGATGTAAAACAGTTGTCCAATCGAGCTTGGACTGTTAGAGTCCATTTGTGGTACTAGTATTAAGTATGCTCAATGTTTGATTTAGTAGAAGAAGACTTGGACGTACGGGTACGATGAGGCTGAAGCAAGTAAGGCCGACCTATTTCTTCCTGTATCAGCACTGGAACGAAGTACCCGCGCTTGAACTTCAACCAAGTGGTATCATTCCAATCGGCATGTCAACATGTCAACGGCAACCCGGAATCCTGGACCGATCTCGCGAATTTCCGACACTCAGCGTTTCAACTTTCAATGCACACGTGTCACTACCAACGTATGCTTATTCTTCTGAGCCTCCTATACTTCAACTAAGAACAGTTACCGCCGGACTCGAGTTCGCAGTGACTCCCAGTGAATTCCTCATGGGCTGGAATGATGTGAGTCTCATTCGAGGTGTTCCTTCCCTTGGTTGGCCACATCATTACGCAGTGGCGATTCGCATTCTAAACGCGCTGATACTGATATATGGAATTTGTTGCGCCATCAAACTGTCGCAGACACAGCAAAGTGTCAGTGTGCGGGTTTCGAGACCTTGACGGCAATCTTTCGCCGGATTGATTACCTGGTGTGAAGTCATGGGCCGTTACGGCAAAAATGCATTCTAGTTAAAAGGCTTGTCGTAGTAAGTTGTTGTAATCTTTTGTGCACCGCCCAACAACAGTGTCTATGACTGAATCAATCCCAGGGGCCAACATAACGACAGTCGTCAGCTCATCGATTCCAGTCACTTACATCATAAATCATGCTCGAGGATCCCGCCATGAGCAAATCAAAAAAATATGGCCTGTCACTGTAACATACAGGGTACATAGCTCTGAAATTTGAATAGGAGACGTAAGACTAGCCAGATTGGCTAGTGTTATGTTAGGGCTTCGGGATGTAACATCATTTTGATCTTCACATCGAGCAACGATGTTGCTTAGCACTGTTGATCTGATCTAAAATTTCAATAGTCGCCCAGGGGTCTCCTTCAATTGAAATTCCAGAGTCATATTTGCTGGTTCGAGTTCCCGTAAGTTCTGTTACTTTTCCACCGAAATTGAAGTTGCATCTCATAGGCCCTATATTATCTTCGACTGTGCTTGCGGTGGGAGTGATAGCCGGTGTTTGCAGTTTCCCATTACAACGCATGGCGCCTCTAGTGCTTATCGGGCACTATCTCTGATGAATGTCGAATGAAACTCTGCCTTTGGCTGTGCATGCACAGTATCGGTTACTAAATCAATACCAATGCCCCATCGAACATCGTATTTAAGTAATGCCTGCAGGTGTATCGCTCCATTCAAGACTTGCGAGCAGGTACCACGAGGCGCATACTGAATACCAATCTTATCCTGATATGTCTTCCCTTTCGATCTCAGACCTGACGAAATTGCAGACGATCAAGGTGAGTAAAGGGTGACTTCCCTCTGATAAACTCGAGGCTCACATTATATCTGATTTAGTACGTCAATTGTGAGTGTACGCCGGTCGTTTGGAAACTGGACGGCGGCATTGACAATTATTTTTAGTGGGCAGTCTTGCAATCTTCGTGAGGATCAAACAGAATTTTTGTGTTTTTACCTCAAATCTCTTTCGACATTGCAGGCATTTGATTTTTGCATCACGTTTTCCGAAGAGGTCGAGGAAATATCTGTCTGTTCGTAAGTATTATTCTAACCACTCCCCACAGGTGCGATGGACCTGGTCCAGACCATGGGATGTAATTCGTGTCATATTTGTCATTTCTCGATATTTGCCTTTCGCGGGTGTCGGAATGATTGCATATGGCGAGTGATCCACTCCAATTCTCCTTGTATTGTGTGTTGCTGATGGGCATATCTTAGACGCATTGGGTGTCAGCAATCAGGTAATCTTGGATGGCGAATAGTTTCAATGCTAAGCTGATTGCATGAGAAAAGTGTACCTCTTTACTGGAAGAAAATAGTGAGTCGACCTGCCAAACGGTTCATCTTTCAAGCGACTTAAACGATGCGGATGTCAGTCATTCATATCACAAGTATGGTTGCTGCGGAAGGTGCGCGTTCCACATACATATTAAGAGCGCAATGAATCTCACTTTTTCGGTAGCATTGCTAGTTATTCGGACCTGGGCATTCTGGCAAAAGAGTAAAAGATTGCTGATTGGAATATCGGTCTATGTCGTGGTGCGTGTTTTGCAGAGGAGGGATGATCGTATAGATTTTTATTATTGCATAGTTGTTAATTGCCGCCAACATTGCTGTAGACCTCAGTCCTACGGTGTTAATTCCAGGAGGTGAGTTCATTGGTGTTCACGAACGAAAGTGATTCTAACTTGACTATCAGAGGAACCCCCCCTAGGAACTTGTTACTTCGAGAGCCCACGCAGCAGTGCGATCCAATACATATTCTTGGCGATGTTCGAAAGCAGTCAGTGATTATCCAAAGCTGTCTATTGGCCTTCTTACCTATAACAACATGGCAGTGATACTGACCCTTACTGTATATAAAAGGTTTCACGACTATAAAAACTTTCAGAGCGGAATTGTAGTAACCCTGTACCACGATGACGTGTTTTACACGCTGTGCATCCTCGGTGCGTGGACATAGTTTGCTCTCAAGATATTATTGAATAACACATTCAAGGTAGCCGTCACATTCGCCAATGTCATCACAGGAGCTGCACTTCCAGTACGCGTCTGGTCTGTTAAATCCTACGATTCGCTGACTTTCCGTCATTTCTGCAGAGCGCCTATAGCAATATGTTCGACACGTACGTCACCAGCTGCACTCTAACCGCTAGCTGATGTGGAACCCACCGCACTAGGCTACAGGTGGTCAGTCACAGCGTTCTGGCATCACGAATTCTATTCCGTCTTCGACATAGCAACGAACGTGTCCGCGAACCGTCCACATCAGTAGCGATGGTGGAATTTACAGATTATTTACCACCTCCGTCAATGTCGATGAGTGGGACGGCTACTACCAGTCAAGTTTGAAGAAACTTAAGTGTGCGGAACCATCGGCCTCTGTTACAGTGAGAAACTTCTGCTCTTATCTAATGTACAACTCAATTGTGATATCATGAGCCAATGATACTGCGAGACCTTAGGACTGAGGGGATGAACAAAATGGTGATTCGTTCCCTTGTTTCCTCCGAGCCTGGCTGCGGTGTCTATTCTTATGCGATGTGACGATAACTCTGCATCATGTACTTCCGCAAACCTCGTCTTGAAATCAATAACGCATGACCTATCATTCAACATCACCCCGGCCATGAAATCCCAGTCATCCAGCGGCCTTGTAGGATCCATGTGCGCGGAATGATGTTAGTATCTTTTTGCAATGTATAGACCGGGGCATATCCTGAAAGTAAGAGTTAGAGAAAGTATCTTTTAAAAGACGGTGGACTGGCGCGGCTGGCAATGTGCCTGCCTCTGGCAGACGGAAGCTAAAGATTTCTCCAGTAGCAATCATGCGAGAACGATTCACTAGCAATCCGCCCTGCTTCTCCATGATTTCAGCCACGACCTGCAACAGAATGTCAAACGTAGATGCTGTGGCAACTTGGTGCAGAGGACTAACTTTATGATGACTGATGATAATGATCTCCTCAGTTCTTGAACGAGAGAATCCTATCAATTTATCGCGCTATAGTAAGAAACGGACTGATAAACGAAAGAACATGGTTAACATTGGACTATAATGTCCGAGGGGGCAGGAAGTGTTCCCAGAAGGCTGCAGGTGAGAGGGTAAGGTGGGAGAGGAAGGCTACTCAGGCTCTCTGAGCTAGGAAAGTAAGCCTAACGAATCACTCCCACTAACCCAAGGCAAACCACAGTACCCAGGACAAGCTGCGTGTTGTCAGAAATGGGCAGGTTGAGCAGCTTCACTAGTCGGGAGGAACGCAAAGTCCTGTGGACTGTAAGAATGTGATTGAAAGTGCATTCAAGTTATGAGTTTTTTTCATGTACAACTATGGTAATCCTGAATGGTGGCACACGGAGCAGGAGACGGTTTATACACCCACTATAATACACGTTAGGGACGTCGGGTGAACCGGATTGTCGGTTTTGGATTGGGCAAGGGATTCGAGAGGAAGGAAAAAGAAGAACGTCAAGATATGAGAAAAAAGGAAAGCAAATGCACCATCCAGGATACACCGTAAACATGAACACAGCCGAATTAATCATCACGAGTCTATTGAACCGACTCGACCAGCCGCTCCCGTCCACCTGCTGATGTGTAAGTAAAACCCGCACCTAGCAATGCAACGAAAAGAGATGACTCACATGATACATCAAGCACATATTTGTAATTCCAAACCTCCCTAAAGCCCATCCTCCGCGTCAATTCCTACCATTCCTCCACTTCACCTTGACCCGGTTTACCAGCAAACGCTACATCTATCATCGCAGGGTTCACGATTTATTTATTTAAGGTCTGTGCTATGATGCCGTCGGGAGATGAAGGGTCCATGAGGAGAAACGTCTAGTTTTTGGGTGCGCGATGGTACGTGTCTGAGGGTGAGAAGAAGGGGGAGGCGTGCATCTAGCCACGGGTGTAGGGGATGGGTCTTGAGCTTGGAGCTCGAGTGCTGTTTGAGTCAGTGTGAGACGTAGATATAGTAGAGAGGGAGAAAGAGACGTGCATTTATCATTTGTCCCAGCTTCGACAACCTTGCTTCTCATGTCATGGGTGACGAAGACATTTGAGGGCTATGTTGAACACGACGGTAACTCGTCTTGTACGCCTTTCATCAACTCTAGGAGCTGGTATTAGTGGTGACTAATGAGTTATTGTGAACGTCTTCGCCTGCAGGGAGTGATTCGCTTCCAATGTGGAGAGGCCTTGAGGTGGTTGGTTTAGTGGGGGTGTAGTTGTGTTAGCTCAAGTGGTCACTGAGTGTAATCGGCATATCAACGGCATGTCACATTATGTAATATTGCAACCGATCTCGCAAATTTCCGACAAATTTATTGAGTTTAAACCACGCACCAGCCCCTCAGGCCAAGTACTGGTACTTTGCGCACACGCGTCACTCCTAAATTTAGGGAAACGCACGGGTATGGGTAACACCGCGATTCTATGCTAACGGGTTTGGCGGGTACGGGTACGGTGTAGGATATTCATACCCTTGAGCACACCCCGACCCTTTACTGCGGATTGGCGGTGTTTGGACGGGTATGACCTACCCTTCAGAGACTACTGATGACACTGCAGCAGATGCGGTCCGTGTGCAACATTTAATCATATGCTGACATTGACAACTATACAGAATGATGATGACGTTGGCGACTACTCACTTGGTTCTATGTCTCGCACTACTAGTAGCGAACTGGAGGAGTTCCTTCGACTACCGACTGTGAAGACCAAGGACCCACTTGCATGGTGGCAAGACAACTGCCATACTTATCCGACACTACATCGGATGGCACATTGGCACTAGACTATCTCTCCGTCCCAGGTATGCCACGCTTGAATCTTCTTTCAACCAATCAGTACTTATTATCTTGCTCAGCGACATCAACTGCGGTCGAACATGTCTTCTCACAGGCTCGGCAGCTCCTTCACTTTACTCGCAACCGACTCGCACCATCAACAATTCGCGCCTTTCTCTGCCTTGGAGCCTGGGGCAGAAGTGATCTTCTGGCGATGGAGGACCTTCTAGCCTCTGTAAGGAGTCAGAAACGGAAGCGAAGCGAAGTTGAGGGTGAGAAGGATGACGAGGAAAAATAGCAATACTTATTTTATTGTCCTAGTCATTAATACACTCTTCTTGTTAATGTACCCGCGGTGCTTACGGGTCGGTGTGTACCCTCACGGTGTTTACGAGTCGGTGTGTACCCGTACCCGTGGCGGGTGCGGTGTTGGCGGGTACGGGTACGGCGTTGAGTTTCCGACCCGCGGTGTTACCCGTGCGGAACCCTACTCCTAAACAGCTACCGCCGGAATAGAGTTCGCAGTGACTACTTCATAGGCTGGCATGATGTGAGTCTCATTCGGGATGCTCCTTTCCTTTGTTGGACACATCATTAGTACATGGCGATTCACAGTCTAAAGGCGCTGATACTTGATATATGGAAGTTGTTGCGCCGTCAAATTGCCACAGACACAGCAAAAATCCATTCTTCGTGCACCGCCCAACAACAGTGGCCATGACTGAATCAATCCCAAGAGCCAACATGACAACAGTTGTTACTTGTCAGCTGATTGTCACCTACACCATAAATCATGATTAAGGATCCCGCCATGAGGAAAGTCGGGGGAATAAGGCCTGTCACTGTCACATACAGGGAACATAGCTCTGAAATTTCAATAGGAGACGTAAGAGACTAACCTAGTTGGCTAATGCCATTTCAGGGCTTCAGGATGCAACATCATTCTGATCTTCACATCGAGCAACGCTCTTGCCTAGCACTGATGATCTGATCCAAAATTTCAGTAGTCGTCCAGCCTGAGGGGTCTCCCACGAAATTCCAGAGTCGTCTTTGCTGGTTCGAGTTCCCGTAAGTTCTGTTACTTTTCCACCGAAACTGAAGTTGCATCTCACAGGCCCTATATTATCTTCGACTTTGCTTGCGGTGGGAGTGACAGACAGCGTTTGCAATTTCGCATTACCATACTTGGCGCCTCTAGCGCTTACCAGGCACTATCTCTGATGATATCGAATAAATCTTTGCCTTTGGCTGTGCATGCACAGTATCGGTTACTAAATTAATACCAATGCCTTGTCTATCATCGTATTTAAGTAATGCCCGCAGGTGTATCGCTCCATTCAGGACTTGCGGGCAAGTACCACGAGGCGCATACTGATATGTCTTCCCTATCGATCTCAGACCTGACGAAGTTGCAGACGGTCAAGGTGAGTAAATGGTGACTTCCCTCTGATAAACTCAAGGCTAACATTATGTCCGGTTTAGTACGCCAATTGTGAGTGTCCGCCGATCGTCTGAAAACTGGACAGCGGCATTGACTGTTGTTTTTAGTGGGCAGTCTTGCAATCCTCGTGAGTATCAAACAAATTTCTTGTATTTCTACCTCAAATCTCTTTCGACGTTGCAGGTATTTGATTTTTGCATCACGTTTTCCGAAGAGGTCGAGGAAATATCTGTCTGTTCGCAAGTATTATTCTAACCACTCCCACAGGTGCGATGGACTTGGTTCAGACCATGGGATGTAATTCGTGTCATATTTGTCATTTCTCGATATTTACCTTTCGCGGGTGTTGGGATGACTGCGTATGGCGAGTGATCCACTCCAATTCTCCTTGTATTGTGTGTTGCTAATGGGCATATCTTAGACGCATTGCGTATCAGCGATAAGGTAATCTTGGATGGCGAATAGTTTCAATGCTAAGCTGATTGCACGAGAAAAGTGTGCCTCTACTTTGGAAGGAAACAGTAAGTCGACCTGCCAAACGGTTCATTTTCATGCAACTTAAACAATGCGGATGTCAGTCATTCATATCATAGGTATCGTTGCTGCGGAAGGTGCGCGTTTCATATCATGTTAAGAGCGCAATGAATCTCACTTTTTTGGCAGCATTGCTGATTATTCGGACCTGGGCATTCTGGCAAAAGAGTAAAAGATTGCTGATCGGATTATTGGTCTATAGCGTGGTGCGTGTTTTTCAGAGGAGGGATGATCGCATAGAGTTTGATTATTGTATAGTTGACGATTGTCGCCGTCCTTGCTGTAGACCTCAGTCCTACAGTGTTAATTCCAGGAGGCGAGTTCGTTGGTGTTCACAAACGAAAGTAATTCTAACTTGACTGTCAGAGGAACCCCCCCTAGGAACTTGTTACTTCGAGAGCACACGCAACGGTGCGGTCGCATACATGTTCTTGGCGATGTTCGAAAGCGGTCAGCGATTATTCACAACCTATTTGCCTTCTTACTCATAATAACATGGCAGTGATACTGACCCTTACTGTATATAAGAGGGTCCACGATTATAAAAACTTCGAGAGTGGAATTGTGGTAACCCTGTACCACGACGGTATGGTTTACATGTTGTGCATCCTCGGTGCGTGGAAATAGTTTTCTCAAGGTATTATTGAGTAACGCATTTGACAAAGGCATCACACTCGCCAATGTCATCATCGGAGCTGCACTTCCAGTACGCGTCTGGTCTGTTAAACCCTACGATTCGCTAACTTTCCGTCTTTTCTGCAGAGCGCCTATAGCAATATGCTTGACACGTACGTCACCGGCTGCACTCTGACCATTAGTTGATCTGGAATCCACTGCACTAGGCTACAGCTGGTCATTCACAGCGTTCTGGCATCACGAATTTTATTCCGTCTTCGACATACCAACGAACGTGTTCACGAACCGTCCATGTCAGTAACGACGATGGAATCCGCACATTATTTGCGACCTCCGTCAATGTCGATGAGTGGGACGGCTACTACCAGTCAAGTTTGAAGAAACTTAGGTGTGCGGAACCATCAGCCTCTGTTAAAGTAGGACATTTTTGCTCTTATCTAATGTACAACTCAATTGTGATATCATGAGCCAATGATACTGCGAGACCTTAGGACTGAGGGGATGAACGAAATGGTAATTCGTTCCCTTGTTTCCTCCGAGCCTGCTTGCGGTGTCTATTCTCATGCGACGGAAAGTAAGCCTAACGAATCGCTCCCACTAACCCAGGGCAAACCACAGTACCCAGGACGAGCTGCGTGTTGTTAGAAATGGGCAGGTTGAGTAGCTTGACATTCATTCAGGATCGGGAGGAACCCAAAATCATGTAGATTGTAAGAATGTAATTGAAAGCGCATTCAAGTTATGGGTTTTTTTTCGAATAAAACTATAGTAGTGTCCCTGGATGATGGCACCTGGAGCAGGAGACGGTTTATACACCCATTATAATACACGTTAGGGACGTTTATACTAGAAGTGAAAGTCGATGACGAACCCCGCAGTGCCGATGGGAGGGATCCAGACCACCGAAGTCGCTTGAATTTATCTGGCAAGCGTATCAAAATTCTCCCAAGGCGATCATGATATTTTACAACCTATCACGATTCGCCAGCATGACCAGCCTCCAGCTGAATTGTCAATGATCGATCATGAATTATGTGCGTGATCCATTAGGTAGGCGACTCACCTATGTTGGTTACGAGGGTCGACTTCCGAGTCCCCGAGTCCGACGCCTGTCACGGTAGTGTTCGCCTGCTGAGAAGCCTATCGACTCGCCAAGGCCCTCGGGCCTGTTCAAAACGTTCAAGTCTTGGTTCTCTTTTGAGTGTTCAAACGGTTGAAGAAACTTTACACACCGTATGAGCCATTCAGGCCCAGGGCCCGGGTGTCGGAGACTCGGAGTTCCGGTGAACTCCGAGTCCTTCCCTCCCTGAGCCGATTCCCGAAGTTCCTATAGTGACTCTGTCCTGCGGACTCGGACGTCGTCCTCGAGTAAGGAGTCTTACCCGTCAATCGAAAGGCTTGAAAGTCTGAATTCAAATGCTATGTGATGCATTTAACATATCACTCAGCTTATATACTAATGTCAAAATTAGGAACATCTGCAATTCCTTTTCGCTTCTTGCCTACAACTTCTTTGTAAAGCAAGTTTTGAATGAGCCCGCCTCAAATGGAAATCCGCTAGATCGCTGCTCTCTACCTCTTTCACTAGAATAGTACTGGCGTCCATTGACTACCGAGGATCTTGGTGAGGGCGTATCATCAGCTTAGCTCAAATCACTGCAGCCTCTCGACGTACGGCCCTTCCAACCGTCAGTTGCTTCTTCAAGTTGGTTCTGGTACTTCCCTCAATTTCAGCAGCTCGGAATATGAAGATGTTAACGCTATGGCACTCGGTCTTCGCAGACTGCTGACACACGAAGACAGAAACTTGCGTATTCCAGTTCTGCTGAGCTCTTTTGTATTGGCAAGATGGTTGCACCTCAGGCAGTACATTTGGCGTCTAGGGAAGCCGTCAACAGCGTGGGCAACCAGAAGGGTTTGTTTCTGCGTACGTTTCTTGACCTTCTGGCAAGAGAATGGTGACCGTCCCATGTCCAATCACTCGATTCCTTTAGGATCACGCCCATATCTGGCGCCTCCATCCAACCTCGCAGGCTATTATTTATACATACACTACATTCAGAATTCGCTCCTTTAGCTGCAAGTTCCGTCTGAAAGCGCGAGTTGGTCACTGGGACATAGTACTTTTACTTGCCCGTGCTGAAGCTACCAAACCTATGATCGGGACGTTTTTGATTATGGACATAGGTGTCTAACTTATCATCCTTGTTTTTTCACATAGATATGATTAGTATTATCTTGAAGACAGACGGACGTCCCCGTTCTGGATGTGCAGAGGCGCATAACATTTCTGTGAGTCGCCCCATATGCATTCTCCTGCTTTGTTCTGACTTACCTTCACCATGTCTATCCCTTCCTCCCGCTCCTTCGATTCATCCATTAATTACACGTGGCTAGCAAATATCCACAGTATCTTGAGGTACTTATAGAAGCACACGAAGGGCTACACGCTGAGTAAGTGGTCTATGTGTGCCCCAGTGCTACTTACTCTCACGGAGACAGGTTGAAATTGACCTAGGGAGCTCCGTGCGCATTTATCTTTCCTGGGGACATACAGTGTAAATGACTGAAGGGTACGTATCGTCTCTCCCTTACTTTTAGAGAACCAGTTCATACGCCATTCTATTGCCGTCCTGTTCAAATCAATTTCTCAGGAATACATATTCGCTCAATTTGATTAGGCGGTCTTCACATAGATCTTGCTCGCAGTGCAGAGAACCTAAAATTCTTTTATCAGCAAGAGCTTTGATAAATCATATTTCATTCACCTCGCCAGGGTACACGTTATCGCAGTTGCTGTTCACGTTCGGGTTGTTCGCGAGCAAAGTGCTGATCGGGATGCCAGCCGCATCGGCAACGCTTTGGCACGTGTCGCCCGCCTCCATAACATGGGTAACATCACAATCCTGGCCGCTGAGTCCAAGGCATATGATCTATGACGATGAGTTCAAGTCTTACTCAAACGTCAAAATGCCTTACTTGTCCGATAAACAAATTATCACAACCGGGGTCAATGGTTCCATCGTTGACTGCCGCTAGCTGGTATCTGCGGCATACATTCGATGAGCAAGTGAATGGAAGGCACCTGGTTGTACGTACGTTGAAACGCTCTGCGCTGCGGAGATTCCGTCACATGTATCCATAGCTCGAACAGTTACATTACGGTCGCAATCTTTGGGGAGGATACCTAGACGTTTTGCTGTTATAAATGTGGGCATAATCGAAACTCGAAGGATTACTGACTCTGGGCAGACACAACTGAGGCAATGGCAGCGAGCGCAACGAGGCTGGCGGTGAAGAATGAAGCGTGCATATTGTTCAGATGAGGAGATTCCAAAACAGGCGAGTAATGTCTGATGCCTTCAAGCCGACTTTTCCAGCTGCCTTTATACACTTGAAGGACAAACACCGGTCAGCGAGTCTGACGGCCAGCATTTGCCGTTTTTTGACTCGTCACGACTTGGCATCCTTGGACTGTGAGTAAATGGACACCATCATATGGCACGCGCGGCATTCACGGAGGAATATGAGTCTGATCTGACGTGTTCAATAGACTTGGTGAAAATTTACTCGTGTAGCTTATATGACACGTCGTATCACCCCTACCCGGTAGATCTAATTTAAAAGTGGACAGCCTTGGGGTGATCCGGGGATGAATGCTGTGGCCCAGGGCCCTCCCGAGGTGGACAACGGAGAGGGCTGGAAAAAAATGAAATCAGTACCACTAGTACAGGAGAAGGAACTGGAAAGTCTTTATAGAGCTATGTAGACTATGTATACAAGATGTCTAATAGAGCCATCGATCGAGTCGCCTCGTACCCATCCATCGTATGCACTCAATAAGAACTTGCTGTGACATGTGACAAGAGAGATGTGAATTACCGTATTAGTATGTGCTTCTTTCTTTTCGATCTTTATCTAAATGCATCAATGCGCATCACAACGTTTTCACATCGACCAACTTCACAAACACGCAAACCTCGTATAGCAACACTACGTCATCGATTCATCTTCCGACTCGGACTCGGACTCGGAGCTCTACTATCCACCTTGCTTAGAGTTGCTTTGACAACCAACTTAAGGGACTGCAGTAATTCCCAGTAGCCGCTGATGGGGATCCCCTTCCAGATAGCGGTTCTCGGCTTCTGCCACAGTCTCAATTTCAGCGTGCGTTTTCACTCTGTGCTTCTCCTGCTCACAAAAACATCTTTAGCTAGGGTGTCATCTTCATGAAACCTCCTCTCAAATTCTGTTGACCACATACCACACGAATTACACGCTAGACCAGTGTGATAAGGGATGTCATTTTCTTTCGCTTTATTTACTATTGGCTGATCGAGTTTTTTTTTTCAGAAGTTATATCTCAATCAGATACTCCAGTTTGCTCATCCGTTTCTAGTATTTCCCTAACATATATGACAGACGGCCGCCCTTTCATCGCGTATCCTTCACCTAGGGCAGGATAATGCCTTGAGATCCTTCCCTGTGAAAGATGCAAATCACTGGACATTCCATTATCGTGCATTCAGTCTTATATTTTGCAGTATTTAACTATTCAAGCATATGTCAAAAAATCAGCCACCACTTGAAAGTATCTCGCCTGGTCCTCCTCCTCCAAAAATGGCGCGTGGCGCTGCGAAAACTGCGCCCACTTCACATGCGGGATTTTCTGGAAGAAAGGACTCACGCAGACGTCCTGCGCTTCGTCCATCACACCATTGGTGAGCAGAGTAGGAGCTGTGATTGTGTGGATCTGATCTAGACACGACCACGACTTCAGCGTTCCCGTAATCGTGAACTCTGACGGTCCAGCCCTGGAATCCATGATCAGTACATATCAGAAAGGTCCGTCAAGATATCACCTACATCGTATGATACACGGTGGGATGTTGCATCATGGCCGCAAAGGACGTCTCCATCACCTTTGGCCAGGGGCTCTTGCAAACGTGCTTTTCAACGAAGATCCCTACCATTTTTTCATATTCAGGACTATCCGTTGTCCCCTCTTTTTCGTGCCTCTCAATCATCTCCCTCACATCTGCTGGCAGCGCGTTCAGCAGCTGGTGGGTGCTCTGTTCCCACAGTGCCATGGACGGCGCTCCGCTGGTGATGACGAGGTGTTTGAGACCCACAGGATGTCTGTGGCTAGCGTAGTGCGCCCCTAGCATCCCTCTCCAGGAGTGACCTAGAAGAGCGAAGCCATTCTGGACACCAAGGTGGGTAACAAGGTTGTCCAGCTCATCCATGAAGAGATCGACAGTCCAAAACTCTTTTGGCTTGTCCGCCACACCTTCAAAAAAGGACTTTCCGATGCCGATCTGGTCGTAAAAGACGACAGGGATGTTGCATTTGTTGTGAATTTCGGCGAGAGGTGTCATATACTCATGCGACATACCGGGGCCGCCGTGCAGCACGATCAGAGGGTGGGCACCCGAAGTGAGATCGCCGACGATTTTGTACCAAGTCTGGTACGTGTCGTCTCCGACTTTGAAATCTACTTTGCCTGTAACTTCAGTCATTGGAAGTCGGACGTATGGGGCGTGTTTCGAGAGCGAGCTAGCAACGAGCAGGACGCAACCTTTTATGTATACATGAAGGGTGTTTTAACGTTTAAACAGGACTATTTCGGTTATTTGTCTATCGCCCGGAATGAAACGGCGGTGTTTGGGAAGTTGATCATATCAGTCGTGCTAGCGCTGTGCATGATTCTTCGAGGAAGCAATACTTGATTTCGCAATTGGTCTTAACACCCGAATAAATCAGCATGCAAGAGAAGCTTGAAACTGTGGACTAGGATGTTTCATGGAGGTCGGTATGGTGTTTGGATGAAATAGGTTTGATGGCCATGCACATCGTGATGTGAGCGCAGAGTTACAATATATATGTAGCATATGGTATTGCTAGCCAATCAAATCGTTCATCTTTCCGCAGCGATTTGAGCAGTTCCCGCTACCTTTTCTTCTCAATAGTTCGGTTTGAACCTTGTCTCCATGATGATTCCATCGATTGCACTGATGGCAACACCACTCCGAGCAAGGACATGCCATCACTTTCGGGTTAACTTGAGCGAAATCTGTTTAATGCAGTTGCTGCAATAGTGAAGTACTTCGACTGAAATAGTCAGCGATAAGTTCGCAAGTTGGATTGGAACCAGTCAACAATATCTGCATGATCCGGGCTGATCAGGCGGGGCCCAAGAGGTGAATTGGGACGTCATATAATCGTACTCGCTGGAGCCTCGAGCGGTCAACCATGTCTGACTGTATGAGTTGTTCTGTCAACACATATTTTTTATGAACGAAGTTGCATTCTACATCTGAATAGAGAGTGCGGTCCGATAGCCATGGATCATGGTGATTTGTCTAGCTCAGCCGCTCACCTGTCATGTTGACTCATGAGAAAGAAACAACCTTACCCTGGATTGAGGACAGTGGTACGCCTCACATCAGGATTCAGGGCATTCGCACACCGATCTGGACTACTAGTACAATATTATTCTCCGACTGCAAGCTAAATATCAACACTTCAAAACACAATTTGCTGCGGTACCGGGTATATAAACATAGCACAATCACGTGCTGATTGCGACAGGACAAGTTTGACCGTGATGGGTCCGCCGGACAATTGTGCAATCAGTCCATATGCGAGATCCGTGAGGCGCTCTAACTTGACTGGGGTAAAGTATTTTAGGGCTATGGCACATTCAGCTTTTTGATCAGGTGGTCTTCACATAGATCGTTTTCGCAGTGCAGAGAACCTGAAATTCTTTCATCAGTAACGGCCTCGATAAATCACATTTCATTCACCTCCCCAGTATACTTGCTACAGTCGGAGCCTAAGTTCGGGTTGTTCGCGAGCAACGTCTTTTCCGTAATACCAGCCGCTTTGGCAATGTCATGGCACGTTTCGCCGCCCTTCAAAACCTGGGTAACCTTGCAATCCTGGCCTTTGATTCCAAGGCATAAAACCTAGGACGATGAGTTCAGGTGTTTTTCAAACGTCAAAATATCTTACTTCTCCGATAGCCAAATTATCGCATCCGCGGTCAATGACTTTGCTGTTGACTGCCGCCAGCTGGTATCTGTCGCGTACATTCGATGAAAAAGTGAACGGGCTGCGGAGATTTTGTCACATGTATCTCCAGCACGAACAGTTACACTACGGTCACAATTCTCGGGAAGGAGACCTAAACATATCATAAATGTTGGCATAATTGAATCTTGAAGTATCACTGACTCTGAGCAGAAACAACTAAGGCAATGGCAGCAAGCACGACGAGTCTGGCGGCGAAGAATGAAGCGTGCATGCTGTTCAGATGAGGAGGTTCAAAACCAGGCGAGTGGTGTTTGATGCCTTTATGCCAACTTTTAAGCTGTCTTTATACACTTGGAGGACGAATATTGGTCGGCGAGTCTGACGGCCAGCGTTCAAGTTTCCCGTTCTTTCGAGTTGTCGTGGCTCAACTGTGAGTAAATGGACACGATAATACGGCACGCGTGACATCAACGGAGGAATGAGTCTGGCCTTCGTGAGCCCAATGACACGTCATGGCAAAATCAAATAAATGTAAATGTGCTACAATGTGCCACCTGGGTAGGCAAAACATTGTACAAAGTGCGGCATTTCTCCAACTTGAATGTAGTTGTCATCTGCGGTAAATCATTTCTTGAACTTTCTGTTTTGCGACTTGCTGTCTCCTGTAAAGGGCCGTCTGCGGCTTGGCTACCGCCAGCACCATCTTACTTTGGGCAGCTGACAGTCGGTTTTCTTGCTTCGTCATCTTCCATCGTTTCCGTTGCTCCACCTTCACCTTGTCGTAGGCGAGTATTCATAATCGATTATGATATTCAGCAATTCAAAAACTAGTTTATGTGGTCCCGTACAAGAGAACTCGTTTGTCGCTAGTATAGGGGGAAGAACTACTTGGGGTTAGTTCTGTCGGTTACAACCGGCAGAATTTCGGCTATGTTACAGTAGATGGATATCAATGTTGCCTCGTCCCATGCATCCGTCATCCTCGCCAATATTGTAATCAACTGCCTGGACCCCATCTAGAATAGTCTGCGGTATCATTCCTCGTCCAACCTGATCCAACTCGTCAGAATCAAAACCAAAAGTGTATCGTGTCACATAGCACGTGCTGATAGTCACTTCGCGTTCGTCACAAAGGAAGGCGCAACTTTGTTTGAGCCACTAATCATCATGTATATTAATATCGTTGGTCTCTGCGCTTGACAGAGACCTTTTGTATCAACATGGCTCCGAAATACCCTAAAATTTCAGGTACGTTCTCTCTCTTATTGCGTCAGGTTCACAAATGACATGATTGCAGGTTATGAGCTCATTCAACAAATCGGTGGAGGTACCTTCTCAACCGTGTTCAGAGCCGTCAATATAGAGAGCCATCAAGTGGCAGCATGCAAAGTGATATTTATTAAGGAGCAGACTACCGAGAAGGAACGCCAGGTTGTCGAAAAGGAGATGAAGATTCATAAGCAGCTCAAGCACCAGCATGTCCTGGAGTTTCTACATGCTGCCGTGGTGGAGCGCAAATATAAAGATTGCTATGTCCCTGGAATGTACATGCTACTAGAGCTTGCTGCAGGAGGAGACCTCTTCGATAAGATCGGTGCGTTTCGTTGACCGATAATGTATCCAATCATTAACTCATGACTCATCAGCGCCGGATGTTGGGATTGGAGAGGATGTGGCACACTACTATTTCGGCCAGCTACTGGCAGGGATGGTGAGATACCAACACTGATCATCCACATTCAAGTGAGACGAAACATTTTCGAATCATAGGACTTTATTCATCGCGAAGGAGTTTGCCACCGTGATCTGAAACCGGAAAATATCTTGCTTGATGCAGCTGGTACCCTCAAGATATCAGACTTTGGCCTCGCAGCAATCTTTAAACTCAAGGAAAGCGGCAAGACAAGACAATTGAACGGATTGTGCGGCAGCTTGCCGTACATGGCCCCGGAAGTGCGTCATATTTACACATTTTCGGATAGCGCTCACAATGTGATTCCAGGTTCACTACCAAATACCGTATGAAGCAGAGCCCATTGATGCTTGGGGGATTGGTATCATTCTTTTCACACTTCTCGTAGGAAGTCCGTCAAAACTCCAATCATTTTCATAAACTCTGAGATTAACGTCCCTGCCAGACACTCCTTGGGATCAATCCACTGCACAATCGTCAGAGTTTTGTCAGTATATCACGGGCGAGTTATTCGACGAGCGCCCTTGGAATCGTTTAGAAAACGAAGCCCTGTGTAAGCAAGATCATGCGCTTTCGTGATCAAGCGCGCTGATATGCCCACCAGCACTTATCTGTGGTCTGCTAACCATCGAGCCAGAAGGCCGTATGACACTCGCCGAAGTATTCGCTCACCCGTGGTGTAGAAGACCAAGTCAAATTGCGAAGCAAGGGGTTGTCGCGCTCGCAGACCACTTGACTGAGTCTTTGAGGGCGAACGGTGATCTGAACTATGCGATGCCGGATATTGCGACCTCTACGTACGTTTCCAGGATTATCACCATGAGGCCAATATTCAGTGTCATATGTAGCGAAACTCGCAAAGATAAAGATGGAGACGAGATCATGCTCTCTGCAACTCATCAATCCCAGTTCACCCAATCACTTCTATTATTCGTATGTCACCCATGGACGCATCTCAGTTCCATTTTGAACCCGTTGTTTTCTTCAGTCACAGACACAGTCAGGTCGCAGATATACACCTAGCCTTACTCGCTTCTATACTTCTCTTGGGCCAGGGATCATGATGCAACTCATAAAGGAATCCTTGACTGCCCTCGGTGTCAAACACAAAGACGGTCCTACCGGTGAGGATGAACGAGGGGAGATCCTTCGGTTGCGCGTAGGCGGCTATGATAAGCGGAATATCGCATTCAAAGGCTGGGTCGAGCTCGAGAACTTCTCCTACGCTGAAACTGACGGAAGCTTCTGCTTGATGACTCGTGACCTCGTAGGTCTCGTTTTCATTCTTGGTTTCTGAATGTAAGCTCATGGAGCCACAGGGGAATCCTATCTCGTGGCGCCAGTTGTGGAAATCACTGATTTTGTCACCAGCCGTGGATCCTCATGTGCTCCGCAAATGACCACATCAACACTGATATGACACTCAACACTCTTTTGTTAGCCTACATGCTGTTTGTTTTTGGATATCTTCACAAGCTTCCCTCTTGCTGCCTTGTACGCGATCTGATTGAACATTTCCGTATGCCATACACTGCTACACCAAGAGACGATCTGTTTGGTTGAAATTCGTGGTTTACTTTCCTAGAGTCCCATTGCAATTCAATTGTAGTTCGTCGATTCAAGCCTTGTTGTCTCTTTAGCGTCTCAATACAACCGAATGTGCTTTATATTGCGTTCTGGCAGGTGATGTTTGTTCCAATGCCCTGGGTGGAACATCAATATAAACAATCTTGGGATCTGGACGGTTTGTACGTTCAGCGTGCAAATAGATCAACGATCAGAATGTCGTATCCAGCAACTGCAGCAGATATCAAAGAAACTGGCACCCTATATGTATCGCGCATTGTGTTGAAGTACTAATGCACATGCCTGAATTCTTCGAGACGAGTCGAGGGCGGCGTTCAAGTATATGATAACCACCTTTCACAGATGACCCGGTACGACGGCGTTTGTAGGGTGGTTCCACAGTTGGACTTCTCAAGCTGGTGCGACTTCAGGATAATTCTTCATCATGCGCTGCCTGATATCCGGTTCCGCCGCGTCGCAATCTTATTCGTTAACTTAATACCGCACGGCCGGGTAAGTGGCTGCACCCCAGACACATACTCCATATCATCCGGCGCCTTCGTAGGATAGAGATGTCCTGAGCTGAACAATTAGCGTAAACTTCAAGAATAGAACCGACAATTATGCCTACCAGGACCCAATGGCCTCCATCTCATGCTATCCTCAGAGATGACGACCTCTAGTCCAACGAGGAAATTAGTTGGCCAAAAAAACGTCGGTGCTTTAGCGGATGCATCATTGAATCGCAGTGAAGCCTGTTACGTCGAAACTTTTGAAAGTAAAATATCTCAATCAATATAGTACAGTCCAGCATCACCTCGACCATTCGAGGAAAGCCGCCTCGCTTGGGACATCTTATTCCCCCACGACAACAAAATAATTGACCCCAACTAGCTTCAGCCCATGCTTGTCAGCAAACCTCGCTGCATTCCAGTTCTTTCTGTCTACAGGCTCGTTCTTGCGTTCCGGGGCATCGGCAGGGATCGAAAAGTCCGCACTAGGCTCCTGGTATAACAATAGTACTGTTGGAGCTATCATCAACACATATAGCAACCATAACAGAATTTGAATCACCATAACGATGCTTGCCAGTTCCCGGGGGAGGGGTGGGAGGATAATAGGGCGTCACAGCGGGTTTGGTGAGCTGTGCATCAAGATTGTCTGTCTCAATGGCCGACGTCGGAGGAGCTTTCACGCCAGTGACCTACACATGAAATTAATTAAACAGTTTGCAGTATATGATGATAATAACCACCCAGTGCCGCCACTCTCTGAATTTGGGGTTTTCCTTGGATGGTGCGTCTGGGTCTGTCATGACGAGCGTATAGGTGGGTTCATCGGTCTGATCTGGCACCTGCATTGGAGTGAACGCAACAGTTGGTTCGTCAGCGGTGTCCGTTTTTGTGAGTGTGTTCCCAAGAAGAGCCTCTTGGCTAGTGGGGAAGGTCACGACGAGCAGAGCCTTGGGATGGAAAGGAGGGTCAACAGGAATAACGTCTGGAATGATACCATTCTCCTTGAGATCTTCCCTAACAGCATTGAGTGGATCGAGCATCATTGTGGGCTGAAGTCGAGGGTTTTGACGATGATGAGGCATAGTCCAAAGGAGACAAGTAAAGATCAAAACTGAAGTCGTCATTGGAGAAAGGGGTGCTTATGTAATATTCCGTGCGCGGGCTTGCCGGCATTCTGAGAGCCTGTAAGATAAAGCAGAAAACTGTGCTAGAGAACATCGAATGGTGCCCGTAACACTACATGACTGTCTCATTCGCATGTCGAATTCAAGAACTGCAACAAGTTTTGCCTATTGGCGTCCATCTCGAGATCTCTGGCATCCTTATGAACTTTCAACTTGATCTGAGATAATTATATGAGAGTCTGAGGCCCGGATCTGGACAAAGAAAACTGACCTTCTTGCCCGTTAGAACGCTGCGCCTTTCATCTTTGTCCTTTCCATTATCCCTGTCCTTATGTTTCTTGTACTTCTTGTCTCGATCTTTCTCTCGATGCTTTGACTTGGACTTACGAACATCGCGACTATCCGAACCAGAACGAGATCGGTGACTTGGGGACTTCCCCCGCAACCTATGCCGACTACTGCCACCACGTTCCTTAGATGATATAGATGCAGCAGAGTTTGCCGAAGGTGAGGGAGATCGGCGTCGATGTTCAGCAGTCTACAATGGGTTTATGCACACATCTTCAAAGGTCAATGGCAAATCAGCAAAAAATGAGGCAACAACGTACGACACTGCGACTTCTGATTCGTCCACGACTCTCGGATGGCTCGTGGTATTTGTCTCGGTCCTATAATAAGGTTAAAACAACATCAGAAAAAGACAGGAAGTGTCTCACAATGTGATCATCCTTTCCCCTGCCTCTCGTATCGTCATGATGCTTGTGACTGTGTGAGCGGTGTGGACTCCGGGACCTTGAACGTTTAGTGCGACGAGACCTTCTGTCTTCTTTCTCGTCATGATAGCTGCGTCTTTCAGGTGACTTTGAACGACTCCATCCTCTATCTCCTCCTGTTCGGAGAATGCGTATCACGACATGTTATAAATATGAGCATGAGTGAATGTGTTGTCGCCCCATTACCAGCACAGCCGACGTAGTGCGTGGTAATCAACATTGACACAGAAGGTCAGTCGAGAATCTCTGAGGAGTAACGGAGACCATTTACCATTTCGTCTATGGCAATCTCTTGAGCGGTGCTCTCTCCGTTCACCGTGTCTTCTCTCGCTCATGAGGGTTGTTGTAGACGACCGCGTGGAGAAATCATAATTCATTGTTTGGCATTACTTGCTTATTAAGTGTTTGGAAAAGTGTATCACGGGCACTTGATGATCACGCCATCCGCTATACATGTACTAGGCCGGGCGTAATCCTGTTATTTACAGCCCCCATGATTGAGGCATACCTGCTTCAGCCTTATGGTACCCGTACGTTCAAGTCTTCTTCTACCAAATCAAACATTGAGCATAACCCTAGTACCACAAATGGACTTTTGAGAGTTCAAGCTCAATCATCAGCAAAACCGCCCGGGTCTTACGAGGCCTAACAAGGCCATACGAGGTGGCTGTAGGCCTGGCCGATTGTACGAGGCTCGCAGCGCCATGAGCGGAAATACTCCGGTCGAGAAATGCAACGTGAGGCTCGTACGAAGGAGAGGCTATTATAGACGTGCAAGGCTTGCAAGGGTTATCACGGCTTGAGAGGCTCATCAAGACTTGAGGTGCATGCATGGGCTCACACGGTCACACGAGCCAGGTAGTATAGTGGAAGGCCACGCAGGCCAATCTATTAGCTCCAGCATAGTAATACTAAAATACAACGAAGTATGTTAAACGACGAGTGCGAGCAAAATGATAGAGCATAGTAAGTGCGCAAAGGAAGACAGCAGGTTGGACAATGAATCCGCGAAGACAGATGGGTGACTAGAAGCCATTCGTCCGTTTCTTGTGGCGAGGAGGGTTTCGTTTGGTAGCTTCGGTAGGAGAGGTCTTCTTCCCTTTTTTCTTCGATGCGACTGGTGCGTCGGGAGTGATGTCTTCATCCTCGATGGATGGCGGATTAGCCGGGGTGAGTTTTATCTTCAAGCTGAGCTTTGTTGCAGCAGGCTGAGGGGAGGAAGGGACAACGGGGCGAGGTGCTACTTTCTTTGCCTGTTTCGTAGGCTTCGGTGGTGGCGGAGGCGAGGGCTCGTCATCTTCATCCTCGGTAAGTGGGGGTAGAGGAGAGTCAGATTGAATCTTCTTTGCTGGAGGTGGGGAGGACAACTGTGCAGGTTCCTCGTCATCCTCGACGAGTGCGGGTCGAGGGCGCTTGGCAGTTTGAGAGTGGGGTTGAGTCTTCTTCGCAGGGGGTGTAGAAGGTGACAGTGCACGATACTCAAGATCCTCGTCAGATTCGGGGAGTCGATGGTGCTCAGTTCGAATCTTCTTTGATGCTGGGCATGTCGAAGGTGGTACCACAGGTACAGGATCCTCGTCACTGGACTCTTCAAGTTGAGCTGCTGGTTGAGGTCGAGGCCGAGGCTTTGGTTTCACAGGTCGAGGGAGCGGAGCAGTGGAAGTTTTTTCGACAGGAGGACACTGAGGCTCGTGATTGTCGAACAATGCTGCAGCTGCTGGCCGTTTTGCTATTTCGTGTAAGTATGAGATTTTCAATGTAGCACATACGCACCATTACTGTGAGCCTTGTTCTGTAGTGGCGCAGCACCACGTCAAGCCAAACACTGAGCCTTGATCTCGGCGATGTCGTTTTCTTGATCCGAGTCATCATCTGAGTCGGACGGTTTCTTGATGAATTTGGCCTGATGAACACCTGATCCAACGCGGCTACAATTCCGCAATCAGTAATGATGACTCTGATAAGTTTGAACATACGCGTTCCACCACAAGATGGTGTCTTGAACCCATGGGTCCTCGTCATCATCAAGCATGTCGATGATGGCCCAAAACAACTCCTCGAGATTCATTGTGCCGATTTCGTTCGTCCAAGTCTGCGCATGACTAAGAGTGAAGTATGTCTGACAGATAATAGCAGTGAGAGCTGATCTTGAAGCAAGAATTAAGAACTTACAATGATGTGAACGATGGCAATAATATTTTTGGTGACGGATGTCAACCCAAACACACGATTTCTTGCCATCTTCGAGGCCTTGCTAGTGGTAGACTCAGCCATTGCAGCTGATGGGCCAATATACAAGTGCGTGTAGAACTGTGGAAAATATGAGTGAGATATAGCGTGAAACTGAACTGCAGGACTCACACGTGCAACAACATGGTTTCTAAACATACCTTTGGTTTTGTCCTGCGAATCATAGACGCCGTCTTCATAGAACCCCGTCGGCCAATTCATTGCGGTCATTTTGAGCTTTCCTGACTGTAATTTCTCCATTCCTCTGTCAAAATGTAGTATGTCAGTCGCTATCTTGCTACCAATGAGCAATATCTCACTCATTAGGGTCACGATCAAACACATCTAGCTTCTTTCGAGGGCAAAGCCACCGGGCAAGCTGGGGATGAGTAATCCCTCACATCGACTTATCTTCGACTTCAGGTATTGGAGGATCGAGGGCGTCCACTTTGCTGTGCATGTTCAGAGGCACATACTTGAGTCCTTTGTGTTTGATAGAGCTAAATGCCATTGATCGCGCGTCACTCATCCCCTTGGTGATCTAGATAACATCAGATCATGTCAGGACTTTCAAAATAGTGCATATACTCACCGCAGAGATGATTTTCGACAGTTTGTCACTGGAAATTGTGTCGAGCTCGTCACGGAGGCTTGGTATGATGTTGAGGATCCCTTCGTACAGGTGGAGATGGCGTCTCTTCATTTCTTCAGTTCTATAATCAACTGTGTCAGTATGATAAGCATGAGGAAAAGCTCAACTATCAAATCACAGGTCATCATTGATTTTACCTCCACGGTCATGTTGAAGACCACTATGAAAAGCAACAGAGGGTAGGGCAAAGAGATCGAGAACACACGAGACTTTTCGTCCTGCATTCCGGTATATCTCCATTGGATCTGACTTCACCTTCCCGTTTTCTAGTCTTTTCATGGTCAGTGCAGCATGTTCAACAAGTCTCATGATGTACCGTACCTTTTCATCTTCTTCATCTTGTGGACACTAACTGCTTGAAGTAGCTCATCAGTGTTGTTCTTTTTGTTCTTGTGCTTCGGCGATGGGGGCAGAGTGTCAAAGTCCAAGTCAGATGACATGGTGATGACGATAGTGGGACGGAACAAGGGATGATAGACAAATTGGGGACAAAGTACGACTCTACGAGGGGCAAGGAACATTAATTAGGATGAGATACAACAGAGCCAAACAACCTGATACGGACTCCTCCACACGAAATCATCTGAAGTCCTCCGCTTTGCAGTGAAAACACTCAACTCCGAACTTGTACCAGCCTATGCTGCATCTCTATGCAGTTTTTCTTCTTTTTCTTCTCGGAATCATGGTCCAATGTCCTAATTGTGACACCAAAGTCTCTGAACGCGGCCTTTCAATTCACCTGACTCGCTGGTGTAAATCTCGAGGATCAGTTACAGCTGATGTTCTTGAGAGACGTTGTGAACAACAACCTTCTTCCCCAACTGTTAGCAATGAAAGATGAGACCCTGAGGGCCACAACTCTGCTCAGACTGGAGTCGAAAACAATGTAAGTTTCAATTGTTATATTGAGGTTTATCTAATTCTACAGTTCAAGTATAACGATTCATCGGATGTTCAGATGGAGTACCGACCTTCTGGACTACCATCACGGACAAGGCGTCTCCCTGCACGCTATCGTGACGAACTCCCATCCAATCCTATTCCCATACCTATACTTCCTGCACCTGTCGAGCCTGATGCTCCAGCTGCTGATAATTTAATGGATGATGATGCTCTTTCTCAACAATGTGTGGACTGGGTATGAACTGAGTGTGATGCATTTGATCTATTCTGCGAGTACCCCCATGCCTTTCCCTCCTACGACCCCGAGAACCTGAGCTACTTCGACCACCTTTGTGATGCTCCAACCTTCAGTCACATTGATGGAGGTGCCGAGCATGAACGTCCATGGTGGGCAGGCTTTGGCTCATCATTGGAGGCCGTCCATCAGGATTATTTTACACCATTTCTTAATGCTACAACCTTTCGACTCATGAATTGGTTCTACAACACATCTCTCCAGAAATCGATCGAGGATCTCAGGCGTCTTGTTGACGACCTTATGTTGGCAGAAGACTTTGACTGAGAAGATTTGTGCGACTTTAATCCTGCACGTGAAGCAAAGCATCTAGATGATGCCGAAAAGGACCCGTCCTCATCTATCTTTTTGTCTGACGGATGGCACGAAGCCTCCGTCAAAATTTGCTTGCCCTGTGAGAAGGAAAAGTTCGATTCAGAAGATGATGCACCAATATTTGAAGTCGAGGGGCTCTATTATCGGAAGCCTCTGGAGGTTCTCAAAGCTGCATTTGCGGAGAAGTCTGCAAACAGCTTTCATACAAGTCCTTACAAGCTTTTCTGGCAACCTGACGAGGATAAACCACCTGAACGCATCATTACGGAGCTTTACACATCTGATGCAATGCTCCAAGAACACGAGAAGATATGCTCACAGCCTCATGAGCCTGGATGCAACCTCGAAACAGTTGTTGCAGCAATCATGCTATGGTCCGAGCCCCTTCAGTGAATTCACTCTGTCTCAGACGGACAGCTGAGTGTGACAATGTACCGTTGGGAATGGGCCATCCCATGTGGGCCCATGGACATAATTGTACCATGATATACGAGTGGGCCAGGTGAATGTGTTTACCCAAGACACACGGATGGGCTGAGGGTACATTATATAGACAGTGGTATAGGAATGTATTAGTATATAGGACATTATAAATGCTAATTCCCGTTTACATTGGAGATGAGTGGGCCGGCCGGATGTGTGTATCCAAGGTAAACGGATGGGCTGACCATATGAGTGGGCTGAGTGAATCTGTGTACCCGACACATATGAATGGGCTGAGAGCATACAGTATAGATAGTTATATAGGAATTTACTAGTATACATGACATTATTAATACCAAATTTTGTGTACGATGGAGACGAGTGGGCCGGCCGGATGTGTACCCAAGGTAAACGGATGGGCCGGGGGTATATAGCAGACTTACAGGAATCTTATCGAATAGCGAATCCGGTGTAAAATGGAAACGACTGAGCTGGACAAATGATATACACCGGAGATCCGGTCATATTATCATCCGGCAGGTGCATTTTTAATCACTGGCCCATGATCCGGTAGCTACATTATCCGGTTGATGCATCATTTCACAAGCCCATCGGCCGGTATACTACATACATGAACCGGTCAATCTAATACACCATCTAGTACATTCTACCATGGCATTAGATTGTCCTTATCAACAAAACAAACTACATGTACTGGCATTACTTGGCCCTATTACCAGAAGAGTTCTTGTCATGCCTAGCACTCACCAACCGACCTTGTTGCCGTGATTGAGGTGCAAATGCCCGGTTTGGCAAAGGAGCCGAAAGGGACTGACCATCTGCTGGCAGATGTGGTGGCCCGGTGAGCATGGTGTGAAGGGTACTAGTGGAGGGCATAGATGCCATTGGGACAGCAGGGGCCGGTACCAGAAGTGCACTAACTGGATGACTGTGTGGACTGGATTCCCCCATGGTGGGGACAGGGTTGATGGTAGAGGTGAAGGGTGTAGGTACCTGCTCATGCCTTGCGACTGGTGAGCCATCTCCGACAGGACGTGTGTTGGTCGAAAACACATCCGGAGTGAAGACATTGTTGGTGATGGAACGACCCAAGGCGCTGATTGAGCCAAAGTCAGGGAATGTGGGGGTATCGGGGATGACAATGGGTGGCGGATTGAATGTTGGTGGAGTTGAACTGGCTGCTGTGGTGGCCCTGTGGCTGTTGCTCAGGTACCAGGCGATACTGCTGACCTGAAAAGTCAACTGATCTACCACTCCCTTCTGGGAGGCTAATTCGTTTGTAAAGCCGGCTTGCAGCCGGTGTCATGCATGGTATGTGATTCATACTATGTCAGATATATATAGAGAGTGATAAGGAAGATATGAGAGACTGTCTAGCCCTTTGTCACTAAGTTACCTCTCTATTTTTCCTTTATTTCATTGTCTTGTATTTTATTTCTCACTTTACAGGCTTATTTTACCTTGTATTTGTATCAAGCATGTGACCTTCTGTTTATTTCTCATTGTTTATTTTTATTTGGCTTCTTTCAGCCACCAAGTTTTGTATCTCTATTTATTTCTGACTGTTTATTTGTATTTGGCTTCTTTCAGCCACCAGCTTTTATTTGTCATCACATCATGTGACTGGGAAATAATCTGGTTTGTAACATTATTTAAGCTGACTCAACATGTTTAGTCATGATTGGCCATGCTTTGTAACAACATTTAACATGACTCAACATGTTTAGTCATGGTTTGTCATGGTTTCTAATTTCTTTGTAAGATTACACTGTATTTGTAATGTACTTAGTAATAAGCTGATTCATCACCTGGTTTGTAAGCCACATTCTTACCAATCCATCTGATTAATCATGCTTAGTAAGGGGGTTCCCAAAAGGTATAAAAGGACCCCATTTTCACCCATGACATACAATCCTCCCACTTGACTCTTATCTCAAACCGTGTGAGACCACTAAGACTTAAAGTGCAGGCCAATATAAGTGCCTTGAGGTAATCTAAGATATCATTATCTATTCTAAAGTTATATACTACCTTACAGGGGTCGACTATATAACTTTCATTATTGTTATTCTACTCTAGGTTATATACTACCTTACAGGGGTTGACTATATAACCATTGAACAGCTCTCATTCTAAGCTTTACGTGTATTCATAAGACTCTCCCTTTCAACGGAAAGTGAGACACATCTAAGGACGACAAAGTTGAAACAGACTTTCATAGGTTGAAACACGACCTACTAGGCTGAAACAAACCTAACGAATTTATCCAGAACACAGAACATTCCACAACAACTTCATATAAGACTACACAAGAAGAGGACAACAAACTAAATCCTCCCAAGAACTCACCACGTTACCTCCCACGAAGTAGAAAAGTCGGAGACCGTGGACTTAAGGACTGGCAAGAAGTCTTCACCGTGTATAATTGTGTTGTCATTATACACAACTTTCATATAAGACCCTTAAGTAACAAGACACCGGTCGATACGATGGGACAGCTCATCATGAATAATGTCGTTACGTGTCCGGAGCTGATCCATGTCGATCTGAATTTGTGCCAGGAGGGCATCCATCTCAACATTGGTCAAAGAACGGGGCTGGGGAGTCTGACGAGGTACAGAAATGTCAACAGGAGAGGCGGGTCTTCAAGTATGAGGATAGACTGGTGAGTACCAGATGTCATCCGGTGTCCCTATAAATGGTGCTGGGGGCAGGGTAGTTTTATCCACGGCTTCGATCCATCAATCTGTCGAAAAATCATCGACAGATACCTCAGGGCCTGCATCAGTAGCAGTGCCAGGATGTTCGGTGCCGGTGAGTGCAGGGGCATCGGTCATATCAACATCGACATCCGGTTCCTCCGGAATAGGACTGGGACACTGAGTTTGGACGACTAGAAGAATACAATTAGTAGATATACTACGGAAAATAAGATACTTGCCTTTACCTTTGCCTTTGTTTTTTGACTGCCCAACGGTCTTGGTTTTTCCGGTTGTCTTGGAGCTAGTGACTATGGCTGTGGCCAGTAGGATCGGATCATCCAGCCGGATGCATTTCATCCTCCACTTGCTGCAAAGAATGCAAGTATGGGCGACCTCGCCCCTTTTGGTCAACCAGCTTTTGCATTTGGCCTTCATAATTGTGCATCTCCTGCATGGTAGGATAGGCATACCAATGGGTTTCTATGAAGAATTAGTATAGCATGACCAGTGGAGAGTTACCGGATGTCTTACCGGCTGTGGATGCTTGCCCCTGGTCTTTGCCTTGTCCTTGGCTGTTCTGGTATGATCTGTACCGGACTTGGACTATTATCATGATTATATTAGCCATACTCACGATAGGTGCAATAATATGAAAACTTACTGGTAATCGTCCCTCGCCCGGTTTGACCCGTGTCCCAGAAGGCTCAATTGCATCGTCTTCATCCACCTCCTCCTCCACCTCCTCCTCCTCCTCCGGTTCATATTCCTCCGAGTCAGCGGCCTTCTTCTTCTGGTCTGGAGGGGGCAGCATTGGCCGAGTGGTAATGACAATGGTTGGTAAATTCTGTATGAATCAATGACATTGCTGGTGTTGATATTGAAAAAATGAATGTACCTTTTTGATCATGGAGCTGACCGCTATTGTCAGTTGCGTTTAAAGTATGAAATGGAAACTCACAATGACTTCCGGATCATGATCGCCATCTTCCATCGTCATTTGCCGGTTATCGCGATCCAGTGACGTTGCCCTTGCCTTCGCCTTCGCCTTGGGCTTATCTTTGCCAATGCGAACTGTATCGCCGTCAGTGTCCGTGTCTGTTAACAATGACTTCGACTTGGGGATAGCCTTCCGGGCCCTCTTGACCTGACGTGGGGGACTCGCGCTGAATTGTCGTTTGCGTGGTCTCGATGGGCCTGCAATGGCACCAGATGTATTGCCAGGAATGCGGATTGTGTTGGGAGCTGGTGGAGCAAATGCTGGTGGAGCAGGTGCCGGTGGAGCAGGTGCCGGTGGAGGAGCAGGTGCCAGTACAGGAGCAGGTGCCAGTTGAGGAGCAGGTGCTGGTACAGGAGCAGGTGCCGGTGCAGGTTTGGCTACAGGTGCAAGTGCTGGTGGAGGGCCAGATAGCAGTGTTGGTGCAGCAGTAGTGGTTGGTGGAGTAGGAGCAGGACCCAATGTCTTGGGGTATAACGGATGACCTCGGCAAATGTCCTCATTGTTGCCAATATGAGTCCAATCCGGTACTTGAACCAATCACGTGGTACCCCTCTGAATCTCAGCTGCCATAGAGAGCAGGCGAAGGGGGATGTAGGTAGCCGTCGTCCGGTAGGAGTGAATGGCATCATTCTAACGATATTAATGGATACAATACAAAAAAATGACAAACATACCATTTGAGATGCAATGGCTCTGCTCAACCTCATCCTCTCATCTTCTGACCGGGACCGGAGAACCTCTTCAACCATCTGATTCAACCTGGTGAGAAGGGCAATGAGTGCCTGGTTGGCAGTGGCGGCAGCAGCAGTACTAATGTTGGAAGACATATAAGCAGTAAGACAAAATGACGGTAGCAGGTTGGCTTGCAAAAGAGATCCGGAAGGGAATGAGGAAATTGAAAATTGCCGGATGTTCGGGTGATTTCGGATATTGCCGAAAGAACAATGAATGTACCGGTTCTCTTGATCTGGAAGGGAATGAGGAAATTGAAAATTGCCGGATGTTCGGGTGATTTCGGATATTTCCGAAAGAACAATTAATGTACCGGTTCTCTTCTCCGAAGTTGCCATGTGTCCTTGTGTGAATGCCATTGTTGCCACGTCATCGCTATCAAATTGGCGTGAGTAGAGCATCCACTGACAGGCTTTGGAACAACCCATGACACATTCCGGATATCGCACAAAATATACTGATTTAGACAAGTCATTCAGCAGAAGGAGGAAAAGAATTTCGTCCTCAGAGATTATTGAGGATCATTTACACTTATCTAGCGAGGCCAAAGGTAATAAATCAATTGCCTTTCCGGAAGGTACCTCACATGATCTGGCAGTGTTTTTCATATTGGAACCGGGACACGACAGCCTTGGAATGAATCGCTCAAACATTGGCGACTGTAAGTCCTCTCATACTGACCTATACACCTAATTATTGATGCCTTCTAGACCTAGATGTTGCATCTGCTTATGACTGGTGGAAGGATGGCAAGACTTTGACGATGTCAGAATGCAGGATCGAGAACAGCCAGTCATTCAACATGGGTTTCGACCGGTTTCCAAGCCAACCGGTGTCAGACTCATTGGATATGGGGTTTCCTCTGTCCAATACTAACCAGTCTTCAATTGCCACACCTATATCTGAGTTGGACATGGGATTTCCACCTGGCCATGCATTCAATACCGATGATTTCGTGGAGCTGGCGACCGGCTCTCTGAACTTCCTGGCACACAATCAACTGGCCGGTGGCTCAGGTATTTGGTTGATTCAATATGCAAGGAATGGGATTACTCATGATTATCATCAAGTCAATGATGTTTCGGTGAAAGACAGCCCTTTGGACATGGGTTTTAATTTACCTGCAGTTCAACACGGTCATCCAGATTTGGACATGGGCTTTCATTCACCTCTGGTTCAACAGGGTTTCAATTCACCTCTGGTTCAACACAGTCATCCGGATTTGGACATGAGCTTTCGTTCACCGGTTCAACATCATGATCCAGACCAGAGGTCTTTAGACATGGGCTTTCATTCACCTCAGGCTCAACATCATGATCCGGATCAGATGTCATTAGACATGGGCTTTTATTCACCTCTGGTTCAACATCGTGATCCGGACCAGATGTCATTTGACATGGGTTTTAATTCGCCTGTGGTTCAACATGATCATCCGGACCAGAGGCCTTCCAGCATTGATCCGGTTGATATTCCGGATCAGTCAAGTGAGTTTTATCATTTTATTAGGTTACACTGTTACATGTACATTCAGTGGGTCTTCGATTGGAAGAGACACCTTTGGACATGGGCTTTGGGACAGATCCGGCACATGATCTTGCCCATCATTCGAATATTCAACCGGAAGAGACCCCTTTGGAGATGGCTAGTGAACTGGAACCTATCGGATTTGTGATTCAGCGTGCTGTAGGTGACTTGCGCTTGGCAATGCACTGGTTGGAGATGGAAAGGGCTCATAGTACAATGTCACTGGAAGAAGCACTTGTCAGCGAGGAAGTTCTTCAGTCCACTAGTGAGTTATTATTGGCATTTCAACTTATATCAATATACTGACTGTCGACATGACATCTATATATATACCATTGATACTTTCCACCCCTTGTATAGTACATTCAATGAAATGTGATTATTACACTCTTTGCATGTAATCAACTTTATAAGACACCTTTGCAGCTCTAGTGGAGCACTTTGGCTCCGGCTTATCAATGTGAGCTCCATCTGTTTGAGTTTTCTTACCAGTGCCCCATGTGGTGGCAGGAGCCGTTGGTTTAGGTGCAGGTATCTTCTGACCGGACTTCTGCTTCTGACCGGACTTCTTCATTTGACCGGCTGATGCAGGACCAACAAAGCTACTTCTCAATGCAGTTTTGGGAGGCAGTGGGGCTGTAGAATGATTGCTGGATGATTCTGCTGAAGGAGTGCCAGCATCGTCCTCCAGTGGTATGTTGCGCCCAATGACATTTGATTTAGATTTCTTGACCAATGGGCCAGAGTCTTCCTCCGGATGAAATCTGACGGCTCTGCTTCGCTTTCCAATAGATTGGCGCTCCGGGGGCGGTGATTGGACTTCAGCATCGCCTTATTCATCCCCATTCTCTTCCTCACCACTTGACTCCAGTTCCACCCTTCCGACCAGCTTACTGGATGATTTTCCGGTTGACTTTGCAGGTGGTTTTTTAACTAGAATAGATTGGACAGCTTTGCCTGGCTTTCCGGTCAATTTCAGCTTGGAAGGCGGTAATTGAGCTTCATCATTTTTACCTTCGCCTTCACCATCCTCGCCCTCACTGCTTGACTCTGGTTCCACCCTGCTGGTTGACTTGCCAGATGACTTTCCAGTCAACCTACCGGTTTGTTTTTGAACCGGAACTCTGGTCTTTGCTGTTACTGGACTGCATGTTGTGCTAGAGTCGCTCTCTGAGATCTTCTCCACCAGCTCCCTCATCTCCTTCTCATGGTCTTGCCAGCCTTTGAATTCAAATGTTAGCTGAACCTCCTTTTGTCTCTAATGCCAGAACTGCAAGAGCCAGTCAGCGTCATGCAGCTGAAGCTTGGACGGGTCCTTGATCTTTCCACCGGTAGGTAAAAACTTGGGCTCAATAAAATTCTCTTGAGCCTCCGTCACTGCAGACCAAGGAACAGACGCCTTTGGCTTTTGACTGCAAAACCCTGCAAAATAAGTAATTCCTCTATCAACCCTCCAGATATTTCATTTGTGAAACTTACTGTAGTGTTTTGTGAGGAATGTCCAGATAAGAGACTTTTTGTTTTCTAAGTTGAGGGGCTCAATATCCAGTATGACCGGAAGCCCATAGGCATCGACCTCTAAAGTAAACTCCTCCTTCTTTCTCCTTGGATTTCTGCTCTCCTTTCCATCAGCATCCTCATTGCCATCATCATCATTATTCCGGTCAATTGCTGGCATAACATGGTGTAAGTACTTGACCGGATGCATCAACATTGCACAAAAAAGAAGCTCACCAAACTCTTCTCCGACATAGGCATTCCACTCTGGTAACATGGACTTCCAGTCCTTTGTATCTGTGAAACTATTGCCCTCTAACTTTTCATTGAAGTCAATTCTTATGACCGGATCAGGCCGTCTTTACCGGTTGAGAGAATTAAAATGTCACTCACCCATTGATCCTCACCTCGCCTTCCTCAGTTTTCCATGCAGACAATATGAATATCCTCATACCAGCCTGCCTCCATAACTGAGTCGCAAGATTCTTCATCATACCAGGAGCTTTCTTCTGAGCGAACTCAGCCTGGATATCTGTAGGAGGAGCACTGCTAGACCATTCTATAGCAGTCGTATTTGCTTCATCCAGCTGCTCTTCAGATAAACTGGCCATAATTGCATTGACCGCACCCTGGTAGTGTTTAATCATTTCCTTCCCTCCTGGCCTTGCTCCGGTCTTTTCAAGGATCTCCTTCTTGTACTGGTGTTCTATCACCAACCAGGTAGTCCATTTCTTACTGAACTTGCTTCGTTTTTTGGGTGTCTTTTCCGCTCTCCAGTTATATAACCAGTCCCGGTACATCTTCATCCATCATGAGCATTTATGAAATTAGAAGATTGGCTGCTTACAGATTTCCTTTTCTTCAACAGCTGGGCATCCATCTTAGGGGCTTGCATCTTGGCCTCTTTTATGACCGCCCTCAAAATCGTTTTCCTATCCTTACTGGTTGCTTCCTTCCATTCTTCTAGGTGAGATTGTAAGACAAGCAGCTCTTCCTCAGTCAATTTCTGCTTGGTCTTTTGGGGGCTGTGTACTGATGAGTTGGATTGGGCCATTGCAAAGCAGTCGAGGTCTTGGTAGAAGAAAGGATACAGGATAATCTTACATAGCCAATCGCCACCATGTATCCAAAAGTAGAACCGAACAAGAGATTATCTGCCAACATGATACTCTCAGGCTTAACATGCCCTGTGTTTCCGGTTCATAGAATTTAGGACTGCAAAACACACAAACTTAGACCAAGTTTATCATATAGTATACAGGCAGCATACAGTAATACTCTCAAAAATGCCATACAGCATAGGAAGACACATTTATACCGGAAGAAATCCATGGAAATTGGGATGATGGCAGGATTACAATGTGTTTGATTAACTAACCCGGAAATGATGAAACTTATGGCAAACTCGGTTGCTCTGACCTTAATATATCCTAAATAGAGATGATGTTCCAAGATTTCTGATCACCCGGTAACCTCACTGACACATAGGAACAGAAAATGTAGTAATCCGGTGATTCAAATTACTCAGAGGCCGGAGTTGGTACCTCAATGACAAACAGGAATGGTAATCTGGTGATTCAAATCACTCAGAGGCTGGAGTTGAAGGAAGGAACAGGTGTAAAGTTATATGCCTGCCGATCATCAAGCTTAAGTGCACTCCCCAGCCCAACAATCCTTTAGGTCTTGGTATCAATCATGGCAAATACTAAACAAAAGGAAATCACATACACTCCTCCGATGAGGAAACAATTGCCTCAGCTATATAAACTGAAGGAGAAAACTACTTCCAGAGGAACCAGGTCATCTTGGGTGAAAGATTCATGGTCCCCGAAAACAAAGTTGGTGACATCCTCACCAACAAAATCTCCCTCAAAGCACACAGCCAGGTTCTCTCAGATGCTCTATGACAGTGCTGACTTTGACTTTGACCAAGGCTACATGCCTCAGCCTAAATTACCAAAATCTCTGGCAAGCAGAAGTTCTTCTGATATCTGCAGTCTTCATCTGACTGGATCATGCAGAGTCAGAATGAATATCTCCGGCAATGGAAGCGCAAGTTCAAGGACTACATAAATTTACTCATGGTCCGAGAAACCCCTCCTCTGGACCGGCTTTGTGAAGTTTGCAAGAAGGATGGGGTTTATAAATGCCACGGGTGTTTCAACGAGCCCCTGTTTTGCACAGAGTGCTGCAGAACCCAGCATCAAAGACATCCTTTCCATCGCATCAGTCAATGGACCGGATCATTTTTTCAAGAAACTTCACTTATGAAAGTCGGCCTGCACATTCACCTTGCTCATGATGGCACTCCATGTCCCAGCAGCACTGAATACTCATCAGACCTCTTTGAATGGTCAGATACCGATGAACATATAGACCATAATGATTATCCAGAGGGAACTTCCATTCCACTTGTCGCAGACTCAGATCATCCGGCTACAACCATAGTCGACAAATCCGGTGTTCACTCCGTATCCATATGGTATTGCCACTGCCCCGGAGCTCTAAACCCGGATATGCAGCTCTTTCAAGCAGGCTTATTTCCAGCATCCTTCACCAGACCAAAAACTGCATTCACATTCTCCGTGTTGGATGACTTTCTGCTAGACAACCTGGAATGTGGTACATCAGCCATGAATTACTACAGTAAGATCTGGAGGCTAACCTCCAGCATCTTTCCATTGATAGTTCTGGTAAGTCGGTTTTCATTCTCTACTTCAGCCGGTCATTGAACAATAATATTTGCAGGATCGCTACAGAGAGCTCATGAGGACTGCCAGACAATGGTGTCAATGTAAGCTCTACAAGTGGCATGGGTTTGCCCATAAAAACGATGAGCCTAAGACCGGTGACCTTGCCCTATTTTTTCCGGCATGTCCTCAACCGGGGATAAATTTGGACTGGTCAACCGGTACGGCCACTCAGCCGGACGACACCCCTTCCTGGCTTTTCACCAGGACTTTGGTCATGGATGGTAATTTTAAAGCCGAGCACCTCCATCCAGTGAATCCATCTGATGAAGTATCATTGATTGATGGTCTTGTATTCATGGTCAGAGATGAAAGATACAAGAGTCATTTGGCTGTTGCCCAAGACCATGTCCAAAAGTCAGATTGTAACAATCACCACGCAGTCAATCAAGCCAATGCCTCCCGACAAAAGCTAGAGGCCACAGGTATAGGAGGATGTGCATGTGCACAGCATGGATGTTTTGTCCCACATTCCATGGTGGATTTTCAGAAGGGTGAAAGGTAAATGGACATTGCATCTGGTTACATGCATTTCTGGTCTTACTGATCTCGAAAATAATCAGGCAGATGAACATGGACTATGCCTTGAGTCAAGCACTCAACTACAATACAGATGGAATCTCACGAGCAATAACGTTCTATGATATAAATTGTCAGTATAATAAGTTTCTCAAGGACCGGATCGCATCAAGCATGTATCTGACCATCCCCATTGGCATGGATATCATTCCTGGAATAGGTTTGTGGCATGTGCATGGCCATCAGGACAGCTGCTATGTCCGGTATGCATCGAATTTTATCCATGGGACTGGCAGGATAGACGGAGATCATGGAAACACTCTGGGCATCTTTAAACATAATCTCCCCTTCAGCCAGGGGCATGGGAACTCCTCATCGCAAGGAGGTATTGGATTATCAGATGAATGATTCAAACTTCATGAAAATGATTCGCATAAGTGAGTTGCCAATATCCGGATGTACAAAAATGGCCTGGTCTCATATTATTCATTCCTGGCTGACCTGCCCCTCAGCCAAGTTTCTTTGCAGAAAGTTTAAAGAGGCTGTTCAGGGTGCTGCAGAGAGCACACTCTCATTCCAAAATCTTAACAAGACAGTTCAGCCTGCCATGGTCATTCTTTGGGAAGCAGAGGAGGCTGTTGCTCAGGCAAACAGACTGGATGATCCAACAGCCATGGACATTTATGAGGTCCAGTTGGAAAAAGGCAAGTGTCAAATTCTACTACTACTCATCCGGTCCTGATCACATACAGATTATTATCCGGATGGCATGATCTACAGCTCCAACTAGAAAGCAGCAGGAGTTGCGCCTGCTGGAGGCTCAAAATCGCCCGGATCATCTAGCTACCAATTCCCCTAGTCGGAGCAGCCACTTGGCTCACAACTGGTCTCACCATAGAAGAATCCAAAATCTCTCTCTCTAGAGATGTGAAAAGGCTTGGAAGGCATCCTACAGACATTCAATTGTTGACAGTAGCCTGACTCAGAGATAAGCTGCAAACTCGCATTACAAGCTTTCTTGAGATGGCACCTACCTATCTTGGATTTGCAGTTGATGGCAATGAACAGGATTCTCCAGTAGACACAGTTCATAATTCACTGGATGAAGATTATTCTGATCTCGATGACGATCACAATCCGGATCCGGATCCGGAAACACATCATGCCTCCATCTTTCAACCTGAGCTCACTATCTTACCTTTGCCTTCCAACCTCAGTATAGTGAGATGCAATGAATTGGGTCTCACCGATCTCATGAAAGAAGAAACTGCCCTTCATGAAGGTCAGGCCAATGACGCCCTTCATGCAATTTGGGAGATAAAGCTGTTATATTCTGGAATACTATCCGGTCAGCCAAGTCACAAGCCTCCTCCACCAGGGCATGGACTCAGGTTCTCTCGGTGGAAATGGTAGTCAATCTCAATGCCAGGATATATTCAAAATGTTGGTTGCAGCTAGCCAAACTCCCTGATCATGACCTCCTGAAGAAATATCTTCCGCTAAAGAAAGAACACCTGAAGGCAAACACTGCAGTTGCAGATCCAAATGCACGTGGTCAGAGGGACGCTACTCTCGCATGGTTCTGGTCAATCAATGTTCAGGGTGATACATCCGGAAATGACTGGATGACAGAATGTGAGTATCCTGCATATCCGTTGATATTGGGTGATCCGGTCTCACATATTGCAACAACAGTCTATAGAGTCAATTGGCTCCGGACAAAGGCCCTGTGCGATTGTTGGAATGAAGAGGTCATTCTTGTCAAACATGAAATGCAGTGGTCTGTCAATTTCTTTACCTACAAGGCCAAGCAATGGCTAAGTCTCATGGACAATGCCACTTACACTGGGCTAACCAGACATGCGTGTTATGCTGCCCGACAATGTCACATATATCAACAACTAGCTGCACATGCAGCGGAGTCTTTTCAGAAAGTGATTCCGGTCATTCAGCCGGAAGTACCGGTTGTTAGATAGTTCAGTTCCGGTACCAGTTAAAATAGTTCCCGGATTAGCTAATATGTAGTTATATTGAAAATGTGGGAATAAAACAAACTGTCAGTCTCACCATCACATCATCGTCATACACTCACCATGAACAACGTCGTCACTTTGGTTCCCTCTGATCAAATCATTGTGGCCTACTCAGATGGTGAGATCACCGCCAGACAGATTTCTCATGCTTTGTTCTATGCCAATTCTCGCTTGTTGGCCATGCGCCTTTATGTTGACAAGAGCTTTGCCACCGCCATGCCCGGTTATGCAGAAACTTTTTACACCCTCATGCAGTGGGAAATGGAGGTAAGCATCCAGTTGTCTGGCTGTCCGGTCAACCAGTCAATTCTTATCTTGCACTCAAATAATGTTGCCTGTCATGTAGACTTTTGTAACTCCATTCATCAACATATCCTTCCTGACCAGGTGCTCCGCTACCATTCCAAAACTTCTCCATGATGTGATTGCAATTTTGGTTGTGAATAAATTGGTGGACCGGCAACTGGATGTGAATGAGGTCCTCATGGATATAAAAGCATTGCCTCTTTCTGTCAATTCCGCCACATCAGATGAATATGACATTGCTCGTATGTCAGACTACTTCAATGCCTGGTGGAAGGAGAACCTGGGCTCTTGCAGGGTGCTGGACATGTTGCCAAAATCATCTGTCCAAGATGTGATGGAGTTGGTTGAGGGCCATTTTTCAGAACTCGTGAGTCCATGAGATTTTGACCTCCTACACCGGATCCTCACTAAATCTTCCTTGCATTGTAATAGCCAGATCATGTGGAAACCGACCTCCTCCCGTATATGCTCACACATGGCCCGGTTCGTCAACCAGAAACGGTCGGATCAGCATCTCTTGAGTAGTGCCGTCAGACGACAATTGGTAGAGAGCTGTTGGAAATTTTGCAGAGAAGGATGACAAACTTTTTACGTTCAAGTGATAAGTTGGCCGGAGTTGCTGGGCCGGTTGCTGAACTCACTAGGGCTGTGGCATCCTCACAATCACTAATGGACCGGTTGAATACAGATGACAGTGAATCCGTACGGTCAAGCCCAATCTGACGTCTGGAAGCCTTCAGTAGATATGTTATACCCATGTATATTAAAATGCAATGTGAATGGGTGGTGATTTTCGAAGATGAAATCCGGTCCATTGCATGTGACGCGGATTCCTGCTCATTGTTATCTGGTTACGGATTCATGAAACACTCCTTTTCTTTCCTCATACTTTAACCACTCATTGATTTCCTGAACACATGACAACAATTCCACCAGACTGGGCATTATACCAGACCTACCTTGCCGGTGAATTGGTTTATGACACCTTCATGTCCAAAATTCATCGACAACCGGTAAAGCCAATGAGTGTTGGACTTTTAGATGTCGACACTTGTATTGCTTTGGAGCAGCTTGCCAATGTCCTGGCCGTTGCTTACTTCAATCCTGGTATGCATTCTCGCATATATATCTGTGCCGGTTGAGTAACTTGCAAACAGTTCATCTCAAAATTGACATGGTTAGATACAATTAGTGTTGCCACGACCAGAGCCGTGGATAGCTGATCTGAGTGCGAGGTTATAGCTTACATAATGTATGGCCTGGCCTGGTTGGACTAGCCGTAGTTAAGGCTAGCTAAGGCTTCAATCCGGCTCAAATGGATTAAATTAAATATATTTTAAATTAAAACTGAAAATACACGAAGAATCAGCTTCAAGCGCTAAAGAAGGAAGCTGTGGCCTGTAGTCTGTATCCTTGCGTCAATCACACCAATCGCAACAATATACCTTGAAGATCTGACCTCAATGGGCCCTCAAAAGAAGGCAAGTGTCCTTGCCGATGTTCGATCAAATGCTAAAACAATTTTAGCTCTATGGCAGCGCTAATTGCATGCCAAAAATAAAAAAAGATCATACCAATGATGAAGCTCTGCGCAGACGCACATCGAGGATGAGAGACAGGCATCGAGGGGGAGATAGGCATCGAGGGGGAGACGCGGATGGAGGGAGAGACGTGGATTGAAGGAGGGACGCGGATTGAAGGAGAAACGTGGATGGAGAGAGAGACGTGGATGGAGGAAGAGACGCAGATGGAGGAAGATGTGTGGATCGAGGGTCCGTTGTTGAGGGGGGTCAAAGGATCGTTGTCGACAGGCCGTCGAGGTCGAAATCGAAGTGGCGACGCTGGCTTTTGAGGATGTGTTGTCGTGAGGTGTGAGAGGAGGCGGAGAATTTTGCGATGTGGAGGATAACGCACCGGGTATCCTGTGTAAGAGTAGATATGAGTGTCACCTGCTAGTGCTTCAACGAAATAACGACTCACCGTACGCTGATGTCGCGAGTTGCTGGAAGTACCTGGGGGCTGGTGCAAAGATGATATATAGAACTCCTGTAATATTAATTGAGACAGAAAATAATATGTTCGCTCAGCGAAGTCCGTATGATGTATGTAGATGAAATACCACTCACCAATTTGCAATACAGACCGCAAGCGTTGCAATTCAATTCGTCATTCAAGCCCCTTTTTCATAGTGGAGTATGGCATTATCTAGAATGAGCAATGAAGTCCGTATGGTGTATATAAATGAAATATTACTCACCAATTTACAATACAGACCACAAGTGTTGCAGTTCAATTCGTCGTTCAAGCCCCTTCTCCATAGTGGGGCATGGAATCATCAGAAACAGCAGCTTAAAGTAAACATTGTTAAGACACGCTCTTGGACTCATGAATCAACCTAGCAGAGAAAAGAGCCAACAATCAAATCAAGATAATGAGAGTCGGACAGACGTAGCATAAGCGAGTACTAGGTAGTGGTACACAATATTATAAAGGAGGCAGAAAAAACGTCAGGAATAGAGGGCAGGAACATCGGGAATGCTGTCACATTCATCTGCTGCTATGGCTTTGAGAAGAGCATCGTGTTGGTGACTGCTGCCGGTACGTCCGGCAGATGACAAAAATTCCTCATGGTGCGTGTCATCCGACTCCAGTGTGCACTGTATTTGAGTGAAGTACTCCATCTCCTGCTCTGATGCTGCCCACCCTTTGACAAAGTCGAGTCGTTCTTTCTTCAGCAAGAACTTCAGCATCTGCAGGATCTCCATCATAGCAGGGCTGAGGCGATTGCGCTTTTTTGTGCATGTCTCGCTGCTTGATGAGAAAATATGTTCGCAGGGAACAGCGGAGGCCTGGATGGGCAGATAATCCATCGCAAGGCTGTAGATGGTAGGAAACAGCGACTTTGAACTCTGGTCAACATATGATTAATAACGAACAGAAGTGACTCAATATGAAAAACTCACATTCCAAAATGCGAGCACGTCGGTTCCTTGAGGGCTAACATGAGACATACTGTACATATTAAATTCCTCGTCAGCTGTTTGAACACCGAGATGGTGACGCGACAGCAAGTCAACATCAGGAATACCATAAATTTGCGCGCCCAAGGTTCCAGTGCGCGATTGGCGAGCTGGTGTTTCTACCGGTGGACATTGAGTAGAGTCCGCTCTCTTCTCCTGCAGCTGTGGGACATGTTAACTTAAAGATGCGTTGTTTGAGTCAATGTAGACATACCAGCCTCATAATAGATTCCCTGGCAGTGCGAGCTCGTTCTTCGCCCCAGTGAGCATCAATCCATGACAAATGTAATGTAGGGTCGACGACTATAAGAATTGTGAGAGATTGACCGACCCGTACCCAGACCAAACTCACACATCGCGATTGCATACACATTTGTCTTGCTCATCTTGTGGCCATATTTGTCTGCCCATGCTAGGCCTACATTGATTATAGGCGCACAATGTGTGGCTATCCAGGCTATCCCTTCCCATTGTTCCATCAAATGTTCCAAGGCGGAGACTGCACCACTCAGCATAGGGGTGCTTTCACTAGACATTGATTGTTGGCACGCATGGGGTGCCTGATATAGATTAACACACATCATAGGTGTTTCAATGATGTCGACACTGACCTCTAAGATCACTTCGAGGTCTTGCAAGACCATCCACTCCATTGGACTCAACCCATGTTCGGTTAAGTTGTTTTGAGTCGCAAGGTAGCAATCAATAGCCTGGGTCACTGTGAGTTTGTAAAAATATTACACAAGATAATGTCTTACCGGTGTAGAAACAACAATACAGAGAGGAACAAATGATGCTCCTAACTGTATCTAAAAAATGGTGTAAGGTCACGTGTTGCCTAGTCTGCGTTACCTGAGGAGACAAGTGCGTTCGACCCTAAAGGGGAAGCGAGTGCAGCAAAGATCAAGAGGTACGCGCTGAAGTGAAGCGCGAGAAAACGCAGGTGCACGCAAGGCACGAAGGCGTAGGAACGCGCGCGCGTATTAGCGTGAAGCGCGGGAAAGCGCGTGCGGAAATGAGAAGGAGTAAGCTTAAGTGAGGATATGATGTAAGACGAGAAGAGAGATGTGAAGTATAGACAAAATGGATTTCTACTATGTTCTTCTAGGCAGATAGTGGGTGGAAAGTAAAGTAAGGTAAGGTAAGTGGTAAAAATTGTGTGTCGAGTAGTATGTACTGCTGGCGCTTATATAGCGTGCCTAAGCGCTGTAATGCGGAGCTGAAGTGCTACTGAGTAGGTATGTAGAGATATATATAAGTAAGGGTCCATGATAAAAATAAGGTGGAATAATATATGTACAAATGAGAGAAACAGAAATATATGCACTAGAGCACTTGGAGGACAGTGGATGGATGCATCTGGATGGCTGGTGCTATAGGGCGCTCAAGCGCGGGAACGCGCACGCATGTATACATCATGAAGCGCGGGAATGGCGTGCGTTGCGCGGGAAAGCTACGCCTCATATAGGAATAGCTGTGGACAGTACACAGAGTGGTGCTGCGAGTTTGTGCTGTATACTCCCTAGTGGAAACTGCCATATCACGCCATGAGAGGCATGATTCTCTACACCGGGCGAAGTGTTCGAAGACGATTGAGCATGACATATGTCAAATCCCATCGAGTAGGCTCATCGCATAGGAGTTTGACGACTGGAAGGTTTCCTCCTGGAAACAAATTTCCTTGGTTGCCGATCAAGATAGTGTTCCAGAAGGTTTCTCATCGTTGGCCTGATGCACGGATGACATGCACAAGATGCTTGCCTCGCTTGACAGGTTGAAATGTTAGTGCTTCTGAATACGACTCCTTTTCGACGATCACATTGCAGGCTAGCCACTGGGCGGGTGCTGTTGAAAAATCCACGGAATGATAGCTGGCGATGATGTGCTGAACGCAAATATTAATGATGTGCAGGAAACACGGGATCTTGCGATCAACAGGATCAAACTCGATACCACGTTCCAACAGCAGATGAGAAAGCTCGACCATGGCAGTCTGATTATTGGTTGCGTTATCTAAAGTAAAATGGCCGATCTAGATCAAGTCAGAATATGTTACACGGTGTAGTTAATCACTAACCTTGTCGGTTACTTCTGCATGGTCCAGGAGCCCTAATATGATTGCAGCGAGTGATACCCCATCGTGTGAACCGGGAATATGGGTGAAAGTTATAAGGCCAGCCTTGAGGACGAGCTTTGATGCTTGCTGGGCGATCCAGTGAGCCGTCAATGCCATGAATGGACGGCGGTTCTCGTCTGACCAGAGGTCAGAGGTAAACAATATCTTCCCCTCCACTTTCTGAAAGAACATAAGATATTTTGTGAGATAAAATAGTCGTACACTTACTGCCATATCTTGCTTTAAAGCATCGAAATATTCGTACCATGTTTCTACTATTAACTCACATAGTTTTGTCTGATGAGGGATGTCGGACTCCCGTAGATCTTTTCGCAGCAGTCGGAGTAACCTTCGGAATTCAGGGCATTCCATTAAGTTCATCGCCTAAAAACGTCAATTAATAACAACATTGTAGAAAGTAAATAAGTACTCACTTGATCATCAGCCACAATAAATTTGACGAGTTGCCTGTGCATCTTCTCGATGGTGAATTCTGGTATATCATTTCCAGGCGCTGACACCCCTGACCTAGGTTGTGAACCAAGACTCCCCCCACCGGGGGAACCAAACGATTCAAGAAGCTTATCAGGGTTTTGGTCGAGCTCTTGACCTATGCATGCGAGAGTCCACCCAATATCAAGAAGGTCCCGGACTTCCTTTGCCCCAACTTTCAAACCGTATTGCTCAAGTGCGGCGATGTAGATACGTAGGTGGAATTTAAGTAAATGGCCCCGAAGAGTGCCTGTAGTCGTTGACGAACTGTATTCGGCCACATCGTATGAGGGATCTTCTTTCTGTATGTCCCTGGTGAATAATGTGAGAAAGAGAAAATAAAAAAAGACTTGGAGATGATACTCACACACAGGGTGTACATATGCGCTGTCCTGATGTTGCATCTTTTGTGAAAAAATGGTGTACCTCCGATCCTGACTGTTTTGTTCGACGCCTGGTGGCCAAGGGATTGGATCGGGTTGTATCGCTACCTGTAAACGTTTGAAGTGGGCTTGGGCCTGTGCAGGCCACTTCCACTGGTGTTAAAAGGTGGTCATCATCTTCCTCATTGACATCGTCGATGACGTCAAGATTGATGAACTCGCCGTCATCTGCTGCACAGCTTGGACCAGCCCTGGGAGCTGCACCGCCTCGCTGCTTTTTGGTGGGCCGTCGAGTTTTGCGAGGATTCCGGAGAGCTTCAGTCACTGCAATTCAGGGAGCTGCAGTGAGAGAGGCTGCAACAGGGGGAATTGCAGCGGCAGGGGGTAAAGTCTGTGGTGTGTTGACAGGAGCAGCAGCATCAGAGGGTAAAGTCTGTGGCATGTTGACAGGAGCAGCAGCGGCAGGGGGTAAAATCTGTGGTGTATTGACAGGAGCTACAGTGGCAGGAGATAAAGTCTGGGGTGTGTTGGCAGGAGGAGCTACAGTAGCAGGGGATGAAGTCTGGAGTATGTTGAGAGCACGTCGGCGAGGTGGCATTATCGTAAGGGTTGGGAATAACTATGAGTGAAGTACCGTCCTATATAACTGTTGTCCTAGTGAGTCCCAGGAAATGCTCATGTGCACAGTAACCTTGACTCACCTGTCGATAAGGCCCAACGCATAATGCCGCATATGTGTCCTCATGTCGTTGAGTCTTGACAATTTGGGGGCACATTAGTTGCTGCCGATTGGAAGGAAGATGCAGCTAGGGTCTCACGGGGATCATCTGACCCCAAAACGTTGCAGGGTCTCAGTAATAGTAAGATTTAGAACTCAAAGAAAGGTTACCTTCATCGCCTAATACTAAGTGTGTCTCAAATTGTCCAGTGCAGTGCCCTTGTATGAATTAGCCGCTTCCTGTATGCAATCCCTGCCATGCAAGGAATAGCATTGTGGAATTGTGAGTCAGACACTTAAGTCTGACTGCACTGCGTTTGTTATCAGCGATACAATTGATTGGATGAGTCAAACACAAACCCCACTATGTGACCCGATTGAATTCCGATCACAAAGGAAAATCCAACAGCACGTTGGCAGAAGGTCCCCCATGCGCCATGTGTATGCCATAGCCATTGAATATATCCTAGTGGGGTAGATTAAAGAATCAGTTTTGTCAATGAATGGCTGTTATTGTTACCTCAAAGTTGTGAATGTGATAAGTATGATTTGATGGCTCCAAGTGAGTCATGATGAGTTGAGTCAACGGTTATCTTTTTATCCAATTTGCAGATCAAATCTGCAGACTGCAGGGAACAGTGAGGACAACACAATGGTGAAACACAACGTGTTCATATCGATAAGAGTCATAGTTGGTCCGCTACAGTCACGTGATGGTAAACATACATATGTATTATGTAACATATTCACACAAACACAACACGCTCGAGCCAGAGAAGTCGCATGGACCATGGTATAGTATGTAGCTAGATATTTTTACAATATGGTGTCTTGGAAGCAGTTAAAGGCATGGGAGAACCGTTATGCGGGCGTAAGCTTGGAGGTTTGAGTTAGTGAAAGTGAGAACTTGGAAGAGTAAACACAAACCACTCACACATGACGAGCTGATCTGCGAAGGGGTGTTGTCTTTGGTCGACACGGAGGCACCTCCTTAGCTACTGGGTGATCTTTAGGAATTGGAGGGGAATGTATGATGAGATCGTTGGACTGGCCAAAATCGAGTGAGCATGTAGCTGTTGCAGGTACTGTGGCATAAACACCATGGAGTAACAATCGAAGGTAATCATAGTCGGGATCTTTGGAGAATGCGAGATTGTGCGAGTAAATGAGCATAGTTGTGATTTCAGAAGGAATTCCAAGGCACAGAACTTCAATGGTGGTGTCCACCTTGCGTGCCAGTATTGAGGAGCTAGAGAGCTTCTCATAGTCGCTAGTCAACCATGGAAGGGAGCCGCAGATGAAATAAATCAACATATATACGAGCGACTCAAGATCATCACAACGACCAGGCACGACTCCCAGGTGATTATTGATTGACGCAAATGCAGGAGTGCCAGTAAGACGTCGACCTTGACGAAATGGCATATGGGTTTGGATTTCGGGGTTCCAGTACTCCCTTGCAATACCGAAATCGACAACGAAGACAGTTTTCTGTAAAGCACCGCGACCAACTAAGATATTTTGCGGCTTAATATCACCGTGAACGTAGTTGTGTGAATGGATGTACTCCAGGGATGAGAGCTGGGAATTAAGTTAGCATCTGCCGCCAGGACCCACCATAAACCAACTTACCAGTTGGTCTCCGATATTCAGGATGGTATGAAGGTTGAATTTTCATTTGCGCGCGAGGAAGAGATCATGTAGGGATGGTCCTAGAAGGTCGAGGACTAGAGCATCATATGTCGCCTCTCTACTGAACCATATGGCACATGGGATCCCAACTCCACCTTCAAGTTCTTTCAAAATGTTATATTCTTGCTCTAAAGAAGATGAGTTGTTGATAAGGGGCTCGAGTTTGATGGCAAGTTCGTCGTCGTTGATAATGTTCCGTGCATGGTATACAACACCTATCATATGTATTGAACTCAAATTCAACATGTGGATTGTACATGTAAAATAACATACCGTATGAGCCAGATCCCAGAATGTCTTCCAGCCTAAATCTGCCATCAACTCGGGTTGGAACACTATTCATGGTACATTGAGATATTCAAATTTCGAAGAGGTATTAGACAGGAAAGGTTGCATGCACATGCGGCACTGGCATCAAGTTGGTTGGAGCCTGCTTCAAGCCGGCTCAAGCTGGCTTAAACCGCCTTTCAGAGATAATGAGGTTCAAGTCGGTTCATGGAGCTAGGCTGAGCTAACTGAGGTGAACCGAACTGAAAAATTAAGTGAGCTACCCATTGCTAACCGAACTGCCGCATAACCATTGAAAGCCGAAGCCGAACCAGCCGAAGCCGAGCCACCCCATAACTAGATACAATGAATCTCTGGAAAAATATGAATCCGGACGAAGCGAGAAATGAGAGCAAACTCTTTTAGACAAATTCCCTCCTGCAGAACAGGTTGTCCTAAGAACACCGAGTGTCATCATTGATTCCGGAGGCAGAATCATTGTCTGGTATTTGCCCGGAGCCATGACTGGCATGATAATGGTTTGTCTCATCCACATTCATTTCTTATTTCATCTCATCCAGATGTATATGACAATATTCACAGACAGACATGCAATGCGCCATGAATTCCATAGGACATCTGTTGAACGATAGCATAACCACCAGGAAGGCTACTGAATGGAGGACCCATGAGTCCAATTTCTATCCGAGTCCAGATGGGAAGATCACACCCGGTTGCATCAATATATCACCCGCCTTGTTTCAGCAAGGCAGAGAGGTATGTCCGGTTCGCATCAATTGGTGTTGCTAGTCTAAAGTATTGTAGAAACATGGTTTCCCAAAACTTGATCCGGAAGATGGCTTCTCACCTCAGGTATCCGCTGCATTGAAAGGTGATGTTGGTCGCAATATCACAACCTCCCTTCAAAGATCCGGTATCCTTGTCTCTGCTGCACTTCGGGTCATGCACCCAGATCTATATTGGGCTGGAATCAAAACTCAAGTCCGGCTCGGTGAATGGGCGACCCAGTATCACTTAGAAGACATGTGCCATCATCTCAAACATTGGGCATCCGTCTTCAATGTAGTGTCAGTCATTTGCAATCGCTGGTCACCACCTCATAGAGATCCAAAATGTCGACCGGAGGCATTTGATATTATGACAACCGCAGGCGTTTATCATCTGGTCATAATGGATTTCATGAATCTCGGCATCAAGTTTCTATATGACTCTGGGTCAATGTTGGCCTCATCATGTCGCCTTGTCAGACATCACATGCATGTTGAACAGGGTAGCTGGATTGTCACTGCGTGATACATGTGAGATAGTATCCATAATTTTGTTGGAACTCCAAGGACAGACTATGCAAAATATGGCAATGTACAGCGCAGTGACCCGGTTGAGCAGAAAGACATCTAGACATGTGATGATGAATATTTTAGTCTACTCCGTTGATATTCACTTGTGCAATGTTTTTAGCATATGATAGTGGATATGCCGGATGACAGGCTTGTGAGATGTGACAGATACACCGGATTATCACCTACCAGATCGTATATTTGCCTGTACCGGATCATCACCTACCAGCTCGTATATTTTCCTGTACCGGATCATAGATACACCGGATTATCACCTACCGGATCATATATTTGCCTGTACCGGATCATAGGCCAGTGAGAATATTGATGTACCTGCCGGATGATAATCTGGCCAGATCTCCGGTGTATATCATTCGTCCGGCTCAGTCGTTTCCATTTTACACCGGATTCGCTATTCGAGTAGATTCCTGTACCAGTCTATACTATATACCCCCGGCCCACCCGTTCACCTTGGGTACACACATCCGGCCGGCCCACTCATCTCCATCGTAAACAGGATTTGGTATTAATAATGTCATGTATACTAGTAAATTCCTATATCACTATCTATATTGTATGCTCTCAGCCCATCCTTATGCTTCGGGTACACAGATTCATTCAGCCCACTCATATGGTCGGCCCATCTGTTTACCTTGGGTACACACATCCGGCCGGCCCACTCGTCTCCAATGTAAACAGGAATTAGCATTTATAATGTCCTATATACTAATACATTCCTATACCACTGTCTATATAATGTACCCTCAGCCCATCTGTGTGTCTTGGGTACACACATTCATCCGGCCCACTCGTATATCATGGTACAATCATGTCCATGGGCCCACATGGGATGGCCCGTTCCCAATGGTACATTGTCACACTCAGCTGTCCGTCTGAGACAGGTGAATCATCAGCAAACTACTAATTTGGTGACAGGTTTCACATGAGTCACAAGCGCCCACAGATTCACACAAGGTCTCACAGACATCACAGACATCACAAGTGTCACAAGGACAGTGCTGGTAAACATTGAAACAATAGTGTGCAGGAGGAGTAAATCAAAACAGTATATACTAGTATGTAGTGCATAAATCAAGTACTACTGGTTATATCACATGTGAAATAAGGATTAATATTCGTTAACAATAGTATGATAGTATGGCCGAAGCTAACTTACAGCGCACTCAGGCTGTACCACGTCGAGGACTTGAACCCACAAATGTCGGAATACCACTTTTTTTCCTCTCAATATGCATACGCCCTATGTTGAGGTCAGCCATTAATAGACACATATTGGCAGCTTCAACGCGACGGCGGTAGAGGTCCACAAGTACCATATGATGCTCCAAGGTGCAATCTGCCAGGGCTTTTTGAGCCTGGCACACTTTGTGTCTTGATTTAGCTGCCTCGAGGGCCAGGTCAGAGTGGTCATCCTCTTCGTCGGCTTGGCAAAATGAGGCGCAAACTGAATCAAACTCCTGACAACAGCAGATAAGAAAGTGCAGAGGAAATTAGGGGACAGATTAACTCACAAGCTGCACTCCTCCTGGAAAGCCGTCCTCCTCTTTGATTAAGCATGCCGATCGAGATGGTGAATGATTCGGAGGTCGTTGATTGTGAGTACAGGTGCAGCGGTGTGTTAGTGAGTAGTGATGACTTGGAAAATGATTTAAGTTGGAATATAACGAGCGCAAGGATCAAGAAGAAGGTGTGGAATGGCGAGAACTTGAACGAGAAGAGTTTCTGGAATGGCGAGAGGGTGTAGAATAACGAGAAGGAGACAGGGCTAGAGGCTCCATATGATGATGAATGTGAAGTTGGAAGCGTGTGAATCTCGCATACCTTATGTCAATACCATCATGTCCAAAATGCAGCAAAATATTCACGAAGGAGTCCAGTGTAGCTCGCCACCTTAGCCAGCCCCGAACCTCATGCCATAGCTCTATTCGCAATATGGTCGACATTTCGCAGTTCGCAGAGTTGGTCGAACCATGTCGGTGATCCGTTGATCCTCTCTCTTCTCAGTTTCCTTCGGATCGTAACAGGGAACCATATGATCCTGATCCTGGAGATGGAATGGATTTTGGCATTGGGGGAGACCACTTCGACACAGTGGGAGAGGAACTCTTAAGTGCAGAGGAATGGTACGAGGGCGCAGGGACTTGTTACTCTCAGGACGGCACAACCTTCTTGGACATATTCGACGCTGATGAGTATGCGGACTGCAGGAAAGATAACCTTTTTTATCCTTTTGCATCGAGGAACGAGTGGGAAGTTGCCAATTTTCTTCTTTGGTCCTCCCTCAGTATGGCGGCAATCAATGAATTTTTGGCACTCTCGATGGTATGTAATATTTTGCGCTGGCACTTTTCCTTCTTCTTGCCCTCTTATTGATGATTACCCTTGCAGATTTGCGAACTCAAACTATCTTTCAACAACGCTAAAGAATTACGAAGCCATGCCGAGATGCTCCCCAAGGGACTGAGCTGGAAATGTCAGGTCATTACCTCATCCCATAGCACGAAACACCTGATCCGACTATTCTGGAGGGATCCTGTTGAATGCTTAGAGATTCTGTTCAGCAACCCCCTCTTCCATGATAAGCTTGACTTTGTCCCTTGTCGCGTGTACACTACTGCAGCGCGGGTTCTGCGTGTATATTCGGAGTGGCTGATGGGTGATTTTGCTTGGGATATCCAGGTACGTGCATATGGGTCTCTACAATTTGCATAATCTCATCATAGGCTCTGCAGAACCAACTACCTAGAGGCGCTACAATCCTTGGGACTGTACTATCTTCCGACAAAACAAACATCACCACGATGACCGGTGCCAGGGTCGCTCATCCACTTCTTCTAGGCCTTGCGAATATCCGCATGCGCACTCGCACCAAACTCTCATCTAGGGCATTCCTACTTACAGCTCTCCTCCCTATCCCACAGTATTTGCACCCAAATCAACGGATGCGGGGCGTTCTTGAAGATCGCCTCATACACGAGTGTCTTGTCATTGTCTTGAAACCGTTGATGATAGCAGCCGAGATTGGGATCATGATGTCAGATCCGGTGGGCAACGTTCGTCATTGTTACACACCTCTTGCAGCCTACATTGTCGACACCCCCGAGGCATGCATGCTTGCGTGCATGCGTGGCAAAACTTCCCCATTCACCATGGCATAATATCTCGAGTTTGGGGATAGTTTTCATCATCCCAAACGCACTCGCTCTGTCACACTTGAACAGCTTGCAAACATCAAGGCCGACCCCAATAACCTCAAAGCTTTTTTTGAAGCATGCGCTGAATACCGGCTAAATGGTGTTCATGCACCTTTCTGGATGTACTGTACTGGCCATATGCTGATCCCTTAGTCTTTCTGACGCCGGAATCTCTGCACCACTGGCATAAGGAATTTTGGGATCACGACCTTCACTGGTGTCTTGTAGCTGTTGGAGCGCTGGAACTTGATTTTAGATTCTCGATTTTGCAGCCAATCACAGGCTACCGCCACTTCTCTTGTGTAATCTCAAAGCTCAAGCAAGTCACAGGGAGAGTTCACCGTGATGTTCAGTGCTACATCATTGGTTTAATTGCTGGTACAGCCCCTCGTCGTTTTGTAACTGCAATCTGTGCCCTTATGGATGTCCGATACATGGCGCAATCCCCTTCTCCCGATGATAACCTACTGACATCTATCGACCGATCACTCTTGGTATTCCATCAGAACAAAGATGTCATCATGACATTGGGCGCACGCATGGGTACTAAGAAACCAATCGACAATTGGTTCATACCTAAGCTGGAGCTAATGCAAAGCATTACTGCTAGTACGCGTAAAGTCGGTGCTCTCATTCAGTGGTCTGTGGATGCCACTGAACACGCTCACATATCCGAAATCAAGGATCCCGTGCGACATACCAACAATAACGATTACGATCTGCAAATCTGTCGTCACTTGGATCAATTGGAGAAGCTACGGCACTTTGAAATTGCCACGGCGCTAAAGAGTCATGTCGTTGATCCTGGTACCGAAACCGAGGATGAGGGGGGCGAGGAAGAGGGTACTGCGTGTGATGAAGAAGAACCAACTGATCCACGAACTGCGCTCCTAGAGGAGCTCAATTGTACATGTGTTACTACTAACTATTTCAACAGGGCCAAGGATATAACTGCTCTGTTGCATCAAGCTTGCCCGGGCCCACCTCAAACATTTACCACTGATAATGTTGCCATTCACCTGAACTTCAATCCGACCCACACCGGGATGAAACTTGATGACGTCTCCGACAATTTCAACCTACCGGACCTCCACCACGCTCTTTCGGCCTTCTTACAACGTGATACGAGGAACGGAAACATGACCCATGGAGTTGGGGTTCCAAGAAGGTCACTTATCGACCGTCCTCCAATTCTTCCCTTTGATCGAGTTCAAGTATGGCACACTGTTCGCTTACAACAGGTTTCATACCATGATTCGAGTGTTGCCTTACCGGCCCAAACCTTGCACGCCTCTCCTTCATCCCCTGAGTGGTTGAAAGGCCGAAGGGATGCTGTCCTTGTGAATATTGATGGACAGTATGAATGGCCCCAGTCCGGGTTAAAAGGTGAGCACTTTTCTATTTATCAATTTGGCCTATATATATTGACCCCCTCAGGACACACCATCTGCGAATTGCAGCTCATCATGCGCCCAATGCCTCGACAAGGTTCTCGTATTGGATGGCGAGATCAGTACCTGTGTTATGTCCATAACATGAAGATTGGCGCGGTCGACCCTGTAACTGGAATGCACGTTGTGAAATGTGCTAAGCACGCCAATGGTTCTCCAGTGGGTGATATAGTTCCCCTTCGGCAAGTTCGTTCATTTATCAACCTCATTCCTCAATTTGGGGCAGCAGCGGATGCACGGTTAATGAAAGCGACCTCATCACATTATTCTTCATCTTTTTTTTTGAACAAGTATTTTGATAAGCAAATCTATGATACTCTTTACTACGCTTCACAGGGATAGATATCTAGCTTTTCATGTTAATACTATTCTGTTTGACGCTTGTGATATCTGTGCACATCTGTGCACATCTGTGCACGCTGTGAGATCTGTGCGTGCTGTGAGACCTGTGCATATCTGTGCGCGTTGTGAGATGTGTAGCAGCTTGCTGATGCATCATGGGCCTACCTGGATGGTGATTCAGAACCTGGTGAGCTGTGATAAGGAAGATTTGATCAACACCAAGCAACAAACACCGCATTGAGGCCAATGCACGCCACGTCGCCAATGTTAGCTCAGGTTGACTAGTACTCAACGAAAAATGCTCTCCAACACTACAGTCTCGTCCCTCGTCAACATTGACCGGCTTCTTTGCGATAGAATCAGCTCTATCGGCATCCCTGTTGGTGAATTGCCACATACCTTGGACACCGTCAAACCCCTCCTCAAGCGTGAGCTGCAATCCCGTGTTATTCACAAGGGTGTCGGCAACGCAGTTAAAGTGCAGTTCAAGAACTCCATTTTTGACCAAATCGTTCCTTGAACCAAAATCGAGGTAGAACACCTTAAATTGATTAGGTACAATAGGCTTGCAGGACCAGATGCATACACTTGCAAGGGATGGAAATTCAACCGCAGGAAACGAGTCAAGCGGACTGAAGAGTCTGACTCAGAGTCTGATGAACTGGAGGATGATGAGGGCTCGGCTACAGAGATCAATGAGGAGGACAACAACAACAACAACAACAACAACAACAACAACAACAACAACAACAACAACAACAACAACAACAACAACAACAACAACAACAACAACAACAACAACAACAACAACAACGATGACAATGATGATACAGATAATGGCGGTGGCTCGAAGCTCAACTATGAGGGTTCACTCGGGTCGGCAATCCTTGGAAAAGACAATCCACTCGAAGGGAGTTGGGATGGCCAAGACTTTCAAGCTGGATCAAAGAAAAGACGACGACGGGTGGTGCACACTACCGAGACAGACATTCAGCGGCTCTTCTATACCATACAGTACCACTTGCACAACTCACTGAAGGACGACATCCCCTACACATTTGCGATGGGGGCACGCTACTGGACAGCAGAGTTTTCTACCACTGCTATTCCAGACGCTTTCAACGCCCAGAAGCCTGATTTATCCCTGTTCGACTTCGCACTCCTGAAGGAAAAGAAGTCGTGGGCAAATGTCCTGGCCTTCGTGGAGCACACCTCTTCTGATCTTTCCAAGAACAGAGGTTTAGCCGTGTATTGGGGGACAGCAATCAAAGCATATTTGATCATGCAACAACCATGGCGTCGATTCGTACTTGCCTACTCAATCTGCGCGAATATGCTTCACGCACATTATTTCGACTGCTCTGGTGTCATCATATCCCTTCCTTTCAACATTCACAAGTCTCCCGGCTCTGTACGCCTCTGCGATGCATTAGCTGCCCTCACACTTCCGGATAACCACTACCTGGGCCTTGATCCCACTATTCATATGTGTCACGCTGCGTGCAATGGCACCCATGTCAATCTTGCAGATGGGGCGATAGGCTGGGTGGAAGACAACGGGGGCAATGTCTATTCAATCATGGCTGTACTATGGAAGAGCCATGGGTTTTTCTGCAGGGGAACGGTCTGTTATCGTGTTAGAAACAAGGAAGGAGAGGAGTATGCTCTGAAAGATTGTTGGGTGGAGGAGTCGAAAAAAATGCATGAACCAACCGTTCGGAGGATGCTTAAGGGTGTTCCTAACGTCATCAAACTGATTGATGATTGGGATGTTTATTACAAGGGGCAGCCTGATTGCACGGCGCACATTCGCGAGAAATACGGCCAGGATCAACGAGACGACACCGCATTCTGTAATTGATTTCACTGGTGTCTTCTCTTGAGCCCTTGCGGGGTACCACTCTCTCAATTCAGCTCTAGAACGGAGCTGATTGTGGCTTTTCGTCACTTTGTAATTGGTGAGTGATATCAACTGTGCAGAACATAGTAGACTCGCTAATGAAGATGTATTTTAGCTCACCAAGCAATGATTGAGAGACGAGTCCTACACGGGGACCTCAGTCCCAATAACTTTGTCATACATAATGGCATTGGCTACTTCATCGACTTCGACCACACTGCAGTGTTAGCAGTAAATACGACCAGCACGTATTCGCCTGGTACTTCAAGTTTGTTTCCGAAATTCATCATGCTTGCTTTTGACTGGATTGTTACAGGGTACTATGCCATATATCTCAATCCGGATTCTCCAGAGCATGAGGAAGATGATTGATACCAACCTGGACACCAATCACCTGAGCAGGGACGATGCCCCGGCCAATGCTGTTCAATGGCTGATTGAACACAGGCCCTCTGATGACCTGGAGTCGTTGTTTTATATATTTTTCGAGTTTGTTGTGAAGTATGGGGGCGCGCATGGTGAATTGGCACCATCCTGGACTCGAGACTCGCTGCCATGGGTGAGTGCCTATGAAGCCTTGGGCAAGGCTGATCTCAAAGGGGCTTTGGGCACCTGCTGTTTCGCAAAAGTGGGGGTTGTCCTGGACCCGACTTTCATGGTCCAGATGACATCAGATTACTTCTCAACATTTAAACCTCTCGTTCAGCACTGGCAAGCTTTAGTTTGCCTCGCGAACATGCCCGACGAGAAAGAGAGAGTGGAGACCACTCACGACAAGGTTCTCGAGGTTTTGACTGCATTTATCGACACCTATGTTGAAGTCCCACCCATAAATCCCTCAGCAAATTCCAAACCTATTCCCGAGGTAGGGTCCGGGGGGGATAATCCTCGCGTAGGTCGTCCTTCAATTCCCGAGGCAGGGCCTTCAAGACTTCCACTGCGTCGCTCTACCCGGAATCTTCACAAGTCCCGCTGAAAACATTTTTGTCTGCAGTGCCCCTCGTACCCTCTCCACAGTCTGACCATCATATTTGTCTATTTGATATAGACTTTCTCTGATTCAACTCTGTAATTCTACTTGTCTTGTACCTCCTCCGCATTCCCTTATGATATCCTGACTTGTGCTTTTGCTGTGCGAACTTATGTCGCTTATTACGTAATGCACGACACCTACTTTAGTGCTAGATCAGCTATACTATCAACGCGTTCCCGGCTTTCCCAATGCCTCCAAGAAAGAGGGCCAAGCATTCTGCCCCAGCAGCAGCTCCCTCTCGACGAAGCGAGAGAAGCACATGAGGTGTTGGCGGCCATGTAGCTCAACTGCAAAAAACCGGAGAAACACTAGCAGCCCCAGCAAGGAAAGGACGCAAGGAGCCCATTGTTCAAATGAGTGACTCAGATGCCAAAGAAAACCCCATGGCTCCGTCACAGCTTCAGAGAATGAAGAAAAAAAATGTAATGCTCATTTTTCTAACTGCTACAAGCTAACGACACCCCAAGCAGTGTTCTGTTACAGCCGACAACCAAGTCAGATCAGGATCTCAGCTCTCTCGCACTCCCCATATCGGCCTTCCCACCAATCAGCCTCTTGGGAGATTTGGATTCAAGCTGCCCATGTCCGATATTCGCAAGGCGCCGTATTCCAGTGGTACTACCTATGCACGCCAAGCAACAGACGAAGATGACATCGAAGATCGGGATTTTGAGCGTGACAGGGATTCTGACTTGGAGCATGATAGGGATATAGGCTTGGAGCGCAACAATGGGGATGAATTTGAGGGTTCTGGCGAAAATGACAACCAGGATCCGGATGATAATTTCATGGACCACGAGGACGACCAAACGTAAGTGTTCTACTTCTCTAACCATCCTTCATTCATGCCCGTCGCAGAAACCGTGATCAATTCCAGAGTCAGCAAGAGGACGACACAGATGATTTCGATGATGGGTTCAACGGTGGAATGCAGGCAGATTTCGACCAAGGTATTGATGATGAGCCCGACGATGCAGCTCAACAGGAATCACAGGAAGGTATTTGAATTTTTTACGTGTCCACCTAGTCACCTTTTTTTTCCAGGATATTGTTGATGTCCTTGAGCGTCATCAGGCAAAGAATGGACTGCGTAAGGCTCCTTCGCAGGCTTCCCTCTTGAGAGCGAGACATGCTGAACGTCTCCGCTGCTCGAAGTCACCTCGACGTGCCTCTCCTTCTCGAGTGCAGCGCAGATACTCACCCCCGCATCACTCACATATATCTTCCACTTGCTCAAGGTCTCCTCATCGTCACACAAGATCTCCACCTCATCGCACAAGATCTCCACCTCGTCGCACTAGATCTCCACCTCGTCGCACTAGATCTCCACCTCGTCGCACAAGATCTCCTCCTCGGCACACAAGATCTCCACGCCCACGTTCTCCATCAGCTCATCAACATGAGTATCAACCATCTGCACGCGCTTCTTCCTCTCGCTTACAGTCTCCTCGTCGTCCTCCATCTCAGCCAAGCCAACCCTCAAATTGCATACAGTCCCTCTCCAAGGACACTTCTCCATCTGATCACACAACGTCACCCACTCTCCATTCTCGTTCTTTCAGTATCACACCTGAGCCAGATTCACGCAGCAGCAAGAAGGCACGAAAGATCAAACCAATCCAAGGGGACCCCATGAAGCTCGGGTTCTATCCACCTTCCTGGCAGGCACTTTTGCAGGCAGCAAAGGTGGAAATGTGTCTCCAAGCTGTGTTGACACATCCTGTTCCAGAGCTCGGAGACGCTCTGCAACTCGCGCAAGAAGTCCTGGACGCTGAACTCTGGAGGTACCACGAGAAGAAGATCAAAATGGATAAAGGTAAGTGTTTATCGCACCACCGGACTTCCTCGAATCTCATTATTTTACAAGGTTATTTCCCGGAGTACAAAGCTCAAATGTCTCGAGTGGTAAGCATCTCATTAACTGATGATCAGCGCGCTTATTTTATCATCAGCTCTGCGATGATTTGTTTACATTCCGCACCGAGCTGAAGAAAGTCATCATACCCATTGCGAAATCAGCATACAACATCTTCCCGAAGGGCACAGTCACACGCAAGGAGGATATACAGAAGCACGTCATCACAGCCGCCACTAAGCTCCTCAAGACTGGTGGTTACCTTCATGTTCCTGACTTGTCTAACGTATGTGATCACTCCTTGCAATGCGGCTGCTCACTGTTTATTTTTTCTAGGGCAAATGGAAAAACTTTGTGTCGCAAGCTCTCATGGATGGCTGCCTTGCTTTTTATTATAGCAATAGCAAGAAGGCGCTCAAAAATACAGACGAGTTTCACTGCACAATCCCTCCGAACGCGCTTATTCTCATGGCCGCTGTGGTACACTGTGATTTATTTTATTTTCTGTCGCTAATCAGTTAATAGATGAAGGGCGTCATCTCTGGGTTTTCTGAAACTGGTACCGACAAAGTACCTGACCTCTCCGCTGAAAAATGTAGGACCAACTTTAACTCGTTGCAGAAGTCTCTCGACAAACTGATGGACATTCCTGAACGTCGTGACGAGCTTGAAGATATGCTGGCACTGTGGGCTGGTATTGGGATGGGTAAGCTTGTTCATGGCGACTCGAGTGCAGAAGGCAGTGATTCGGAGGATATCAACATCATTTTATAATCTCGCATACTAGTAGTACTCATGTTTTACGATCTACGACAATCAGCACAGTTTATGCTTCCCGTACAAGCTTGCATGTGTCCTACAAATTATCTAAGCTTATACAGCATGTCTTGTCTGCAACATGTGTCTCGTCTGCAGACTCTGCACAGTGTGTTCTGTTTGTCAGTATTGTAGTGCTTGTATGACTTGTGAATCTTGTGATGCTTGTACAGTCTGTGATAGCTTGTACTACCTTGTGACAGGACTGTAAAGAGGGGACTTCCTTGTGAGCCTGTGAACCTTGTACAACCTTGTACAAGTACCCACTAGTTTGCTGATGATGTTGCTGTATTATGTGATGGTCCGACTCTACGCACCTTGCCAGTTTCGGTAATGCTGCCCTGTGGCCAATCTATATGTTCATCGGTAACCAGTCGAAATATATTCGGTCTAAGCCAACATCGTTTGCAGCTCACCATCTTGCCTACATTCCAAAGGTATGTCATTTTACCGAAAATCTGTTTGCCTGTGCTAATAATAGCTTTAGTTGCCCGACACGATCCAGGACATTTACGTTCCATGGTTTGGACAGAGTGCTACAGCAACTGTTCTCACACATTGCAAGCGGGAACTCATGCATGCCATATGGTATTTTTTGCTCGATGATGAGTTCATAGACACATGGGAACATGGCATCATCATCAAATTCTCTGATGGCATTTCACGCAGAGTTTTTCCTCGGTTTTTCACGTACGCTGCAGACTATCCTGAGAAGATTCTCCTCGCATGCATCAAATTTCTTTGGCGATGCCCCTGTCCTCGCTGTCTTGTCAACAAGGACAAGATTGACAGATTGGGCAACAGAATGGACCGGCGCCAGCGGGAAAAAGGTGTACGAGTTGATGATCGTCACCGGCAGTCTATGATTGAACGTGTACGTGAATTCATATTCAAATTGGGCCGCAGTGTTGTCAGTACTTTCGTCGAGAACTTGATTGGTGTTATGTCGATGGTTCCCACTCGGGTTTGTGGTGTTCAGTCAATCCAGTCAATAGTGACTAATTATTATACCTTCAGAATGCGTTCTCTGAGAAACTCTCAAAGTTCGGCTTCGACTTCCACTCAATGCTTGTCCCTGATTTTATGCATGAATTCGAGCTCGGCACGTGGAAGGCAACTCTGACACATCTTATCCGGATTCTCCATGCATGTGGAGATGACCTCATTCCGAAATTTAATGAAAGGTATGTTGCCTCCGAGCCTATTCTTAACCATTGACTCGTGCAGATTTTGTAGATATTGAATGGTCCCAACGTTTGGCCGAGACACAATACGTAAATTCAGCAGCAATGTCTCTGACTTACAAAACTTGCTGCTCGTGACTTCGAAGATCTTCTCCAGGTAAAAGACTCAATTCTTTTCTTTAAACATTGAAACTTAGATTTGTCGTCTACTAGTGCTCTATCCCCGTTTTCGAACTACTTATTCCAGATCATAACTCAACTATTCTCGACCTCCTCTTCGAACTCTCAACTTGGCATGCTTTTGGAAAGTTGCGGATGCATACTGAGACCACACTGCATCACTTCGACAACTGCACAACACGTCTTGGCCGAGCTTTGCGCAAGTTCCGCAGTGCAACATGCAACAAATTTGACACACGTGATCTTCCGCGAGAAACTGCCGCTCGTACACGTCGACGAGGTGCCAAAGCAGCAAAGGGGAAGGGGAAGACAAATGTTGCCCCACAAGCAGCCTCAAAACACCGAAAATTCAACATGTCAACATATAAGCTTCACGCACTCGGTGATTATGTGAAATCAATTTGGCTGTATGGGACAACAGACAACTACTCGACTCAAGTTGTAAGTAGTAGGCTCTTCGTGTCACACTCAAAGAAATCTGACTAATTACTCAACAGGGTGAGCTAGAGCATCGTCGCGTCAAACGGTTTTACGCACGTACAAATAAAAATCGATTCACGCGAGGTATCACTAAGCATCAACGGCGAGAACGGATACTCCGCAAGCTGCGACAAAAACATGAGCACATGGAGGCAGTTCAAACAGCTCAGAACAACCCGCCGGCTGACGAGACTGGACAGCGCCCCTCTCTCCATTTCGTCGATCAAGACCCCCTTCCTTATTCCTCACCTGAATCTCACTATCAAATTTCAACCTCGAAGAAGTATTACTGGGATATCTCGACTTGGCTCAGTAGACACAGTGATGATATTGCTGTTCAGGTGAGAACTTGTCTCTGTTATAAGTTTAAAACGATCGCTCATGTGGCCTCAAAAGGATTTCCTCCCGCGACTCAAAGTGCACATCCTAGGACGCTTGCTTGATACCCAATATGAAGGTGACGAGACAGAATTCACACCAGCGCAGCGTAACTCAGTTCATATCATCAACAATCGAATCTATCGACACAAAGTTCTCCGTGTCAACTACACTACCTATGCCCTCCGTCGAGCTCAAGATTCGCTCAGTCCACGCACACGAGCAGATGTGATGGTTCTTGCGCATGAGGATGAGAGCGAGAACCCACATCCATATTGGTATGCACAAATCATTGGAGTGTTCCATGTCATGGTTCGACATACAGGCCCTGAGTCCCAAAGCTCTGTACCACAGCGCATGGACTTGCTCTGGGTCCGCTGGCTTGGGCGCGACATGACTTATCCTTCTGGCTGGGCTGCAAAGCGCCTCCCTCGTGTCGGATTCCTAAACGACGACGATCCATCTGCGTTCGGATTTATAGACCCAAGACATGTGATCCGCGGCGTTCATTTAATCCCAGCCTTTGCGTATGGCTGCTCTCACCTGATCCCATCAACTTCTGTTGGTCGTCAGATGGAGGACGGAGGTTATGATTGGAATTATTTTTATGTGAACATGTGAGTTTCTATGATAATTAGCATAATACTATACTAACTTATGTAGGTTCGTCGATCGAGACATGTTTATGCGATACCGCGGTGGTGGAGTCGGCCACAAGCCTATCCGCGAAGCCACACGATGCTTACTCGATGACCGCGACGGACTCGACTGACTCCCATTTACGATGGAGAAAGTGCATGAAACTCAAGATTCTGACGAAGAAATGACAAACGATGGTGAGGATGATGACAATCCAGAGGATGAGGAAGATGCCGAGGAAGAGGATGCCATGGAGGGCAGTGACGACGAAGATGAGGACGAGGGCAGTGGCAGTGGCAGTGGCAGTGGCGAAGACAGTGATGAGGAGCGCCACGAAGATGAGGACAATGAAGGAGATGCGAATCAAGATCCACACACCACAGAATATCTCATCGACGACGATATCGCTGATGAGATGGACGAGTTTGGGTATACCGGCCTAGATCAGGTTCTCGTGGAAGATGAGGACGACGATGCACTACTGGACGACGATGCACTCGGGGCGGAAGATGGCGAAGAAGGTGGGCTGAATTATGATGAGGCTGAGGGGGTCGGATTTGCGGATTTATAGCGCTGGGGGCCAGCAGTACTCATAGTTACTGTACAATGATCAATCAGATTACACTGAAAAATGGACAGACCGAGTCAAATGCCGGAATAGGGGCGCACAGAGATGAACGGTGCAAACTGGTTCGTGTTCAAATGACTGTATTATTACTTTAGATCACAGTGCAGTATACTCATGGAAGGGACGCTAGGAAGAGCCGGCAGTGCCTTGCGAGGAGCGTGGGAGGCTCGCGGGTGTTTTGTACATGGTATGTGAGGCTTGCGAGGGAGCGAGGAGGCGTGGGGGATGTCGTAGATGTCATTTACGACGATGCGTCATACATGTGAGGCTAGTGAGGTCAGCGACGCGGCGTGGGAGTCCTCTCGGGAGCTGCCGGGCCTTTCTGGTTCCGGGCGGTTTTGCTGATGAAGTGCGCATGCATCCGCTGTATACGGTAGGCATGTCCTGTTGTTCACAGCCTCCATGATCTAGGCATACTTGCTTCAGCCTCATGGTACCCGTACGTTGAAGTCTGCTTCTACTAAATCAAATATTGAACATAACCCTAGTACCACAAATAGACTCCAGGAGTCTAAGCTCGATTGGACAACTGTTTTACCTCGCCAAAGAGTGGTCACGGTGAAGGCTTAGTACTTACTAGTGCTTTCTATCATGCCTCGTATTTTTTTGGATGCCTTTTCTTGAGCTTGCTGGCAAGGGCCCGTGCTTGAAGTAAACTAATGGTAAAACACACCTACGTCGTACGATATTTCCAAAGTCATACTAATTGAAGGCGAGTGAACTTATCATGTCTGTACCCTCGTGTCGTTTTGTATGAGATTTTGACCCGATGTGTGGCTGTAGTGCGGTTTCATGTATCCCACTTGCAACTTGCATATGTACTTTACAGGCTGCAACGCCCCAGCCTCGTGTAGTTCCCTAACAGAGCCTCAACCTCACCTTAGCCTTGCCGCTCACCTTTAAATTCTAGGGATCCCTGAGCACTCACCATATCATTCCCCTTGCACTGGCAGGCCTTCTGTGGACAAGTACTGCAGTTTCAGCTCTCTAAGTGTGTATTGACTACGATCTGCGTCCATTCTGCGCTCATGCGACACCTTTCACAGCGAGATTAGCAGTGGTTATCTTGCATTCACTAACCGAGGGTATCAAGTTGCATTACTCTCCCATCCCCTCGGTCATTCAGATCGATTCCTGTTTCTGAACAATCTTGCAAAACCTTTCAAAAAGGATTCCAGCAGCGGGACATGATGTCTAATCTTGATGAGGCCATCAAGCACCATCGGACTGCATTACTCCTCTGTCCCCCCCGCCATCCAGACCGAGCCTCGTCTCTGACCAATCTGGCAAGCGGCCTTCGAGACAGATTCCTGCAGCGGGGCATGATGTCCGACCTTGATCAGGCCATCAAGCTCTATCGCGCTGCATTACTCCTCTGCCCCCCCGGTCATTTAAATCGATCCGTGTCTCTGAACAATCTTGCAAACAGCCTTCGGGACAGATTCCGGCAGCGGGGCATGATGTCAGACCTTGATCAGGCCATCGAGCTTCATCGCGCTGCATTACTCCTCTGTCCCCCCAGTCATTCACGTCGATCCATGTCTCTGGAAAATCTTGCAAACAGCCTGAAAGAGAGATTCCAGCAGCGGGGCATGATGTCTGACCTTGATAAGGCCATCGGGCTCCATCGAGCTGCATTACTCCTCCGTCCCCACGGTCATCCAGATCGATCCTGGTCTTTGAACCATCTCGCAAACAGCCTTGGAGAGAGATTCCGGCAGCGGGGCATGATGTCTGACCTCGATGAGGCCATCGAGCTTCATCGCGCTGCATTACTCCTCTGTCCCCCCGGTCATTCAGATCGATCCATGTCTCTGAATAATCTTTCAATCAGCCTTGGAGAGAGATTCCAACAGCGCGGAATCATGTCTGACCTCGATGAGGCCATCGAGCTCCATCGGGCTGCATTACTCCTCCATCCCCCCGGTCATTCAGATCGATCCACGTCTCTGAACAATCTTGCAAATGGCCTTCGAGACAGATTCCGGCAGCGGGACATCATGTCTGACCTCGATGAGGCCATCGAGCTCCATCGGGCTGCATTACTCCTCCGTCCCTTCGGTCATTCAAATCGATCCTCGTCTCTCAACAATCTTGCAATCTGCCTCCAAGACAGATTCCAGCAGCGGAGCATCATATCTGACCTCGATGGGGCCATTGAGCTCTATCGGGATGCATTACTCCTCCATCCCCCCGGTCATTCACATCGATCCTCGTCTCTGAACAATCTTGCAATCAGCCTTCGAGACAGATTCCGGCAGCGGGGCATCATGTCTGACCTCGATGAGGCCATCGAGCTCCATCGCGCTGCATTGCTCCTCTGTCCCTCCGGTCATTCACTTCGATCCTCGTCTCTGAACAATCTTGCAATCAGCCTTCGAGACAGATTCCGGCAGCGGGACATCATGTCTGACCTCGATGAGGCCATCGAGCTCCATCGCGCTGCATTACTCCTCCGTCCCTCCGGCCATTCAGATCGACCTTCGTCTCTGAGCAATCTTGCAATCAGCCTTCGTGACAGATTCCAGCAGCGGGGAATCATGTCTGACCTCGATGAGGCCATCGAGCTCCATCGGGCTGCATTACTCCTCTTTCCCCCCCGTCATTCAGATCGATCCATGTCTCTGGACAATCTTGCAATCAGCCTTCGAGACAGATTCCGGCAGCGGGGCATGATGTCTGACCTCGATGAGGCCATCGAGCTCCATCGGGATGCGTTACTCCTCCGTCCCCCCGGTCATTCAGATCGATCCTCGTCTCTGGACAATCTTGCACTCAGCCTTCAAGACAGATTTCGGCAACAGAACGTCCAGTCTGACCTTGAAGAAGCATTTGGCTTGTACTCAGAATTCTCCCACCTGTCACATGCAGCATCTCGCACACATCTTAGTGCTACCAAGTCATGGGCGGCCTCCGCCGACGTCTGTAATCATCCATCTGCTCTGCTTGCTTATCAGGTTGCACTCACATTCTTGGATCAGCGAGTTGCCTTCCTGTCGTCTTCTTCGCATCACTTCGACGTCATCAGGGAGGCTGTCTCTTCTCTCGCTACGGATGCTTTTTCATGCAGTGTTCGTCGTGGTGCGTTGACGACTGCGGTGGAGTTGGTGGAGCAAGGTCGTGCAGTGTTCTGGACCCAGTTGGCACGCTTCAGGACATCACTCGATGAACTTTCTGTTTCAGGTGACGCCGGCATAGCCTTGGCAGAAGAGTTCAAACGATTGAGCTTTCGCCTTCGTAACGCGTTCGATCAGTCTACAGAAGACCAGTCTCCGCAAATTCGACCACTTACCATGCAGTGGGATGAAGTTGTCTCGCGCATTCGCATGCTCCCCGACTTTTCACGTTTTCTCCTACCTCCACTGTTTTCTGACCTCCAGAAGGCGGCCGAAGATGGCCCAGTGATCATCGTCAATGCCAGTCAGCGCAGCTGCGACGCCTTGATCATCCATAGTGCGGGGGGTCCTGTCCATGTTCCGCTTGACATTACACAAGCCGAAGTGTTCGAATCATCCTCAGAGCTCCAATCCCTCGCAGAGCAGTTTGGTTCTTCTGATTGTGAACTCAAGCTTGTCAGCATCCTTCGCAAGCTTTGGAATGATGTCATTGACCCTGTAGTCCAAGCTCTCAGGGAGTCTGAAGTTCGCCCTGGTTCGCGTATCTGGTGGTGTCCCACTGCTGAGTTCTCGCTACTTCCCCTCCATGCAGCGGGACCATACGAGAAGGGAAGAGACAATTTATTCGACATTTACATATCCTCTTACACCCCCACTTTGGCAACTCTCGTTCGTGCAAGACAGCAGGTTTCTCGAGATTCGTCATCGCAACATTTCGTCGCCATCGGTCAAGGCAGCCCGGTTGAAGGGAAGGAGCTCAAATGTGTCGCTCCTGAGCTAGCCGTCATCGCTCAGCACGTTACTCCCGTCATCTCCTTCACATCCCTTGAGGATGGCGACACAACAGTCGAGGGTGCACTCGATGCACTCGACCGTAATCAATGGCTCCACCTTACCTGTCATGGAATGCCGAATCGGACGCAGCCGTTCGAATCTTCCTTCGCCATGCGCGACGGGCCTTTAATGATCAAGGATATCATCCGATCCAACTGGCAGAACCCGCAGTTTGCATTCTTATCAGCCTCCCACACTACCGTTGGCGGCGAGGGGAGTCCTGATGAGTCGATCCATCTTGCTGCAGCCATGCAATTCTGCGGATTTCGCAGTGTGATCGGTTCCATGTGGTCTGTTGACGACGAGGTTGCACGCCAGGTCGTGTCTGCTTTTTACTGCAAGTTGATTGGTGATTCAAAAAGATTGGACTGCACAGGCGCTGCGGTAGCCCTACACAAGGCTGTGAGATCATTGCGCAAGAAGATTCCGTTAGAACAGCAGATTGTATTTGTCCACATAGGTGTGTAGTTAGAGACTCGATTCGCTATATTATATTATTACATTTGCTGTATTTCTAGTTGTTTTCATCCCCTCGCTCTGCTGTTGTTTACTTATTTCTGCATGATACTTTCTTGTTCTGTACTGTACTAGTGGCACACACCGGGTCCTGTTGAATAAATGTGATCTACTCCTGCATCGTCACAGCTTTAAGCTTGTCGTCAAGCGCGGCTGTAGCATATGATTCAAGTGGTGTTACCTGTGAACTACCCTTGCTGCCCCCATGGCGTATGTATCTGCTCATTTGTTCGGTACTACTAATTGCGACTTGTAGACACTATCATGCTGTATCATGCTGAATCCTCTTGGATGACATCAGATATCAGGATTTTGAAGAAAAGTGTACAAGAATACGAGTAAGATCAACTATAGTCACAAACATAACTCAACTATGTATACAGCACAGCACTGAACAAAGTCGTGTGCAAAAGAATATTACTTTGAGAACGCGAGTACTCACAGACTAAGCCACATGGGTTGTACTCCAACGTTTTAGATAATGTCAACATCATCGATGTGTCACGGATAATAAAGCCATAGGGCCGCCACATCGTAACGAAAATCGCGTATCCGTGCCCTTGGACCACCTTGCTTATCTCAGTCGATGGTACGCATTCGTAACCACCCATAGGCGTCCCTAGTCGATGTCCAGAGTTATAGATATACCCAGCACCGAGCTAGACAACTCGAGGTAGGTCATCAATTAGTCACAGTTAGTAAACCAAGTCAAGATCAAATCACCAACGAAACCTTACCCTCCGGATCAAACAACAGAAAACGTTGTGTAATGAAGTGACAAAGTCAGCATAATCGCAGGTCAGATGTGTAGGTAGAACGAATGGGCAGATGTTACCTTGCGGAGCAAGGTCTATCGGAGTCGAGCGAAATGTGTAATGGCAAGCGAGACCAAACAACAACGTCATTTTTTCCATTCACCCTCAGCTGTAGAGATACATCGCTTCCCTGAAATATCAATACAGAGGCACACTATAGAAACCAGATAAACGAGATAGGGAGACTACATCTACGTATCCAGACGCTAGGCAGTTGAATTGAAGACACGCTCCCTCAGACCTGTTGAGCACTAGACTATCAACGGAATCCGATATAACTGCGGGGAAGGACTGACCGTCTGGACGTAATCGACTGTCATCCTCAAGATTGAACACCAGTTCAAACGCACTGTCACCTGAAGCCGGTTAAGCTGCGCATCGTCGCATATCAACTGGGCGGATGTTATAAGGATACACAATAGAATTGGCACCGATGTTGATTAGCGCGCACGAGAGACAGTATCAGCGGCCCCAAGTAGATTTACAGCAACGGTATTGCTCTCTTGAATACGTTTCAGGCGCTCATAAAGCACTTGTACCTCTCGGGCCGTGGTGTCAATCAGTTGCTGCTCTGTGGGAGGTACCGATGATGCACTCTGAGATTCGGGGGCGGGTGGCATGGGGTATGCGCCTACACCAGTTTGTCGAAGGAATTCAGCAAGCGTGCGAAGTGCCTGCATGAGTGCAGCCAGCTCAGCTGTAAATGAAAAGCGTAAAGCCAGCCACAATTATAGAAAAACATGAACGTACTTGCCTGCTGTATGTGCAGGACTATTTCCTGCTTGGTATGCGCTTTGTCTGACAAATAATGAAACATGTATAAGTGTGAAGGCAGTAGAGAGACTTACATGCCGTGCAAGCAATTACGTGCCTGCGATTGAATCCTTGCGACATGGTCAAGCGCTATTTGCATGTTCTGCTTTAGGACTTCTGGTGAATTTGGATCAATATGGATGGAATCATGCAGTGAGGATTGTGACATATAGACAGAAGCATTCTGAAAGCTAGATGGCGGGATAGATGATATGGACAGAGTGGAAGATTGACTGGAATTATTCATTTCGTTACTTGATAATTTTGATCAATTCCCAGTGGTGGGTTCAACCCGTGCTGATGGTTGTTTAGACTTGTTGTTCCGGCTATCATAGTACACACCCGTAAATAATCATGTTAACTTGAAACCATAATTCTCAAATATTCAACCAGTATGATTTTATGCTAGCATTGATTGTCTTCCTGCCTCCTCGATTTTAACGCCTCTAAATGTCTGTTCTCTGCCCACCAACCACGTATCTTCCGCCGATTGCCAAGATCGCGAGTTTCTCCGTCACCCAGCTTCTCGATGCCTTGACTTATCTACAGTCACTCTACCATCCAGAAGTCCGTGGCTCGCGTCGCAAACGTGTGCAGGTGCCTGTATCTAATGGAGAGCAAAATTTACGCCTTCGCCATGAAGATGATAGCGAACTCCAAGCTATCCGATCTGACGCATTCGAGCGCTCATATTCCATTCGGTGGCTTACCACTCTAATCACACAGCTCGAGGTCTGGCAAGGACTTATCGCACTCTGAGGAAGTCTCATTGGATGATCTTGGGACGCCAGAGTCTACCTTGGCTTACACAGAGATACTCGTCCAACAAGCCGCGTCACTACTCGCGATCTGTGCCGGGGTCGCTGCTGCTGGAATGATCATCCGTAACTTCGTTTTTGGTTCAATAGATGGGCAGAGGCGAGTGGAAGCTCAGCTCACAGATATTCCGCTGGACAACAATGACTACGGGAGTGTGGGAGCGCAGACATGGGGCGGGGCATGTGTCTTGGCAGAAATGATTGTGGAAGATCCTGAGCGATTTGGACTGGATTCTACCTCTCACGGCTCTGAATCACGCAGGCTCAATGTCCTTGAGCTCGGAGCGGGAACAGGGTTGGTTAGCTTAGTGGTTATGAAATTACTGGATGCATTGCCATCTTTCAACCATCGCGAGGTTCATGTGGTTGCGACCGATTTCCACCCTTCTGTGTTAGCCAACCTCAGGTCAAACGTTGACGCGAATATCTCCTCCACGCACAATCAAATGATTTCAACCAATTCCATGACCACTCATTTCCTCGACTGGTCATCATTCTCTACTACTCCTCGACCGGGTTGTCTTTCGTACCCATTTGATGTGGTCCTTGGTGCAGACATCATCTACGAAGCCTAGCATGCGGTTTGGATCAGGGACTGTCTGAGAGGGCTTGTGCGACGTCCTTCTGATGGCACGATATCTCCCGCCGCTTTTCATCTTGTGCTACCACTTCGTCCAACGCACGCATTCGAGTCAAACACGGTTGAGTCCGTGTTCCTCCAGGCATGCGATGTTGATCCGACCGGTGATGCTGATCTCGTCATACTATCGAAGGAATATATCACATGTGATGCCTATGGCGATTATACGCGAGGACAAGAGGACGTGGAGTACGTTTATTATAAAATTGGCTGGTCTAATGCACGATTGTAGAATTATATGCATAGAATGTAGATTACATAGAGTTACTACTAGCTATTCTTGTTATCCGCAACATGTCGCACGATAGATATCAAATTACAGTTCGATACCGCCCATCATTGATTCCAAACGTCGACTGCTCGCACGCGACTAAAGCGCCATTCAGGGGTTTAGGAATTCAGATTTGAATTCACATGGTTGACCTGGCCATCTTTCGTGCGCAGCGTGGTATTTGCATCATGTGGACACATTCTTGCGTTATCGTCAAGCGCCCTTTTATCTTACATCAATGTGTCCATACCTCCCATTTCATCCCAAGGAATGTCCACTACCTGGTGGTCGCGATCAAGCAAGCAGCAGCAAGACGACCAAGATGACCGTGCTTCTGAGTTACAGCTCGGCGAAAAGGATCAGGGTATTCAGAAGCCACACAACGACAATGCTGACTTGGGTCCTGGAGAACTGACCTTTGAAGAAGGTGCCCTTGCTCGCCATTTTTTCAACTTGCTCGTCTGACATTATCCAGATACTGCGGGTGGCATGGGTCGTTACCTTGGTGTAACATCTTGCACTCTCCTTATCGTTGGAAAAATTATTGGCTCCGGCATATTCTCAACGCCGTCCTCCATCCTCTCCAGCGTGGGCTCAGTCGGCGCTTCCCTTATGCTTTGGGTCCTCGGTTTCTTGCTTAGCTTCTGTGGACTCTTCATATGGCTCGAGTTCGGCACCATGTTCCCTCGCAGTGGCGGAGAGAAGGTATACCTCGAGGCCGTCTACAAAAAGCCCAAGTACCTCGCTACGATAATATTTGCTGCCAACGCTATATTACTTGGGTTTACTGCGAGCAACTGTATTGTCAGTCATCTTGTTTTGTGTGTATATTCGGCATTGAATCTTGACTGCTTCGTCAAGGTTTTTGCTAGCAAGTGCGTATTTTGGATTTGACGAAACGGCTCGACTGATACGATGTAGTATCTTGGTTGCCGCAGGTCAATCCGCAGGTCGCTGGAATCAGCGTGGAGTTGCACTTGGCGGTGTGTCTTCTACCTAACTGGCATCTTACGGTCGTTTCATGGCATCTAGTCATGTTCTTCGTAACCTTTCTACACGGAATAGCCCCGAAGACCGGCGTACTGATTATGAACGTATGCAAGTTTTCATCTTTACACTATCATTGTATTCAGCATATTCCTTTCAGTTGCTCTCGATATTCAAAATCGTAATTTTGGTATTTGTTGTGGTCACAGGCTGGGTAGTTCTCTCTGGTAAAACCCGCGTTGTGGATCCGTACTATAATTTTAGAAACGCGTTCGCGGGGAGCTCCACGAGCAGTAACGACGTGCGTTCAATGATGTTCCTAGATGCCCATATGTTGATTATGGTCTTGACAGTATGCTACAGCCACCTTCAAAGTCCTGTACGCATATACGGGATGGTCCAACGTGAACTACGTGATGAACGACGTCCGCAATCCAGTGAGGACGCTCAAGATTGCAGGCCCGCTCGGTCTTGGTATATGCACCGTTTTGTACTTGCTTGCAAATGTGGCTTATTTCTCTGCTGCAACCAAGGTGAGAACTTTTTTATCCTCACTACGAACGAAACACTGAATGGTATCGATAGACGGAGATTATCGAGTCTGGTGTTACTGTCGCTTCTTTGTTTTTCGGGAACGTCTTTGGTTCTGTTGCAGAGCGTGCGCTATCGGTTTTCATTGCTCTCAGGTGAGCCCGACGTCCTGAGTCTGAGGGTTTCCTGACTCGTGGTTTTCATATAGTGCTCTTGGAGTGAGTCCTATGTATTTCGTATCATGATCTCTGTTTGATGATGCGCCGTAGAACGTTATCACTGTGGTAAATCGGGAGATGCTATGGAAATTTGTGACTCAAGAACTTTTCATCTAGACTTTTGTGGCTGCACGAGTAAATCAAGGTTCGTCATACCGACATCATGATTCTAACGTAGCTTATGCTCCAATCACAGAGCTCGCGAAGGAAGGGATACCCTTACCATTCGGAAACAAATTCTGGGCCTCAAATTGGCCCACTGGGAAGTCCCCACTTCCAGGATTGATAATTCATTTGATACCCTCCGTAAGTACTACCCTGGAAATATGATACCAATCTGAGATTGGTCTTCTAGATTATCGTCATTATCGGGCCTCCCCCAAACATTGCTTACCCTTTCATTTTGGACGTTGAAGGATACCCACAGCAAATTATCAATTTCTTTATTGTCATCGTACGTCTCTCAACTCTGTTCTCGAGTGTTTCTTACCTCTTGATGCCGCTAGGGTTTGTTCTATCTGCGATGGAAGAAGCCAGATGCCAATCGGCCATTCAAAGGTGAGCAAACATGTCGCTCTTCCTGTATGGTACGTTAATGCGTATGATGTAGTATGGTGGCCTCTCGCTGTATTCTTCTTGGCTGCTGCTTGCTTCCGTGAGTTACCAATCTACAGCTCCAACACTTTTTTCCCTAACCAAACCTCCACACAGTCCTCATCGCTCCCTTCCTGAAACCAGCCAATAGCGTCGGCGACACCCCACCACTGCCATATTACCTGTACGCTTCTTCCACCAGCACTTATCCACGCGTCCCTCATTCTCATTCCTCGCTTGTCATATAGGTACTGTCTCGTCGGAATCGCCATCATGTTCGTAGGCGTGCTGTACTGGTTCGCATGGCGAATCATGCTGCCTAAGGTATTTGGCTATGAGCTTGTACCGAGGAAGGAGATGTTGGACGATGGGACTTTTGTCACTGTAGTGAGTGTTGGCTTTTTATTCTGTCTCCTGGTTTGGCTTACGGATCTTATTTTCAAGTATTTGAATCGAAAGATGCAGTGATTTGGAGGTTGATTGGAAGTGCTGGTAAGTTGGTCTTTGTATTAATTTAGTGCGATGTCGTTATGCACTCAACATGCGTAGTTTATCATTCATGTATTCAGTATAGCACTGCCGTATAGTGTCCTTCTGGTCTGTGCCGCCTGGAGTTCTTGTCAACAACACCTGTGTTTTGACTCAATCATCAATCCCGTCGGAATTCTGGCCTCATGACATTTTCTGCTCGAATCGATGAACGCAATAGTGCCGATGGATGATATGTGCAAGTCTACACAGTGGGAGTACGTATCCGAACCATAATATGCCAGCGCACCACACCACCTACATACGAAGGAAAGATGCATATGACGAAACATGTCGAACATAGAGTCACTGACCCCAAAGGACTGCAAAAAAAGCTCACGCGGTTTTGAGATGTTGCACACCACAAAGCTCTCTACTAAATATGTAGCACCAGCGCACGATGCAGAGGACTGTCAACAAGCACAACAACGCGACAAGAGCGATGCAGCCTTGCAGTAGTTAATGCATGTCCAGCGCTAGCACATTCGTTGTCGCAACGCGGTTTTCTACGAACAACGCAATAGATGCCAAGGTTGCGCCAATATCGGAGGGGAGTGTGCTAATGCCTGAGGAGAGGGTGTGTGTCGTGTGCGCGAGGTCCTCGACAGAGGTGAACAGGTTTGCTACGAGTAGCCTAATAAGCACGAAGGTTGTCCTAATGCCTGAGGAGAGACCTCGACAGCGATGAGCAGGTCTGCTAAGAGGCTCCACATGATAACCAGGAGGATTGTGTTAACGCCTGAGTAGAGTGTCTGTGCTCCACGGGAGGCGGTCGAAAATGTCCATCACTCGTCGGACGGCTGACAACATCAACGATGGCCATTGGTTTTTATGAATTGTTGAGGGCTGGAACTCATCAGCATGTATTGTAAGTGAAAATTGTAGTACTTGCTCAGTGTGGGGGTCAATTGTATTGATGAATCCATTATCCAGGTAATTCGAACCCAGCGGGTGTCGTGTCCACGTCATTCCTACAGGTTGAAGCCATGCACTTACACTCGTGGCCCATGCACTGCCCCTCAACGCGCAACATCTGACTTGGGCGTACACATCAGTGAACTGGTGAGGAAAGTAGAAGGTCATATATCACAATATATAGTACATAATCACAATAATTAGCACAATTCTGTGATCGAGCATCACATCGTCATATTTGCTCTTATATCGGAAAGGAGTTTTACATGATTTCACTATAAAACTTCAGGATCAGGAAAAGATCTCATTATCGTTCAACCTAAAAGTCGAAGGGAAGGTGGAACAAAAGCTGCTGGTTGATCTACATGAATCAAAATCGCCACATGAGTGGTAAGGTTCATAGTATTCAAGCTAAAAATAAAAGTCCGTATCTTTCAGGGAACAATGCTACGTTAACCTCGGCCGGGGACTGTATATGTGCGTCCGCTATTAAATGTTGATAAATCTACTTGAAAAGCTGGTTTTCCGTCACTCTCAGGTCAAACTGACATGTAAGTGTGAAAGCCGGTATCTCCCTAACTACGAGATATTCACTCGACCACGCGACCATAGAAAATTCCTTCGTGCTTTCGACTTTTGAATGTCATCAAATTTGACATTCCGATGTTTGTCAGTTATGTATCAATTTAGAATGTGTGGGAATAAGCTATGCCTTTCCGTAGTAGCCGGGTGATGTCCACATTCACCACATACAGAGGATGGTCTACGATGACGAGACAAGGTTAAGAGGCCAAAATCTTCCAGAGCAACGACAGTGTTGAGCGACTGTGCGAGAATGAACATAAGTACTGCTTGTAAAGGGCGATACGACTTGGATGAAAATGGTCACGTACGAAGCATGGTCCACGATGACAAGACAAGGTTAAGAGGCCAAAATCTTCCAGAGCAACGACAGTGTTGAGCGACTGTGCGAGAATGAACATAAGTACTGCTTGTAAAGGGCGATACGACTTGGATGAAAATGGTCACGTACGAAGTATGGTCCACGATGACAAGACAAGGTCAATCTAGCCAACATATTCCAGAGCAACGACAGTGTGTTGACCCACTGCGTGAGAATGAACATAAGTACTGCTTGTGAAGTGCGATACAACTTGGATGAAAATGGTCACGTACGAAGTATGGTCCACGATGACGAGACAAGGTTAAGGGGCCAACATATTCCATAGCAACGACAGTGTGTTGACCCACTGCGCGAGAATGAACATAAGTACTGCTTGTGAAGTGCGATACGACTTGGATGAAAATGGTCACGTACGAAGTATGGTCCACGATGACGAGACAAGGTTAAGGGGCCAACATATTCCATAGCAACGACAGTGTGTTGACCCACTGCGCGAGAATGAACATAAGTACTGCTTGTGAAGTGCGATACAACTTGGATGAAAATGGTCACGTACGAAGTATGGTCCACGATGACGAGACAAGGTTAAGGGGCCAACATACTCCAGAGCAATGACAGTGTGTTGACCCACTGCGCGAGAAAGAACATATGCTGTGTTTCTCTGATGACTGGCAGCTGTATTTTGCTTGCAAAATACAACGATGTGTTCGCTGTGCAAGCGAAAGTACATATGTGTAGTGTCTCGAGACTTCGACGCTATCTGCTTTAGAAATGTACTACCAGTCAACAATTTCCGCTAGTTGAGAACCCTGGCGAATAAGTTTTACCTTGGGAAATGTCTGTTATCTTATACATTGCACCACAGCACCATCGCACCGTGCGTCATTTTGCGCTACAAGAAGAATTCATCATGTGCCGATTTGCAACCACAGGTATACAGCTTCCCGATGTCGCGACGGTGTTATCGATTGGCAGAGTCAGAAATTTCTACTTGACTATCTGAAATATCATCTGCGTGACTTGGGAAGTCGATACATCTTCCCATTTGCGCTCATCTCACAGGTTCATACTTCTTACCCATGGTTAGGTTGACAACCAGAAATCACAGAGATCGCCATGATCATGCTGTCTGTCCTTAATTTAGCTTATTGGGCACAAGTAGGCGGGTCCACGAACGAACTGGACTTTAGATGCTTCCAAATAGACCATTCAGTGTTAGTCACTCGGACCAAGCAGATATTATGAAGCATCCTATATTTTGTGCCAAATCATTCCAACTCATTTTACAGCAAGTAGAGGATTAAGCGAGGATAATCAAAGCATTAGATTCAAGTCGAGTGCAAACTAGGTAGTAAGGTAACACAATTGTAAAGGAGCTAGGGCGAATCAAAAGCGGCATCATCACGTTGTGCCCTCTGTCTTGTGAGCGTGTTGACGGACATATTAGCTTTCGCTGTGTCACTGAGGCCATCCCGATGATTCCTTCCGAAAATTTTCCTAAAGAGAGTTCAAGCGAGGCTTGTTGAAGAGTAAATAGCGCACCGAGTCCACCACTCAAGGAGTTTGTTCACCCTACGCTGCGCTTCTCGACCAGGGGCTTTTTCAAAGAAATCTACGATGGTCCGCCAGAATTGCACATAGTCAAAGTCACCATCAATGGACCGCCATGAGGTTACAGAAGAAAGTGCGAATCGCACCTGCCAGAGTGTGGTCATTATTTATCATGAATCTGAACAAAGACTGTAACTCACTTGACATGCGATGTATGCGATCGAGCGGGGAGTAACTTTTTCCATCTGGATGATTTGTGCGACATGTTTCTTGACCTTCATTCCGGCGCAAGACTTCTTGGCGCGTGTGTTGTCCCTGATGACATCTGCGCCGTCACCATCGCCTGCAACGTCCTTTGCTGAAGAGGGCGACGTGAAAACAGCTTTGTAGCCCTGAAAACATCTGTCAGGTTGTTGTCAGGCTGTTTCACACTGCGACGAACCTGAATGAGAATTTTGCCTTTGAAAAGGCCCTCCTCTAGATCGTTTGGATCCGTGGTGTATTTGTCGTATAGGAATGCCGGAAAAGAGAGATCTGTCACAACGTGGCCCTCTGAACGATCTCGGATCCCTGTCCTTACACTGGTGAACAGTGAGTGATCATTCCGGGATTGAGAGTGAACTGCTCACTCTAGGTTGTTCCAATCAAGCTCAGCCGGGCAGAGCAACTTGCCACATACATCATGGGTAAATCCACGAGAATGTTTATCGTCGGGGTCAACAGGGTGGGTCGGCTTGAAATCACGATTAACCCATTCCGCAACGAGATTCTTAAGCTTTGAGGTATCGTCTCCTCGGGCGCTATCGGCCCCTTGCCAAAGCTAACAAAGACTCAGCATGTCACAACAGTTGATATTGATAAAACATACCATCTTCAACATATGTAAGTACTCGTCGTACTGCGTTTCCGAGCCTTTCTTATGAAACCACGGTAAGGTTCTCGTTAGGGTGCCGTACCCTATCTGCAGTCGATCTTGACTATGTATCCACGCCAATGAGTAGCAAGCGTGAATCAATGGCGAAACACTTACTCAAGAGTATGGTCCTGGTCATCAGTCTCGCATCTTCTGTCGTTTTCATTGACGAGGTCTTCGATATTATCGAACAGTGTGACAACGCGTCTGATCGCTCTTCCTCGAGCCACAAAGTAGTTTGTTTGCCTGACAGATACGGTGAGACAAACAATTCAATACTGGTAATAGGTGTCTTACTTATTTTTGGCTGCGCGCCCTGACTCGAGAGCCTCCAACTTTTCCTCTAATTGAGCGATTCTCCGTCTCTGTCGAGCTGCCGCTGCATCGTGTTCCAGTTGAGTGCTGCCCTCATTCCGGCCCTCGATCTGCGACATGTCGTCATCGTCTTGTGGAGCCTCGGTGTGCGACGCGCCGTCTGTATCCCACCGAGTCTCGGTGCACGACGTGCTGTCCTCGACATGCGCCATAGTGATACTGATAAGAGAGAAAATAGGTTAATAGAGAGAAAGAATGAAGTAGATTGATGAAGAGAAAGTGTGAGACGAGGACTGACCAGCTGCACTTTATATGCTGGTCCAGACAGCGCAGGTCGCCTAAAAAGCATACTGGGAAAGATATGAATGAATGCCTATTTTGGAAAGGGCATTAACGTTAGCATAATTAAGGTTGAACACATAGCTCCGAGTCGCTGATCTTACTACCAGTATGACAGTGAACATAGAAAACAGGGCGGCCTCGACTTAATTCCTTCAAGTGTAGTTATACGAGATTGGACGTGCAGCTGTCGGATTCTCAGAGTGAAGTTGCAGTCGCGCGGGCGGAAGATAGGACTAGCTCCCGCTCCGAGTCCACGATGTGTTGAGCAAATTGCGGATCTAGGACTCGGCAAAGTGCAGTTGCCTGAACAGGATATAGAAAACCTTGACATTAACGTAGTGGGTGACGCGAAGAAGCGCTTGACAGCGACCACCTTGATGTAAGCGTAGATTTCAAATCAGATAAGCGGAATCCACGAGTAACCCATAGACCGGATTCGAAGTAACTGGGCGAAGCGAACGATGTTTATGAGCTTCCAACGTTCCGCATCCTTCGACGAAATGAGGAGTTTCGGCGAGTTCTGGGCACTAGCCAGGCATTGGCAAGTGTCCTCAACGCAGAACATTACTCGACGAACATACGTTGTCATTCATTTTGGTAGCTACTAGGTGCGTAATTAGCACATTGCCTGGTAAAACAATGATGGATTCAACCTTGGGCGAAGCATTGTATATACACCGCAATTGCAGTCACGGCGGTCGCAGCAGGTGATCTACCCTCTCAGGTTCCACACCCTCTAATTGGCCCGCCTGCACGAGCGCCTCGGCTTTCCTGCGCGTCTTACTGAGGTAACCCCCCATCTTGTCGTGCGTGGCTATCAGGCAGAAAGTCTGGCGCAGATACGCGTCCAGAAGGTAAAGGTGATTTTTCAACTTCAGCAGTTGAAGCCTCTGATTCCGTGACGTCAAAGCGTACTTTGAGAATGCTCTTCCTCCTTCCGATAGAACCAAACTGGGATTGATTGGCAAAACCATTCTGTCCATTCTGAGTCACGGGTTGATTTGGAGTGAGCATCCATGCCCCAGGGGGTGCCGGGGTGCGTAGAGGAAGAGACTTAGCGCGCGACAGAGAAGGTATTGGCGTGAGCAGTCCATTGCCTGCTGGGACATTTGTCTCCGAGCTCCGTTCAGGTTCAGAAATAGCTCGAGATAGAGGTGTCGATGACAATGACACAGTCAGAGCCAACTCGGATGAAGTAGGAGGTGGTGATGTTTCCCTCAGGTGCTTGGGCGGTACGGGTGTAGCAGCCCACGCTCCAGGAGGCTTCGGGGTCTTCATTGCGGTATAGTTCGGATTGGCAGGGCCATCCTCATCCATTCGGACGGGTGTAACATCCGCCTCGTGTGTCTCTACTTCATCTTCAGAAGATGAAGGGAGAACAGAAAGATTAGAAAGATCGTGAGGCGGAGATGGAGTGCGGAAGTCAAGAATGGAAGTGCTTGACGCAAGACGGCGCGGTGGAGTTGTGAGCGCGAAGGTGGGAATGGCTTCAGAAGAAGATTCGTCCCGAGGAGCGGAACTGGTCATTGGCGGCGTTCCTGGGGGAGTGAAGGATGATGGCATCGCCTGCTCTTGGGACTGAGAGTTATCTAGTGGAGAGTCTGGAGTAGGAGGTCGGAACGAGGTCGCTGAAGTTGAAAAAAGAGCTCTGTGAAGACGTGCTTCATCATTGGAAGAAACACCAGGTGTTTGAACGACTGAGTGTAGCCTTGGTGGCGAGGATGGTGGAGACACCAGAACCTCTGTCTCTGGCTCGCTGAGAGGATCTTCTGGGAAAGAATTCGAAGGTCGTGTGTCTGGAGCAGTCAATTGCGGAGCAAACTCCGACACGGATTCCTCGTCGCTCGCTGTATATTCTAAGATAAGAAGGTATATTGTCAAGCTAAGGGAAATACGGGTCTTACCTAAAACCATATCCTCATCCCCAAATGCACCGTGGATGCTAGTACGAGGGTGAATACTCCCCAGATTCAGTAAACTTTGTCAGCCGCTTGCGATGACCCTTCTTGAACTTCTCCTCATCGTTGGCTTTAGGAGTGGAAGAGGCAAAACTGCCACTGTTGAAAAGACCATTCTTCTTAGATGGCGAGGGTACTGGAATCAAGCTCGACCGATTGACGCCCGACGCTCGGTTGGATGCGAGCGAGCCTGGAGTCGGCGATGGCGAAGAGATGGTTGGCGTGTGGTGAGGTGAGGAATCAGGCTCCTTGTTGCTGCGTCCGCCTCGTTTAGGCGAACTCTCCAGATCTAAAGGAGGAAGCTGATGACCCCGCGAAAAACCCCAGCCAAATCTTGAAGCAGCCGCAGGCTTAAGTGGTGTAGTACGGGGTGAAGCTTTGCCATTATTGGAAGGAGACAACGAATCTGCACCCTGCGGCGGATGAACGGACGATGATTCATCGAGCATCGAATCTATTTTGCCTTTGTGAGAATGCACCTTCACAGCCGTCAGTGAGCCCTTGCTTTGAGCCTCTGGGGTGAGGCGAGGTAAACTAGACGATGCACGCAAACTCCTCCCACTCTTGCTTTGGGAAAGATGGTCACTCGCAGATGTAACTTCATTTCCACTGCCGTCATAACTATGATGTCTCGTTGTGTTCCATTTGGGCTGTGGTGAGTTCCAATTTTGCTCACGTTCGTGCGTTACCTTTCGTTCTTCTTCCACTTCTTCTGGGTCTCGTAACGAGTCATGACTAGCCTGTGAACTGGCAGGAGAGCTGGCACCAGATAATCGAGAACTGGAACCTCGCCATTGAAGGGATGCGAGCGTCGGTGTCGCATACGCTGTGACTGATGGAGGTCGGCTGGGGTAAGTGTGGGAATGATTCGAATGTGAGCTAAGACTTGAAGACGGTCGAGGTGGTGGGTGTCGTTTATTCCATTCTCGTTCACGCTCGAGGTAGCGGTCCCCGTCAAGCTCAGCCATCCGATCACGATCTGAAGGTCATTGAAGTGGTGTGAATTAAAAAGAAATAATCACTTACGATCTGCCTGTGAGCTCATGGAACCTGACCTTGAGCTCCAATCATCATCAAAACTCCGAAGCGACGCAACGCTACCCCTTCTATGCAGAACCCTGCCGCTGAGAGGTGAAGTCGCTCCGTTCGAAAGGGATTTAACGTGAGAAGGTGACGTCCAAGGAATTTCTTGAGAGTGGCGTCGGTGGAACTCCAATGAGTGTCAGTGATGCAACTCAGGGATGACAGAACGTGATGGTGCTTTTGGACGGTTCCACTCGCGTTCGCGTTGGTGCATCCGATCTTCTTCACGAGAATGGTATTGTTCTTTAACTAGAATACCATGATAAGCTCGCCTCGAAAAAATAATAGCAAGTGGTAATCTCACAATCAGCATCAGAAAGTGATGAGCTCGCCCTTGGCCCTGCGCATACTGTAGGTGGGTGACGTAAAAGCGAAAAGACACCACCTACCTGGCAATTCGAGACTGGCATGCCGAGACTGATCCTGATGTCGCAAACTTCCGCGCAATGAAATGGAGGAACGGGGCCGCGGCAGAGTGGTTGACGGGCGACTGGTACTTGGCCCAGGTATCGCGGTGCTAATACTAATGGAACAACAATAAGAAATGTTGCGGTTAGCCATTTTGAAAATGATTGCCTAAGTCTTGATCGCTCACGTTTATGCGTTACTTTCGTTCTTCTTCCATTTCTTCTGGATCTCGTAACGAGTCCATGATGACTAGCCTGTGAACTGGCAGGTGAGCTGGCACCAGATAATCGAGAACTGGAACCTTGTCGTTGAAGGGATGCGAGTGTTGGTGTCGCATATGTCATGACTGATGGAGGTCGGCTGGAGTGAGTGTCGTCTACATGAGTCCCAAATGACTGGGAGGTGACTGAACTTGAAAGCGTTATTGTGATCGCGTCACGTCAAGTTGTGGCGCTTACTAAATGACTTGCGTGACAACCTTGAAGCTTGACCAGCGTTTACCAAAGCTCCTGAATATTGCGCAAATGATGTAGTCTACTGGTTCCTATCTAAGTTGAGCTATGAAATCAACAGCATAATTGGCGCAGCCTAAGAAAAGTAAGCGTATTGTAGGCCTCCCATCGCTTTAACAAAACTGGGTCGAGAGCGATGACTTTGTCAATGTAATCTTCGAGCGAGTCATGTAGTGATTTAAATTCTATACCAGAAAATGGAATCTCAACCAATTTCCCGGTCCTAAGTTCCCGTAAAGCACACTTGACAGCAGCGGCAGACGTGCAAAAAAGGCTCTTGAGGCTTGTGACGTACTCGTAGAGCTTGAGCTCTCTCACGGTATTCAGAAGAACGTCCCACACCACATGGTTTTCAAGGAAGTGTAAGGCTCCAGTCTCGTCCTTGCCGAAAACATACTTGGGTGGGAATGTCGCACTATCGAGCAGGTCCTCAACCTCTGCTGCCTGGTGATCCGGTTCGGAGGTTGTCGACTGTGGTGGAGGACGCAGATTGAACCCGCGCTGTACACCTGCGCGTGCATGCTTCTTGCACGTAAGCATGATAAACCTGCAGGGCTCCGACAGCGACAGGTATAACGTCTTCCAATTCGAAGCGGCCCATTTTTTCCCGAACGCCTCTGTTGCACAACCGAAAATTTCAGTCGTTGCCAGAAAGGGGTATGTATTGACTTACCTTGATTATATTCTGCTGTTGCAGAAATTTCCAACTGCAGTTTAACTACCTGCTCCCTATCCGTCCCCGTCGGTAAAGAGAGCTCGTTCACCGCATAGTCCAAAATTTTTGTCCTAGCGGACGCAACGATTCGCATGTGTCGAGTATTGGTTATGTCGTATGGAAGCTCCGACATACTAGGTTGGGTCACGGATGTAGTGGTAGGTTGAGGGGGAGCTGCCATTGATGGCAGCAACTCTGACACCTGGGACTGCGAACCTGAACCGCTCACTCCTCTCTGTAGCGAATCCGTCAGCAATTTACAATTGTCTTAATGTCAGTCACCTACCGTTCTAGACTTTTTTGGCGGCGGATACTGGTACGGGCGAAACGTTGTAGTAGAACGTTTTTTGGCGCCTCACTGATTGCTGCTAGCAGTCACGGTATCCTGCGCGCTGAATATCACCTCCCGAGGAGGGTATTCCTGGTTTCCTGGTGGTAAAAGGGCGTCCTCGTTCTTCGTCAGCGATGGTTGAGAGTATCCTTGAAAGAAGGAACTGAGATGGTTAGGAAGGTGATGAAGAGAGGGTGGCCCCGAAGCCGAGTAAGGATGATTTGAGGGTGCAGCCACGGCCGTTGACTCAAAGTATATGGGCCCAGCCTCCGAGTCTGGCTGGAGTTGATGGTGCACAGCACCATCAGAGGCGGGCGCCATGACATGACTACGATAGTGGGGTGGGTACATGGTACTACCGAAGAGCAAATTGTGAGAGTCGTTCTCAAGCCCCGAGAAAAACTCAGAGTCCGACTCGTTGTTGGGCAGCGTGGGCTGACCTCGGCCAAAGCCAAGCTCAGAGGGTGGTCGCTGCTGCATCACGAGACCATCAGTACGATATCCGAGTCCATCGTGGCCATCACCAGGTTGCAGAGATGCGCCCGCAATATACCGATCATTGAGGGCGGCATGGAAGTCGTGGGTGTTGTCGAGGAAATGATCATGGTAGATATCGTCATTCGTCGGAGGTGGCAATTGACCAGCCTGAGAGGGCTGCATCGCAGCAAGTTGTTAGTAAACCGCCAAGTCAGAAAATCTGCATACTGGGCCGGGTGAGTCAGACCCCGACTCAATGTCCAGATTTCCGCGATAGGAATGGCACTCACATTATGATATGGGCAAACTGCAACGAGTAGCGATTTATGAAGCGGATTGAATTGAAGAATCCGATATTGACCAATCTACATTGCAAAAAAGGCCAAAACATGTAATACTGGTCAACCGTTATGAGTTACAGAACACACCACGTGCACAATATTACTACTGGGCGCTAGCTCAATTCCAAAATTGGCAGTGTATAACAAGGTTCAATCGGTGAGGTCTGGGATAATGCTGCTTTAAGATTGCTTGTAAATAATTTACTATGTTGACGCTGCACGCCGTAAGGTTTAACGTTCAGGTACAAGTCTCATGGATCCGAACTGAACGAACGTTTAGAATTGAGCAGCCGTTATAAATAAGATTGCCACCAGCTGTAGCTAGCACTCAAGTCTAGTGACTCTGGTCAAATCGACGTTCACCTACTACAATGATGGAACAACAGCAGACGTGAAATACGAAAGGTAAGACCCCAGACTGACTGGTTCTGACAATATACATGATTTCTATGCGTGAATTACGTGTCCTAACGGGATTCGTCAATAAGGGTTATTACTAATAGAAGCCATGCTCACTAGCCACACAGTCTCAGGCAGCATCCGACTTCTGGACTGAGTCACCATCAACAGACGACCTGAACAACTGGGACCTATTGATATGATCCTTTATAACATCAAGTTGAGTGTCAGTCCAATGGAGAGATGCCTTGTTGCGGTCGCAGACTGCAGCGAGGAATTTGGTATCTGAGGCAATAGCAGCCGGTGAATGCTTCTCAAGAGCCATGTTCAGTAATGTTTGCGATTGTTGTTCCGATCGAACAAACTCATTTTGCGCGTCCTGGTAGAGAAGATGAAGGAGGGTGCCACGTCTGGTATTTTCCTCGGCTTCCCAGTATGTGGTATAGAGGCGCATGCGTTGGCGTTCGCGAACAGCCTCCTTGTAGTGCACGACAAGGCGGAAAATGTGAGGGCCAAGAGTCTCTAAATGCTGCAAGAATATATCTCCAATATCTTCGGTCTAGAAACACGGTGCATATAATGAGCTATATACGTGTATTCTCGAAAAGGGAGAGCCTACCTTGCTCCCTATGGTTTCCGGTAAATCATCATGGTCTGTTCTACCCAACATAGTATCAAAAATGTGCCGTTCTTGAAATGAGGATGGCCGGCGATATGGATGAAAAGAATAGGTGGGACTGTTGTTGTAACGCTGCTTTTGAGACTGACGACTTGAAGTCGGCGACGCAGCCCTAGCAGAGGTATCAACGATACGCTGAATGCTGCCTGTGCGTTTAGAATCAGGTGTCAAAGGGAAAACAGAGTCGTCATCCGTCTCTGCCGTGCTCTCTGTTGTCACTAGTGTATAAGTTAGTGTACATCATTATATCATAATATGAGTTATCAGTACCTGATGCTCTAGTAGGTGATAAGCTTGGAGGAGAGCATTGGGGAGAGCATGGAGGAGAGCATGGAGGAGAGCTGAAGGTGTTTGATTTGCAACATGAAATGCAGTCCTGAGGTATGGGACATGGAACTTCGCATGGACTTGTAACAGTGAATAAGCTCATGGCTCAACTTGAGGTGCTGGTTGAAGGGAGGGCAGCTGTGAGTGCATAAGCGGTAAATACTCATCGGACTTTGAAAGACCTCACATCGCTGGAGTTGTCAAATCTCAGATTTCAAGACCTTTTCCTGTGAATGGTGGGCGTGGAGTTTGACCAAGACAGAATGGCGGCAAATGCCTTTTGTGCTTAGTATACATTGTGCACAGAGGTTACTTACCAATTTTGGCATATGCGGAGATTCAAAGGAATGGGGTATGATCTATTACTGTTATCAACAAATTATCAGTGCTGTCAGCCTGTCATTGTTCAGTGAAAGTGAGAAAGTTTTCTGAGAATTTCCATAGTGTGTGAGCGTGTAGGGTTAGTTCAATGCGCGGACGCACCATACTGTGAGTCTGTGACAGTCTTGTGAGAGGCTGGCCAGCAAGTTGACTCTCCAGATATTACGGCTGCGTCCGAGTCGTGGTACTAGTAATCTTATATAACGTCTTCAACGCGTGAGAGAAGTGATTTGCCTGCATGCCGCAGGTCAGTCCATCCCGGTACGCTTGCTTATGATCATGGGTGTACTTCAAGTACTGAGTGTCGTGACTGGGCTATGATACTCCCCCTGTCGTGGCCCTGTGTCCAGTAACTATAGTATTACTAGTAGTACCAACCTTTGGAGTGTATAATAGTGGGAGGAGCCTTTCAGGGAGTAGGATTTTCGTTGACTCGTGAACTTGGCAAGTTCATGAATCACATCAGCAAATTAAAATTATGAAACTTGTGCATACCAAAACTGGTAGTTGTATGTGGGCCACGTTGTGTCGTTACGCAATGAGTAAGTTACCATTCTTGGTATTTGCGGGGATTCGAAGTACCACCTCCTTACCTCAGGTTCAAGATGAATATTTATGTACGGCTAGTAGTAGTGGTAGTAGTAGTAATACTGTCTCATTCATTGACTTCCTTACAATTGAGAATTTCAGGAGAAATAAGTTAAGTTTTCTAGCGAACGAACAATTTTCAACATATGATCACCATGGAACATGTCTGTGCCCTTCTTCTCCTCGCCAACTTCGCCAGGTGTCCTGCCTCCGAGTTCGGATCACACTTCTCTATATATTAGTATGGTTACGGTATGACGTGCATACTCTACTCTACCCGAAAGTACGTCACTGGCAACGCAACTATAAGAACCCCGAACCTTTGAATTTTAGAATCAGCACCGGGAGTCATGACACCTCAGGCTATGCCTTATTGTGCCCATCATAACTGTACTTGGATCAAGGACATGTTGGCGCATGTCCAAATTCATCGCGTGTCCGAATTTTCTACATCAGGCAGCGGTGACGATGTATCGGTGTTCTGGGAACCAGATTTATCATCTTTCACAGATCCTTTCGCAATCCACTCACCTACAAATACACAGGCCATCGTCCATGCCCCTTCCCCCTTGCAAGAATTTCTAACTCCTCCATCGTCTTCCACTGGCAGTCCTGATGCTCAGATCCCTATGCGGCCGCTTGATGCTACTGACGTGTTGCATGAATCTGAATCACCGCCTGTGACAATCGTTCAGGTTGTTCCCAAAAACGAGGAGAAGAGGTTTCATACGTCTCGCGCACGACGTGGAGGTGCTCCATTTCAACAGTTCCGAATTGAGTTAGCGAAAGTCGTCAGTGAGTACAAATGATATGATGCAGGGGAGAATCACAAGACTCACTGGAAGGTCTGGAAAGATGTTCATAAAACGATAATGAAGAAAGACTCTGATATCGTGCAACCTGACGAACAGAAAGAAGACGAAAACATAGTGAGTGCCTGCAACCGTGGTTGATTTTTTCATACTGACGAGAGGTCAGACAGCGGGAGCTGGTTGTGTAGGCGGTGATGCCATAGAGGCCCAAGCTTCTCAAACTACGGGCATGAGTACTCGCCAGATTCGAAAGAGGAAGATCAACGATGTTAATGGCAATCATGGTTCAGACACTGACGAGAACGTACTTTTTCCCAATCCTGTTCCAACTGTCGTGAAGCGCATCTGCCGGGAGAGAACAGGGACAGACTGGCAGACAGTGCTCGATATAGTCAAGTATGGTGAAGAACAACAGATGTCGAGGAAAGGTTGACGTGACAGCATCGAATCAGTCGATCTGGCTAGGGGACACCCAGGCTTAGGTTACGTTGGTGCGCCAACAGATGATCAGGAGCACCGTTACTTACGAGTTGGTTACTATGATACTACTTCGGTGTAATCTCATTGGTTTGATACTTAGCTTTGAGTGTCACAGAATTTCAGACTGCCATCCTTCGTCACTGACCTGGGAATAAGCTAAGTAATACTATATACAGGTTATCCACGCTGCTGGGTTCAAAACTGATTATGTACAGGACAGTATTACTAATATTTACTAAGCCTATACCTGTCACGACAAACACAACCAAATGTTGTGTTTCCAACTACTAGCTCTGCCGCATCATGATTAGGTGGCAAAGATCTTCTGGTCTCGAGCCGAGGATCTCCTCGCTCCCGCCTTTATTGGGATTTAGGCCATCTGGCCCTGTTGGAGCATCTGCTACTCCTCCCACATCATGATTAGGCGGCAAAGACCTTCTGGTCTCGAGCCGAGGATCTCCTCGCTCCCGCCTTTATTGGGACTGCGCTGTTGGAGCGTCTGCTGCCAACTCTCATCTCCCGTGTCAATTGATGACCTCTGTCTTCTCACTACTTCCATCGCACAAACTCTCTATATCACTTCCACTCACCTCTCGTTACATTCTTTAGTAACCTTTCCCCGCTCCCTACTAGTCCTCTGCCTCGTCAATGTCGCCTCAGTCATGCTTCCGGCTGGATCATTTTTTGTCCCCAGACGCCAACACCCCCTTGTCATTGTGGTTACAATAACGTCTGCGCGCCCATATGGCATCACCACCTTTGTCACCACTCACTACTCAGTAACAGGAGAACTCTGCGCATGGTGTCAGTCGCACCCCGGGACGCCACATGGTGAGTCTATTGAAGACCATTCCTCACAAATCCAATAACTGACCATGCAATGGAACGATATTGTCTCCCGTATCTGCATGCTCCCCGACCCGGCTCGGTTTCTCCTGCCTCCCCTGTTCTCTGGCCTACAGAACACCTCTCAAGAAGGTCCTGTTGTCGCCGTCAACGCTAGTCAGTACAGCTGCGACCCTTTTATTGTTCTAAGTGATCAAAATTCTATCCAGATTCCAATTGATATCACGCGGACCGGAGTCTCTGAGTTGTCCTCCGAGTTTCAGTCTCATTGGCATCTTGTTTCGTCACAAGACCAAGGAAGTACGAAAGGTTGAGCATGCCACCAAGTCCAGTCAATCTCGTGGTGCATGCGGTTGGCGATATGAGGGGATGTTGATCAAACCGACGAGTTTGACTCGTCACTCTGACCAGAAATGGCATAAGGACCGGTGGGTCGAGTCATCTGTATTGCTGCAGCGTAGGTGTACACTATTTCGTCCATGGACGTAAAGAAAGGCTGACCTGGCTCGAAGCCACGAGTACGAAGAACATAAAGGGGATGTTCGCGCTGGAAGTACTTGACGAGGTTGGCAAAGATCAGGACAGTGGCCGACATTTTGCAACTCTCAGTGATGTACTGGGTCATCAAGATATCTTCGCCTCACCTAGAGGGCGGTTTTGTAAAACGTACAATATCATTATGGTCATGCCTGCCCATGGGTATTCCGGCACTTGGTACACGTTCTTTTGGGAACATCCATTGGTTTACACACCACTGATTGCTTTGATTCGCGAGATCGAACGCAGATGGTGTCGCCGGGAACATCAAAGAGGAAGTCCAAGCGACCTGCCATGATGTATTCACTGACACAGGGCAGATATGTTGTATCAGTCTGGGTGATTCTGGAGATCAAGGATGAGTTGAAGTTCAGCGTTCGTTATATTTTTAGTTGTATCGAGTGACATCCAGTACGTATATTAGACTGGCAATATAGTCTGGCGCAATTACTAATTAGTTGTTTGCACGTTATAACTTTTATGTATCATCGGTGGTTTAAATTTCAAACTTGTTTCAAACGATCAACTCCATGTCAGTCAGGGTATCCACTTGCTAACTGGCTTAATTGTGATGCGCCTCCCGGGAAGACTTTGGATTGGCCTTTTCCTCTTCTCTCTTCTGATGGTAGCTTGTAATGCTGCGGGTTGCTTTTGGGAGAGGAAAACAGACAATAGAGGACTCAATCGACATCGCGCAAGCTGTCAATTTTATAGGAGAGTCAGTACCCTTGCGAGCCAGAAGAGACATAATCGTGCCAAAGAGGCGATTGTTTCAAATTTGGTTCGGCACACTTCGGCGAGCACCCCTGCATCAGAGTCAGTGAGTGAACTTCTCATACTTGGAAGTCGAGCATCCAGTCACCACCGATCTCAGAGAATATCAGCCGTCCGACATGTGAGGGACCGTCCGAGTCTGAAACCAATTGCCCCTTGTAGGCTCTTCATGCCGTTGTCTATGGCTTACGGGCCAAGTGTCTCCAGTCTCGCAGACTTGCAACACCCTCTCGACTCAGAGAAGGAACAAAATGATCATATCGATGTTGAGATGGGGAACAATGCTGGAGACGAGATGGATTACAATTCGGGTTTGTGTCTCCCTCTAGGCAGCAACTATCATCTGATGTGTTTACAATTACCCAATCTTCCAGATGAAATCGCATTTCCAATGAGACGAATTCCGAGACCTTTGGATGATTTCGAACCTTCGCGAGATGAACTTAATCATTCAGATAATCCTGATGTCCAGTCAACTCAAATTTTGACTTCAGTTCCAGCTCGGTCCAGAATCCTACGTGTTCTCTTAACGCTGAGAGACACCCTCCAGACCACTTTCAACTCGTTTGGACTATGCAGATTATACCCTCGTCGGCCTTCCTTTGAGCCAGATACATTTGTTCCATCCTCGCTACTCGCAAGAACGTCTCCAACGGTCGCCGAAGAAATTGATCCTCCATTGAATATCTTTGCGCCGCCTTACCCCTTCCCCAACATGACGATCTATCGCCTTATGTCTTGGATGAACACAGGTAGTAATCTTGTGTCCAAAAGTAAAGTCTCGCGCCTTGTCAAAGACGTAATACTGGCAAAGGACTTTGACCACGAGCACCTCGAGAACTTCTCGGTGAAGCGGAGCTTGAGAGAACTGGACACAGACGGGAATGGGAAAAGAATTCAATTTCCAGATGATTGGATTCAGACTAACGTCACTATTAATATTCCAACGAAGTCAAAGGAGGATGGCCCTCAGCCTTATACCATTCCCGGCTTCCATTATCGCCCTCTCGTTGAAGTAATACGTACCGCATTTGCAGATATCCAAGCCCGGGCATTCCATCTCTTACCGTTCCAACGGCTCTGGAAAGATCCTCTGGACGGTCATCAAGAGCGGATTTATGATGAATTCTACACGTCCGATGCTTGGCTAGAAGCTCAGGACGCTCTTCAGCGTCTGCCGAAGGAACCTGGCTGTTCACTCGAGCGTGTTGTTGCGGGTTTGTTGTTTTTTTCTGACGCCACTCACCTCGCAAACTTTGGGACTGCGAAGGCTTGGCCACTTTACATGTATTTCGCAAATCTGACAAAGTACGCACGTTCACAACCTCAATCGGGAGCATGTCATATTGTAGGATTTTTACCTTCAGTAAGTCGACGAACGTGGCATGATTATCTACTACTGATAATGTTAGCTTCCCGACAGCGTCAAAGATATCCTAAGTAGCCTACCTCACATATCGAAAAGTGGCATGGCATCTCTTCAAGCACACTGTCGTAGGGAGTTGTTCCATGGGTGTTGGGAAATCTTGTTGGATGAGGACTTTCTTAACGCATATCACCACGGTATCGTTTTGAAATGCGCTGATGGAGTGCTGCGGAGAATCTTCCCTCGAATCTTCACATATTCCGCGGATTATCCTGAAAAGTATGTTTCTCGCGGGCTTTTCAAGAATGTTAATCACCCATCAACGTACAGAGTTTTGATTGCGACTATCAAGGACATGGGCTTGTGTCCCTGCCCTCGCTGTCTTACACCGAAGGGTTCGTTTAATTTTCTTGGGCTCGCATCCGACATGAAAAGTCGTATGACCAATCTTCGAGTATATTTCATGGCGAAGGTCGTCAAGGCTCGCGAGTTTATTTATCAATTGGGAAATACCGTAGACGGTGCAAAAGTAGACCATACTCTTGGAGACGGCTCCTGGGTACCTACTATTGTAAGTACAACTATTTCCTTGCTTTCTCATCATCAGCTACACGCTATCTATGTGCAGAATCAATTTGTCGAGAAACTTGGACCGTTCGGCCTCGACCCATTCCGCATGCTCGTCGTCGACTTCATGCATGAGTGCGAGTTGGGCACCTGGAAGGCGCTATTCACGCACCTCATTAGGCTACTTTATGCTCTCAGTACCAAGGGTAGTCAGCTTGTTGCAATCCTTGATAGCAGGTACGAGGAGTTGTTACGGAGTGTTGTTATTACCTGCTAACAAATCGTCGACTCAAAATCTTACTGTAGATTTCGACAGGTCCCGACTTTCGGTAACGGCGTAATCCGCAGGTTTTCAAACAATACCTCTGAAATGAAGAGATTAGCGGCGCACGATTTTGAAGATATTTTACAGGTTTTTACGAGTTATTCATTTTCCGCATTCGACTTGCTGAAATATTCTCAGTGTGCCATTCCGGTATTCGAGGGGCTGTTCCCCTCTGACCACGATGCGGTGGTACAGTCTCTACTGTATTGATTTGCAGAGTGGCATGCCCTCGCCAAGCTCAGGATTCATTCGGAGTCCACTCTTACTCTTCTTGAAGTAACGTTCAAGAAACTGACTCGGATGCTCAGAAAGTTTCAAAGCTACACGTGTGCTGCATTTAGTACTGTCGAATTACCGAAAGAGAAAGCATCCCGCCAACGAAAGGCCGCTCAACGCTCCGATACCAGCACTAATTTTCCAGAATCAAGCGGGACGAAGCCAAAGAAGTTCAATTTGGGTACGTATAAGTTTCATGCTATGGGTGATTATGTTAGAACCATCAAGTTCTTCGGGACCACAGATTCATTCACCACTCAAATCGTGCGTAGCAGTTGCATTCATATTATGTATCTGTACCTGACATTAAGCTTGGCCAGGGAGAGCTCGCTCATAGAGCCCTAAAAGCATTTTATCCACTGACCAGCAAGTTAGACACACCAGCACAATTGGCCAAGCACGAACGCAGGCGCCGTGTGTTACGGCGGATAGCAGAATCAGGGGGCGAATCCTCTTCTGGTAGACAACCACGCGCCGAGGCCCCACCCCCCTCATCGTTGTCTGACAAGCATCACTATATCGCGAGTACCCGGAACAATCCAGTCAATATATTTACCTTTCTCCGGGAACATGATGGTGATCCGGCTGTTAAGGTAGTGCATTTTGGACACACCTTATAATTTACTCACAGAAATTCTCAGAATTTCATACCGAAACTGAGAGATCATATCTTATATAGGTTCCGGGAGCTAGATATTAGCTACTGTGACCACGCTTTCACCAACGAGGAGCGTAACTCCGTCATAATTCCCAACAACACCATCTACTCCGTCCAGACCATGCAAGTACACTATACGACCTACGACTTACGGCGCGAATACGACACCATCAACCCCCGAACCCATGGAGACGTCATGGTACTTTCTGGGGAGACTACACCTAGCCACCCGTACTGGTATGCCCGTGTATTGGGTATCTACCACATGGAGGTATGGCTTAACGATGGAGGTCAACCTGTGAAACGGCACATTGAGGTCCTCTGGGTTAGATGGCTGGCAGCATTACGGAATCATAAATCCGGCACGTTTCATGCCCGTCTGCCCAAGATTGCGTTTGTGGAGGAGTCGGACCAAGATGCATTTGGGTTTCTCGATCCAGGGCAGGTAATCCGTGGTGCCCATTTAATTCCTGCGTTTGCCTCAGGCCAGTGGCGTAAGCGCGCTTCGCTATGGAAAATCATTGGCACGCCCTGCGGGACAATCGGATGACTGGGAAGAGCATTTTGTCGGCATGTGAGTGAAATATCTTCGTGGCGCTTCAATGCTCAAGGTTTGGACCAGATTCAGTCGATCGAGATATGTATATGCGATATAATCACTTCGGTGTGGGGCATTCGGTAATATTGCGGAAAATCACTAGAGATTGTTTTCGCAACAACGGTAGTGAAGGGACAGACCCTGAAGAGGTCAGCGAAAGCACGGGTGATGAAGAATGCGCCGAGGAAGAAGAGGTTGTCGAGGTCGAGGGTCTTGAAGAATACGATGATGAGTCTACTGACGGGGAACTGGATGAGGAAATTGGGGATGAGAACGAAGAGTGTGGGGACGAGGACGAGGACGAGGACGAGGACGAGTTCGACTATATATCTTTCTGATACTCCCTTTGAATCTTATACATCGAATTGAATCATTACTGTGAATCATCACCTTCGTTGGATTACAAATACCTAGAGAATTTCAGACGATGATGGTATACCACCTCTATCTATCCTGAATTTCACCCCCGTCATTCCATTTCACAGAGCTAGAGCCTCAAAGAGCATGAAACGAAGTCTCGGACCTCTACATTAGTATAGGAACGACACTTGAGGACCATGTAAAGGTAATACCTCCACCATCATGATGTTTGGTTCTTTCTAACCCTGAATAGACAGGAAACTAAAAGGACGTGACAATGCAAGCCGGAAGACAACGCGTGGCCCGCTAAATGAAGATCCTCCCAGCGAGCCAGAGACAGAGGTTCTGGTGTCTAGGTTTGTCTCCACCATC